AGCTGGGGACTGGGAGGGATAAACGCCCAATGCCTGAGCCAAGGTCTACCCACATCTGAAACATAATAAAGTTGTGGCCAGTTTTAATCCCATAGCACGTTGTCTTCAGTCGTTATTCCACACGGGGGCCGCCCAGGGTTGGGGGACTCCGCCTGTCCATGCAAATGCCACTAGATGCCTCTGAATACCGGTTGCTTAGAATTAGAAGTGGGGAGAGATTGTTGCTGCCCTCAAGACCTTCTTGGGGGAATCTCATAGTCATCTGGTTGGCCACCAGGAGATCAAGATGAGACACCAGATGAAGCTTCAGCCTGACCCGGCAAGGCTCTTCACAGGCTCTTACGCTCACTTCATTGCAGAACTTAGAATGTGAGAATAAACTACTGCCTGTGAAAGCTTAAAACCAGTGTTTCCCAAACTTAGTTCTCCAGCTGTTTGCGGACTACAATTCCTATCATCCTTGACCACTGGCCTTGCTAGCTAGGGGTGATGGGAGTTGTAGTCCAAAAACAGCTGGTGACCCAAGTTTGGGAAACACTGGCTCAAGCAGTCATTTCCATGATTTGTGTAAGGTTGTTAGAATAAAGCTTAAGAACTCTGGATCTAAAAAGTTTAGTGGTGTTGCCTTCGTTGTAAAAATAAAATAAAAAATCGCCATCCTACCCTCCCTATCCTTTGCCATTTGCCATGCTTGGTGGGTGAGGGGAATGTCATTGAGACAAAATTCAGGGTGCTTGATAATTGGTTTATCATCTCCTTAATGAGTAGCTTCTATTTAAAGACAAATAAGGCTGTATCTTACAGATATCTAGGGGACACACTGCAGATACTGCCCTATTTCTGCTCCTGCTTTCAGACTGAATGCCACCAGGAAAATGGAAGGTATGTGCGTTTTTCTATCTCTCCATCCATCTACCCTGTGTCTTGTACAGCGATGAGTTTTGACTATTATAGGGCTGCTCTTTCACCAGTTCTGTATTAAGCTGCTTATAATCCCTGGCTGGGGGAAAATAATCATTGCCATCTTATCCCTATCCATGCATGAAATTCATTTTGTTTTTGTTTTATAAATCTTTCCATTGTGACACAATTTCACCTGGATGTTCAAACACCTTTGATTTCTTTTTTCTATTACATTTCTCATTGCAATAGGCTCCCCCCCCCCCATTTTATCACACATACTGACTTGCTTTTCTGCTGTCATTATACTTTAAAATCCAGCATCTATCTGTTGGCCATGTAGTTCTCAAATGCTCATCAGTAAAATACTATTTTCCAGATTCGCATGTCTATAAATAATATCCAATTTGCTTACTTTTCCCTATGCCTCATTACCTTTTCCCTCTCCTTCGTTATGACTACGGCACCTTATATATATATATAAATGCATAAATATTTCAAATAGATTCTCATTTCCCAATGCAACTGAGTCCCAAGGAAGCGGGAAGGATAGGAATAATCTTGTTCTCCCCCTGCCGTTAAAGTTCATAGTCAGAGCCGTCTTTAGCAGATACAGCACCAGGGTGCAAATATCTGCCCAGCACCCTCCAAATTACCATGGATAGTTGGGGGGCGAAGCTGCGCACTGCCAGCCATGCCCCCCCCCGCAATTCTCCCCCATGCCACTGCAGGAGAGCAATCCCCACAGAGGCTAGGGAGGCAAGCTGCACGCCCACCAGCCATATGGTTGACGGGGCGCAGCTGGCGGGCGTGCAGGGAAGGGGGAAGCTGCCGGCAAAGCCGCAAAGCTCTCCCACTTGCTGGGATGCCCCTGAGAGGCCAGCGCCCTGGCACAATGCACCACTAAGCCCTGTGGGAAAGACGGCTCTGTTCATAGTTGTACTATGGGAATTTGCTACTCCAAACTGTGGCAACGGACAGGAGCTTAGGTTGCTTTATAAAAAAAAGATTGGGGGAATTCAGGGTGGTAAAGAAATCAGTGGCTACTAGCCATCGTGATGGCTTATACCTGGCTCCAGTATACCTGAAGGAGTGTCTCCACCCCCATCGTTCTGCCCAGACACTGAGGTCCAGTGCTGAGGGCCTTCTGGCAGTTCCCTCGCTGCGTGATTTTTGCATTTTTGTATGTTTGCTTTGCTGCTGTTGTTCAGTTTTAAATCAATTGGTATTTGCATTCTACGCATTGTGAGTAATTGTGATGGCTTATAGCATTAGAGATTTCATTCACTGATAGGGCTGGATTTAGGTTTGATGAGGCCCCAAGCTACTGAAGGTAATGGGGCCCTTTATATGTCCAGCTGTCCTTTGTCAACAACAAATTGTCACTGCTTTTGTGTGTTGAATATACAGTGGTACCTCGGGTTACAGACGCTTCAGGTTACAGACACTTCAGGTTACAGATGCTTCAGGTTACAGACTCCGCTAACCCAGAAATAGTACCTCGGGTTAAGAAATTTGCTTCAGGATGAGAACAGAAATCACGCGGCAGCAGCGGGAGGCCCTATTAGCTAAAGTGGTACCTCAGGTTACAAACAGTTTCAGGTTAAGAACGGACCTACGGAATGAATTCAGTTCTTAACCCGAGGTACCACTTTATGCTATATGGTAATCTATGGACCTAATAGGTATCTCAAGCCATTTGCACATAAAAAAATATGTATTTTATCAAAGTAATTGTTGAACTGAAGTACAATTAAGAAGTATATTAATAGCGAAATACAATTAGGAATAAGTATATTACAGTATAGTGAAATAATTATTAAGCTCTAACTTATTTTGGAAATGTACATCCAGTTTTTTTCCCCTTTACATTTTTTGGGGCCCCCAAGAGAGTGGGGCCCTAAGCTACAGCTTGTTTAGCTTATACATAAATCCAGCACTGTTCATCAATACCAGTTACTGAACATAACAAGAGCCCTGCTGGATCCTATCTAGTCCAGCATTCAGTTCTCACAGATGCCTGAGGGAAACCCACAAGGAGGAACTGAGCGCCAGGTTCCCCTCCTGAAGTTTCCTGCAACTGGCATTCAGGCAAGGAGCATTGCCATGGAGATGGACCATAGACAGGCATCATGGCTGGGATCAATTGCCCCCATGTCTTGCTTAGAGCCAGTGTGGTGTAGTGGTTAAGAGCGGTGGACTCGTAATCTGGTGAACCGGGTTCGCTTCCCTGCTCCTCCACATGCAGCTGCTGGGTGACCTTGGGCCAGTCACACTTCTCTGAAGTCTCTCAGCCCCACTCACCTCACAGAGTGTTTGTTGTGGGGGAGGAAGGGAAAGGAGAATGTTAGCCGCTTTGAGACTCCTTCGGGTAGTGATAAAGCGGGATATCAAATCCAAACCCCTCCTCCTCCTCCTCTTCCTCTTCCTCTTCTGGATTTCGTATCTGGTTAGCCACTGTGGAGAACAAGTTATTAGACTAGGCAGGCCTTTATTCTGACCCAGCAGTTTTCCTTATGCTCTTGTGTTAAACTGTAACAGCTCTTACTGCACCTGCCCTTTAGAAGCCTGGATCAGGGTGTGTGTGTGTGTGTGTGTGTGTGTGTTCCCCAAGACTGATATTGTTGATAAAATCATTGGCAGGATTATTGTAACACCCTGCAGTTTTATAAGAATATATATTTAAAGAAGATGGATAAATGAGCAAATTAATTTGGATATGCAGAAGCTATTAAAAAACAAATTTAAGGAACCCCAGAAAGAAGGGGGGTGGAAGTCAAGTTTTGAATGTCAAAATGAATGTTAAAGTTAGTGAAATGTATAAAACTAGTGAGAGGTATAAACTTGAAAAGTATAAATAAACAAAATATCAAAAAATAATAATAATTAATAATTCATTTATTTGAAAAAAATATTTTGAAAAGTGCAATATAATAAAACAACACCAACACCAACACCTGCTTTTGTTGAAACTCCACAGCTACAGGAAGTCTATAGACAAATAGTGCAGTATCAGAGATTGCTCTGTGCACTGGGTTGTACCATCTAAAGTATGCACAACCGAACGTACTCCCAGGAACGATGCATTGTACTGAACTATTTGTCTACAGGCTTCCAGCTGCTCTGGCGTTTCTACAAAATCAGTCTCAGGGGAAACCCATCCCATCCAGGCTTCTAAAAGACAGATGCAGTGAGGGGTGTTACAGTTTTCTGTATGGTTTATCTTGAACACTATTGGTGTGAAATTACAGGGTAAATGGAATTACTTTATGGGACCGACTGAAGGTTAACAACTGATCAAAAGAAAAAGGCTTTGTTTTGTTAGCCCAAAAATGGAAAACGAGCGAGGTCCCAACTAAAGAAGAATGGCAGCTTGTTGACAGAATATGCACAGCTCAGACTTAACATATAGAATAAGCGAACAAGAAGAACATACTTTTAAAGAAGATTGGAATTTTTTTTATTGAATTTATGGGAAATAATTGTGTACAGCTGAAAATGTTGGCAGCGTTAAGATAAATTCAGCAGTGTAAACAAGTTTTGATGGATGCAATAATGGAATACTGAATGGTATAGTTTTTGTAAAATATGCAGGGATTTATGATTTGTGATATGTAAAATGAACCATGGAAAGAGAAGAAGGGAAGTCATTGATATCTTAAGGATGTAAAATGAGTATTTTAAGTGGTAAAACAGAAAATTTAATTAAAAATTACAGTGGTACCTCGGGTTACATACACTTCAGGTTACAGACTCTGCTAACCCAGAAATAGTGCTTCAGGTTAAGAACTTTGCTTCAGGATGAGAACAGAAATCGCACAGCAGTGGTGCGGCGGCAGCAGCGGAAGGCCCCATTAGCTAAAGTGGTACCTCAGGTTAAGAACAGTTTCAGGTTAAGAACAGACCTCCAGAATGAATTAAGTTCTTAACCCGAGGTACCACTATATATACGAAAAAAAGAAAAGAAAAAGGCTATAGGAAGCTGCTGTTCTGATAATAGAATAATAATTTGCGGTGTTGAGTTTGCTTTTCTTGTATTGTTATCATTTGCTGCACCATCACAGGTTTCATTATTGCTGAACACGGTTGAAGATTAGAAAATGGAGCCAGTAGAAACAGGAGGAATTGCCAACATTTGGGTAGGCAGCAACCAAAAGAGCATCACAGTTGATGACCAGCAGACCAACAGTGCGGACATTCATTCTGTGACTGACACAACTACAACCCCCAGAAACACACCTACGCTTCAGAACACAGCTCCCATTAATGAAGACATTGTTACCTCTGAAGCCACATTTGCCATAACATCCAAAAGCATCACCACAGCTCACCCTAGCCCAAACACCGTACATCAAAAGCACATCAGCCCAGCCTTTGAGAATGATACTGCTACTGTTGGCCGTAGGGGGAGAGACACTTCGGGAAAAAGCCACATCAGCATCACGAAAGCAGCTCGTAGCAAGTCATATTCTAGAGATGCACCTAGAGAAGTCTTAAGCTGGGAGTCCTCTTTCAAGTCCAAAGATGCCCCAGGAAATGCTAATTCCACAGCTTCTGAAGATGCCTTGAGCAAAGGATGTGTTATCAAGGCGAGCTGTGCTGAAAATAAGGCATCTGCAACTGAGGAGACCAGCACAGTTCTTGGAAAGATCTCCACCACGGGTGACAATTTCTACAAAACTCCTAGAAATACCGCTATGGATGAAAGCAACAGGGACACTGCTGTCGACGTCACTCTTGGAATCAGCTGCACTCCAACAATTGCCCTAGGAGATATTTGCAACAGAAAGTCAGTTCCTGCTCCTGGAGATAGCAATAGCATCACTTTTGGAGAAAAGGCTATTGATAGCTCATTCTTTGGAGAGGTCTTCAATACTGGAGACACTGCAATTGCTGCCACTGTCTTTGGTGCCACTGTGGATACCAATGGCGCTCAAGTAACCTCAAGCCCTGAGGACTGTACCACTAAAGTGGGTGACATCACCAGTTTCTGTGATGAGTTAACCAGTGGTGCTAACCCTGTTTCTGACCCTGGAGACATTTCAGCCACCACTTTTAAAGAAATGTCCTTCTCTAGCCCTGAAAATGCCACTGTCTTCTCAGGGGGCGGCACTACCAACCTTTTCAGTGCGGAGAATTCAGTTGTCACTACAGCATTTTCAGCTCCCTCCCAACCACCTTCAGCTGTTGTCTCTACAAACATCAGCCTGGCTCTTGATGGCAACAACACAACTTCTAGTCCTAGAGATAGTCCTACCAATGGAAACAAAACAGGAACTGTGTCTAGAGAAGCCAACGTTTCCTCTAGTACTGCTACAACATCCAGAGAAACCCACAAAGCCTCCACAGATGGCAGTCTTAACACTTCTGGCAATATATCCACCCCTGTCCCTTTAGGGGCTGTCACAACAGACTCTGGAAACTCCGTCACCATTCCTAGTGAGAATGACATGTCCCTTGGGAGCATCACGACCACTTGTTTAGACACTGCCACCGTTAACGAGCCTTTTTTCATTCTCCCTGGAAACGTGACCAATGTTGTCGGCATCATAGACACTACAACTGGTATGTTTAAAAACATGGCCACAATCCATGGAAATATACCAGCCACTATTGTAGTAGAGACCATCACCATAGCCTACCCTTCCGAAGAAATTGCCACTGTGCCATCTTCTGGCGATGTCAGGGAGACGCCCACTCCCAGAGAGGAAGCTAGCACTGAGTCTGAAAATTCAAGCGTTACACCTAGCTCAATTCATGTCCGTGAGAATGCTAATGCTGCTGGATATATTGATATCAGAGATTGTGGAGATAACACAATCAGGGAAGACAGCGTTGCAACTGCTCCAGAAAATGCCAACCAAACCGAACTCTTAACTTCCTCTTTGAAGGGTGCCAACATCAGTTCCAGAGAGAACCTCGACACCTCTCTTAAAAAGACATGTAGAGATACCACTGCAATTGTTCCTTTCGTTGAAAGCACTCCCATTCCTGTTGGTACTAAAATGACAGCAACTCCAGGAAACACACTCACAAACATGGTTGGGAACATGGTCGCCATGAACCAGGGGTCCACCGTTGTCTCTGGAGATGCACTTAGCACCACCTCTGACGAGGACACCACCTTTAGACACAAGGACAGTAGTGATTGTCTTGGTGACAATGCCACCCCTGGGAATGACACCGCCACCATGTCCACAGAGGAAAACTGTTTTCTTCATGATGGTGCTATCACCACTGTCTCCAGTGAAACCTTTGCTGCATCCCAAGATACCACCTTGAATGTTCCTGGATCTGTTACTATCACCACTATCTCTCAGGACACCACTGGAACAGAACTTGGGAAACCCTCAGAAACTATAGCTGACAAAACCACTATAGCTTCTGGTAACATCCCCACTACCCATGAGAAAACTGCCAGCACTGGTGTCATTATTCCTACAAATATTTCCAGGAGTGAACGTGCCAGAGAGGCCACTACTAGAGACACAACCACCACACTGGATGACCGGTGTGCTCCTGCTCTTCAGAGCACCGGTGTTGCAACTCCTGAAGAAGTCACCGTCCCAAGGACTTCTATGGCATCTAGAGAGGCAACTACGATTCATTTAGAGAATGTCAGTGCCACTGTGACCACCTCTACTGCTTCTGAGGACACCTCTATCACCTCTGCAGGTGCTACTCCCACCATTGGAAAAAATACTATGGATGTTGTTTCTGGAGATGTCTCCACTTCTACCTACAGTGCAGCACAGGACAGAAATCTGAATGCCAGTACTATTGCTGATGACAGCAAAGCCCCTTCAGATGCCACCATGGCTGTTTCTGAGGTTGCCACACCAAACCCCGGGTCTGCTACGAACATTTCTTTGCTCTCAACAGAAATAGAAAATGATGCTGCAGAAGACACTACCACCAAGGACACACCTGGCTCTTTGCTAATCAGCACAACTAAGAGCAGAGACACCTCCACCGACACTCCAGAGGAGATGTGCTATGGAGACAGAGTTGATTCTGTGTACAGTGAGACCACCACAATCAGGGGGCATATGCCTACCCCTAGTTTATCATTCTCAGCTGGAACTAGTATTCAAGAGGCCAGCACAAGTCCAGGAGATACCACCCCTGCCTTTAGTTGCACCACCAAAATTCCAGAGGGTGCACACCTTGTTAACTCTGTGCACAATGAGATGCTCCTTGCCCTTGAGCAGGCATCCTGTAGGAAAACAACCAGTAGTGGATGTGTCATTGCTGAAGCCACCACACAAAGTGAGAGGAACCTAACAGAAAATGCTTCTGGCTCCTCTGGAGACAAGAAGATATGGATTGATACTCCCATGTTGGTAGGAACTGAGAAAGGGACACCACGCCCCAGTGTAACTAGCAGGACTTTTAAAATATCTGAAGTCACTACTACTTTTGAAGATGCCAGATACACTGCTGCTACCAGTGCTTTTTCTGTATTTGCTAATGAAGACAACAACACCACGGCAACGTCTGTAGGCACCAACTTCATTCCTACCACCAAATTCAAGGAACCTACTGCTACCAATGTCTCAGGAGATGTTTCTCAAACCACCATCCTTGGGGGAGATGCTATCACCATCACCACCACTACCATGGGAGCCACATCCACAGTTGCTTCCCTTAGAGATACTGTCATGGCCACCCAGGATTTTCCTGAAGATATTACCACTGTTTCTAAAAACATATCTACTAACATCCTTCAGGATACCCCAAAACTGGGAGAAATAGTTACCTCAGAGGATACTGCTGCTACTACTTCTCTCAGAGACATCAGAATCCATTGTGATGTCCTTACTCGGGGGACAAGATCTTCTGCAGACACTCACATCCTTGAAGAAACCTCTGATCTAGCTAAGATTATTCCAAAAGATGATCTCAGAGGTAACCTTTCTGATTGCAGGACTATAGTTACAACAAATGTAAGCACTAGTACCAGCAATACCTTGAGTGATACTGTTTCTACTCCTGATAATGCTACTTCTGTGTTCAGGATCACTACTAGCTCTGATGGAATTCCAACTTCTAGGGATGTCCCAGCCACCATTGTAAGTGCCAGGATGCAGGATCAGACCACAATCACTGAGGCTCCCACTGTTGTCCCTGAGATTTGCTCCTTTGCTACAGGAGAAAATGTCACCACCATCACACAAACTGTCACTGGAGAGGCCACCATGGCTACTGTCCCACAAGGCACAGTCACCGGTAATGTCACCATCATCAATAATCCTGAAAATGCTGCCAATATAACAGTCAGCCCTAGAGATGCGGATGATGATGCTTCTAATCCATGGGACAGAACCACTTTGACCCTTGAAGCAATAGTCCCCACAGGGAAGACACCTTCCTTGGGTAATGCAATCAATGTGACCACACCTCTAAGAGAAGCCAGTGCTCATCCACACAGCTTCCCTCCTACAGAGGCATTCAGCACTCCGGACAGCACCCTTTATGGTGACACCACTGGTCACCCAGGAGCAGTATTCAGTCCAAGCCTGGACACTATTTCCATACCAGGAGATACTTCTAAGATACCTGAGACATGCATTGCCTTGGACAATTCCATCCTTCCCACCCAATTGGTTGATGGAACTGACCTGCCTGTTGCCACTGAAGACACTTCTACCCCTAAAGCCACTCCTAGCATTACCACTTCTGAAGACCTGAGCATTATCACTGTTGCCCCTGAAGCTACCACAGTTCCTGGATGGGCAAATGCCAATGAATATAGAGGGGCTATTGCTACCCCTGTCCCTGAGCGTAACCCCACCACATCAGATGTCATTGTCCTTTCTTCTGGAGATAGTACCACAGGCCTCTCTGGTAGCCAGGACACAATCACCACTGCCACACCCTCTGAGGATATCATCGCCACTGAAGATGCTGCCGGGGCCCCTGGATACAACACTTCTGACACCATTGCTCCAACAGCCACTGCACTTGGAGACATTCACCCCACCACTGAGACTGCTTCGGGAAAGGTCACCAGCACAATCAGAGGCAGCCCAGAAAAAAGAGGTGCTTTTACAAAGATCTCCAGACCTATTCTTGAAAACACCAGCACCAAGTATGAAGCTTCTAGTCCTAACCCTGGAAGCCACTATGGGAAGACACCAACATCTGACACTGTATCTATGCCTATGACTAATTTGGCCCCCTTTGGCAGTGATTTCCCCAAATCTGTCATTCATGCAGGTGAAATGGCAACTGATAAAATTCCTGATAGTAGTGCAAATGTTGCCAACAAAGCCTCTAGTGGAAACTCTACCTCTACCAGTGGAGGTAATAGTTCTTTCTCTGAAAGCTTCGCCACCTCTGAAGGGCCAGTTACTTCCAGGCAGATCAGCATGGCAGCTATGCTTGAAGACACTGAGACACAGAAAGATACCTCTGGGGCAAGCGGTTCCCTTGAAGAGACACCTGTCACTGAGGTGCGTTCCGTCTCTGAAATGAACCTTACTTGTAGAGAAGACACCAACATCACTCCTGAAACTACAGTTACAGAAGATCCCATATTGTTCCCTATTGCTGCTGCCATCACTCTAAGCAGTGGAACCATCCTTTCCCATAGTGAGACTACATCTCTAGGGAAATCTACAGACCTAAGCTTGAGAACCATCTCTTCAGCAGATTCCATCGCTAGGACTTTCACCAACCCAAGAGACGATGCCCATATTTTCCCCGAGGTAATATCTGTCCCGTCCTCTAGAGGCACTGGGAAAGAGAGCTCAGCTATTGGGACCACTCTTGGAACTGTTGAGGCTCAAACTTCTAAAGCTACTCCTCCTTCTGAGGAGAGTCTCGTCCCTGGTGACACCAGTGTTTCTGAAGATACCAGTACTACGGCAGCCACATTTGACACTGGAAAGGCCTCCACATCTGGTGCTAACAGTGTATTGGAAAAACACTCCAGTTCAGAAGCAGCATATACCACTACCATCAGCAGTGCATCTTTCCCTGGGATTATTGACTCCACACCTTGTGACAGTGATAGACCTGATGAGACACTTCCTTCTGGGAAAGTCACCACCATTGATGACTATGGTAAGATACCCAGTTCCAGAGCTACCACTTCTCCTAGAGAGGCTTTGGTATTTCAAGACAAAGCTACCAGTGCTTCAAGACACCCAAACACCCCTGAAAATATCAGAAATGCACCTGAAAACTCAATGGCCGAAGTCAGCATTCCTGTCTCTGGAAGCAACAGTGCTGCTCTAGATGATCTCGTGACCACCACGCTTGACAAGTCCAATGACACCCACACTAGAGACTCTGCTACTATTGAAAGGGCCCACGATATCAGTTACAGAAAAAGACCTACTCTAAAACTGAGAGAAGCTGATACTAGCACACTCACAGGCATTGCAATGGTTCCAGGAGGGTCTTCCACCATCCCTCCAGCAGAAGCAACCACCGTCACATCTGGAAAGACCATGGACAACAGTTCAGAGAGCCCTATGTCCACAGAACAGAACAGTGCAACTGTCTCTGGGGACCCCTCAGCTGCCCCAGGATTGGTCCTCAATGCCAACTTCGGAGAGACTAATATTGCTATAACTGGAAAGACCACGGATCCCACCACTAGATCCATGGATCCAGGTGTGACTCTAGCTATTAGTTTGGGAGAGGTGCCTGATGCCGCCACGTTTGGAGAAAGTGTTGACACTACTGCAGAAACTCATGGACACAACTTGGCTGACCTGGAAGTGTCTCTTATTGACACCCCAAGAGGAGTTGCCAAACCTGGAAATGCCACTGAAGCCACCCAAAGAGAGACCCCCAAGGCCATATGTGAAACCACCACAGTTATTCACAGGAAAATATCGCCCGTGGTCCCTGGGAAGGCCCCCACCACTGCCACCTCTGGAGCATTCCCTTCCACCGTTCTTGGTGAGATTCCACCTGCTGTCTCTGAAGATGCTGCCATGGACTCTAAAGAGAGTCCTCCTGCTGCGCCTACAGAGAACGCTCCTGTTGCTGCCCCTACCTGCAAAAAGGCTCCTGTGGTTGCCCCCAGAGGGGTTACCTCCGCTTCCCAAGGAAAATCCAAAATTACCAAGCCAGGTAAGCGAGATACAATCTAGGTTTTGTGAATGCTAGCTAAATATCATTTTATTTGTTAACTGATATACCACAAAATGACAAAATAAGCTTCTAAGCCATGGGTAGGCAAACTAAGGCCCGGGGGCTGGATCTGGCCCAATCGCCTTCTCATTCTGGCCCGCGGACGGTCCTGGAATCAGTATGTTTTTACATGAGTAGAATGTGCCTTTTTATTTAAAATGCATCTCCAGGGTATTTGTGGGACATAGGAATTCGTTCATTCCCCCCAAAAAAATATAGTCTGGCCCCCCCACAAGGTCTGCTGAAAAAGCTTGCTGACCCCTGTTGTAAGTAGTTTGCAAAATATTTTTTTAAAAGTTGCATGAATTTTAAAATAGAAACATCCATAATTAAACTATTTGTTGATTTAATGTCCTTACTTTGGAATATGGAAGATAAGTCGGCCTTTTGGGTAACCAGGCCTGCAATTGCTTAGGCATAGCTCAGTCGGTAGAGCATGAGACTCTGAATCCCGGGGTTGTGTGTTCAAGCCCCATGTTGGGCAAAAGATCCCTGCATTGCAATGGGTTGGGCTAGATGAGCCTCACGGCCCCTTTCAACTCTACGATTCTAAGACCTTAAAATAGCCACCGCAAGTCCCTCAGCACTGACATCACACATGCCTGGGTGAGGGACACAGCTCTGTCCCCTAAGAAGCTTGTGTACAATATTGCACCCAGGTGTCCATTGGTCTTTGGGGTCGTCATATGTGATTGGGCAACCATTCTGAAATCTTAGCCCCTGGTTTTCATAGTGGAAAGCAGGCCTTTTGAAAGAGGCATAGGCGTGGGAGCTATGAGTTCGCTCCTGGCACATCCTTCCAGCCCAGTTTTTGTGTGTTCTTGATTGAGATGCCAGAAGCCAACCTTCCTGTTTTAATTAATGCACCACCTCTTTCCACATGAACCTACCCAGACCCTGAGATCATCTTCCGAGGCCCTCCTTCGTGTGCCTCCTCCTTGAGAGGTCCGGAGGGTGGCAACACGAGAATGGGGCCTTCTCTGCAGTGGCTCCCCATCTCCCCAGGGAAGTTCGCCTGGCGCCTTCACTATACACTTATAGGCACCAGGCAAAAACATTCCTTTTTAACCAGGCCTTTGGTTGACCTGATGGACATCCTATACCCTTTTAAAATGTGGATCTTTTTTTGGGGGGGGTGTTATTGGGTTATTGCTCTTATTTTGATTTCATACGTTGTGATCTTTTCTGTGAACTGCACTCAGACCTCTGGGTATAGGGTGGTATATAAATTCAATAAATAAAAATAAATAAAATAAAAATTAAAAATATGTGGCCCTGCCACAGCACACCCCAGACCAGTCCTTTCCCCAGCTATCAGACCGTCTTACAGCCAGGGGCGGAGGAAGGGGGGTGCGGTGGGTGCGGGTTGCCCCAGGTGTCACCACTGAGGGGGGTGACAAAATGCCGGGCGGCACTCACCGCAGGGCCTGCAGTGCACCCGAGCCACACATATCTCCTGGGAAAGACACAGTGGCTTGGCCACGCTGCCCAAACGGTCCACCCACTGCCTCCTCCCCAGCTGTTGGGTGGCTGAGTGGGAGGAGGCAGGCAGTCTCTGGAGGCCCCATGGAGCGCCCTGCCCCTATGGGCAGCTCACCCCGCCCAGGCGCCCGAGAGGCTTCCTCTGCCACTGCTTACAGCAGTTTAGTTACTTTCCAGACCCTTGATCATCTTGGTTGCCCTCCTCTGCACACGTTCCCGCTTGTCAACATCCTTCTTAAGTTGTGGTGCCCAGAACTGGACACAGCATTTCAGGTTTGGTCTGACCAAGGCAGAATAGAGTGGGACTATGACTTCCCTTGATCTGTACACCAGACTTCTGTTGATGCAACCTACAATAGCATAAGCTCTTTTTTTGCTGCTGCATCACACTGTTGACTCATGTTAAGCTTGTGGTCCACCAAGACCACAGGGTAACTGCAAAGCACTCTGCACATGACCAGAGTCTCATTGACTCATGTGACGAAAGCATTGAAAACAATTTCCACTGACCACAAAGGGCAAGCATAAGCTCCAGATGAAGCAGCAGCAAGCCAGATGAGATTAAAGCAGCTCATTCTTTCTCTCCTTGTCTCCTGCAGTGACCCTTCTGCCATATTGGCCCACGCTGCTCATCGGCATGCTGGTCATCCTGGTATTGGCTGTTGGATTTTGCATGGTAAGGAAGACAGGCACTTCACACACACCCCAGACATTGTCAGATATACCCTTATTGGGTGTGTAGAGGACATTTGTTTGTTTAATTTTAATAATATTATTTTAGATTAGAGGAAATGGGCAGGGTGGGGGTAGGGGTGGCAATTGTCTTGTTATTTAAAAAAGTCTTAGGTGTTTTCTAAGCCTGGGAATAATGGATTCTGCCTACTTCCAAGATGAAAAAGCACAACAAATTAAAATTTATGGATATTTTTCAGTTTAGAAAAGGACCAAAACAGTGGGGATTTTTCCCCCACTTTTAAAAAAACAAAACCCTAATTAGCTGGGGGGTGGAGAAAGAAAATTGACACTTCTAGAGAAAACTGCATGAACTTTAAAAAGCAAGTAGAAGGATTTTAAAGAAACAATATATGGAGGTTTTCGATATTAAAGATTTTTAAAGGGAGGGGCAGAATTTTGCCCAAAGGCTTAGGACAATGAGGAATTCGAGGAGGAGAGGAGAGTTATGCACGCCAGATGTTTTAATGCACCTTTCCCAAAATCAGATAGAAGGTGTTTTTTGTTTTTTTATATATAAAATATTTATTGAAATTTTCAAAGTGTTACAACATAAAATAAAAGCAAAAGAAAATACAAAATAAAAATAGTTAACAAAGTAGAAAAAGAAAAAAAAACAAACCCCTTCCAACCATACGAATACAAATTCAAAAATAAGAAAAAAAAGACAGAGAAAAAACAAAAAACAAAAATACAATTTAAGAGCATTTAAAAACAAATTCATTATTCTCGAATCCTCAACTGTCATTACCTTCTTTCTTTGACCTCCTCCTCCTCCCTTTCTTTGTATCCTAGTTATTAATTATCCCAGCAAATCCTTTCCATATTTCATAATATTCTGTCATTACATTACCCTAAACAGTTTTAATCTTATCTTTCAATAAGAAAATAAACCTTAAAGCTTAAAACTTAAATCTTATCCTTACCAGCTTCTCATAACCATAATATTCTTTCATAATTCTTTAAACATCTTTACTAAAGCCGAGTAATTTCATTCCAACATTTTTCTGATATTCATCAATTTTATAAAACAGTTCTAATGGTAGAAAAAAGAAATACAAACAGATCCAATCTTCATCCAACGTCCCTTCCTCCTGGTTCTGGGTTTTGTCAGTCCTTATTATCCCATCGATCTGGCCCATTAACCTGGCAACCTTATATCCGAGGCCCTCAAGTCTCTTCCATGTCCCTTCCGCAGCTCTTCTTCATATTTTCCCTTGTCTCCTGCTCGTGGTAACTCCAGCTTGGCAATATTTTTAACCCTTCTCGACAGATCAGCCCCTTTTCCATATTCAGCACTAAATTCCATATGGTATTTAAAAGCATGTTTCAAAGACCCTCCAAAATTAAGAGCCCCCACAATCCCAAACATCTCACGGCCCATTGCCAGATTTGAGAAGTCCAAACATCCCAGCATAGGGGGGTCAATCCAGCCCCCCATTTCCAAGCCAAACCAAATTTTTCCTTTCCAAATCTGGCTTTTTCCAAGTTCATTTGTCAAATCCGAAAACTCATATTCCTGTTGGGCCTGTTCTGTCAGGACACACTCCTGATTTAATTCCTGGGTGGGCTCCACATATTTTCCCACTGTCTGTTCAAAATTTCCCACTGCCTGTTCAAAATTTCTAGTCGAAGTCGTCATCAAATTCACCTTCTCATGTAACTGTTCCAGTAGGGCATTTGTTTTGTAGAAAGCACACAACAAAGCTTCTGAATACATTGTCCTGCAAGGTCAAATGCCTATTCCCACGATTGTAATCTGTAAACAGCTGCCGGCTCCCTGGAGTTGGTTACAGTTTCACAGTCTCCCTCTAGTGGGAAAACTTCTATTTGTTCTTGCAACAAAGTTTCCCTTTTTGAGATACTTTGTCAATATTTGTTCCTTTGAAATGCGAAGGGCAACAGTGGAATCACTATGTTTCTCTTCTTTTAGCTATCTGTCAAAAACGTTTGTCTCTGGTCAAAGAACTTCAAATGTCAGTCCTGACACCCCGCTCCAGGATCAGGACGGAGGAAAGTTGCTTTACTTTAAACTCACTTTAAACAGTCCAAAAAAGATCCCCCTTCTTCTCCTGTCGAAGGGGAGTTCCACAATTTTAAATGATGAAATCCAATCCTTTAAAAGCGATTTTCTGAGCTCTGGTTTACGTTGTCTTTGCTTTATTATGTCTACAGAAGAACGGAAGGCTGACTTCCTGTTTAGACCTTCCCGTTCCGTACCAAATTGAAATAAATTTTTAAGATCCAATTCCTTTCTGCTCGCAAGTCCCCATCTAATGTCCAGTTGTTCAAAGTACTCATGGGTGCTTATTTTAGAGTCCAAATTGTCCCAGAAAAAAGGCAGCGCTCTCTGGCAACGGCTATGCGGCTTCGCTCCACGGAAATAGCAGTTGACTCACAGCACCGTGCCACTTCCCCCTCTTCACTTCGGAGCCCGTTAGTGGGTTCCTTAGCGAGTTGGGGGGGGGCGCTAAAGGTGCCCGCCGAGTACCATGGTCACAGGCTTCATCCGCCTGTGATTTTTAAAAGGGTCCCCGCTTCGCCGTAGCGGAGAAGACCCATTTCCCGCGGAGCTAGTCCCTCCAGTTCAGAGGGAGTCCGCCATTGCCGATGGCGCCACCCCGGAAGTCCTCCAGATAGAAGGTGTTTTTTGAGCCTGGACTTGAGGGTCCTTTTCTTTGGTTTGTGTGTTATTATTGCCCTGAACATATTATTGCCTCTCTCTCCCCCCTAGGTCATCTACTATGCAATGTTCTTCATCCTGGTCACCTACTCAACATTGTAACTGAACATGTTCCCCTGAACCCATTTTGAAATGAGAGTATCATCAAAATTTCGAGGGTCTGATTCTGATAGGCAGCCTGAGAATGGGTGGTTGTGGCTGATATTGGAGAGGGAAACAGGGGATGGGGGGAGCCATGCATGTAAAGGCAGCCTCTTAAGGAAAATCAATGGATGCTAGAGAAGGTTTTGATCACAAATGACACTAACTAGTTCTGCACAAGTGGATTCATTTATTAATCAGTGTTGCTTTTATAACGCTAGCGCAAAGCCATCAGGTTTCAAAATGGGAGGGCTGTCTGCCTATAATTTCCCAAATGGAAACCTTAGTTTTATAGAATCATAGAATCAGAGTTCAAAGGGACTGCATGTCATCTAGTCCACACCCCCCCCCCCCGCAACGCAGGAATCTTTTGCCCAGCGTGGCACTCGAACCCACTGCAAAAAGCCTGTTGTCACCAGGTTAAGGAGACTCATTACTTCAACTTATCAAACTCCCCCGATGCTTCTGCCTTCCTTACTGTAGTAATCTGACCACCATGGTGTTAACGGTAGAATCTCTTATGGTTACAGACTGCATCAAGGTTCCAGCATGGAAAATGAATTTATTCCCACTGCTTTTTGCGTGTAGTGCTGTATATAAGGAAACCATTACGATTGTAACTAACGCCTTATCTTGGTGGGGAGGGGTGTTATGTACTGAAGTTCTCACCCTGGGGCAGCAGGGGGATACTGTAGATAGTTCAGGTCCACATATGCAAATAAGGGGTCGAAAGTGACGTTCCGTGATTGGATAGTTACAGAAAATGGTTACTGTTGCGTTCTAGTGGAGCTCTATATAAGCAGGCTGGCTGAACCCTTCAGTTCAGTTCTGTTCTGGCCTGTGAATAAACAAGAGCTGTTTGAAGAATAGCTGTGTCGTCTGATATGTTCACCCACAACTTAACACTTTTCACTTTCTGTCTGGTGTTGTTCCAGAAACAAAACCTTGCAAAGCTGCAAATAAAATTAGTACGTGTTTCATATCTAAAAGAAACGGCATACGAAACTAACTCTTCCCAGTGAGGTGGCTGCTGAATATTGGCTGTCCCATGTAGTGTATATTCTTGTTGCCAAGAGCCTGCTAAAATAGTGAATATGGTTACCAGATTTTTTCCCAATGAATCCGGGGACACTTTTTTTTTTTGAAGCTGAGTAGCAACAGGGAGTCAGTAGTGGGGATGGTGAGGCAAAAGACCCTGGACCCAAGTACACATGCATATTGTATAAAGATGCAAAGCCCTTCTTTCGCACCCTGTGAAACATAACTGTGCAGAGTTTTTAAAAAACTGGGCAATGGTGCGCCGCCTGCCCATGACTCCCGAGCCTCCTCCGATCTGTCAAAACAAAGGGGGAAGGGGGCAGATGATCTGTACCACCAGGCGTCCCTGGTTCCCCTTCGACAGTGGCGGCGGCAGCGAGCAGCTCCTGAAGCCAGCCAGAGCCAACTGTGCTACCAGGCTGGCTCCGGGCTGCTGAGGCTGCCACTGCCACATTTCCTGGGGACAGATTTGCAAATCTGGGGACTGTCCCCGGGAACCAGGGATGGTCTGGTAACCCTACAGTAGAGCATGGTACAGTGGTGCACATCTGATCTCTGGGGAGCCGAGTAGCTATTGCTTCGTGGTGCCAGGGAGGTCAGTACAGTACAGTACAGATGCACCAGCAGAGCCAGCCCAGCACACCTAACAATATGTTTGCCCCGTGCCAAACTCCCTACCGACTTGCCTCTCGTCCTCTTGCGAAGCAGCAGCAACCCGGCGGTATCTGAGGCATCCGTGATCAGCAATGTATCCATGTTGCCATTTGCCAGTTACCCCGCTCCAAAGAGAGATGGCATTGAGCGTGGTTGCCAAACTACAGGCTGAGAGAAACACACACCTGTGAGGTGTTCAAACGGCCTTTTCTAGGGAAGTATGCTGGCAGGTGCATTTTGTCTGATTCCTAGCTGTTTTATCTTCTGCTCCCCCAAGGAGCCCGCATGTTTGGTACGCTAATAGTTCAGCGCTGTTATATTGATGCTTTAAAAAACAAAACAAAACCCTTAACCATTGCCCAGCAGAAGGAGCAGAAAATATAACAAATCTAAGAGCTCATCCAGACTTCCTTTGGCACCACCCTTTCAGACACAGATCTGCGCTTTCCAGGTCTGTCCCAAGCGTTTGTTTTTTTAATCCCACTGCTTTATTTATTTTAATTTATATAGAGCAGAGTAAACACTGCTCTAAAGATAACATGCTGATATGTTTAGAGTAAGCTCATAAAGTTTTCTTGATAATATAATACAATAGAATAGAATACAATATAATAGTATATTAAAAGAAAAAATGTAGCGATACATGATTTGCAGTGTAAATAAGAACTTGAATGAAAAAATGATGAGCACTGGTGGAGGGAAGTCATAAAGGTGTATTATCATCCACCTATTTCATGTACTTCTTTCTTACCTTAACTTTTCTTTTGTTTTTCTTCTTATCCTTTTTTGTTGTTCTTTTTTGTTGTTATTATGTTATTATGGTTGTAAGTGTATGTGTATGAATGTCAGTATGAATGTCTAATCAATTAAAATAAATAATTTAAAAAATAATAATTTATTTATTGATACATATTCCAAGATATACGAAAATACATACCCATTGCAAAGTATCTTTTTATAATATACTGAGATAAAACAGCTACTTTAGTCTATAAGAGAACAAAGTCAGGAGGGAGAAAAGACAAGGAAAGGAAAAACCTAAAGAAAGAGAAAGCGAGAAAAGAGGAAAAAAATAAAGAAGAAAAATAAAGAGCTTCTGGTTCTCTGTCCTGCAGCTACATAAAATATTCATTCCTTAAGATCCAACCATTCTAACATCTATAAACCAGTATTTTCCATCTTTGTGCATATAGCAGTCTTGCCACTGTATTGGAAACTGCTCAGACAAGGACATGGAAAACGTGTCATGAAAGGAAGTCTGGATGAGCACCTAAGTGAAACAACTTCAGATCCTCAATGCCCAGTTCAAAATGGAGAAATCATATTGCTCTTCTGTCCTCTGGCAAAGAAGTACCGTATTGGCCCGAATATAAGCCGCACCTTTAAAATTGGAGCGGGGAGGAGATAAAAAGAAAAACACCCGAATATAAGCCACTCCATTCCTCGCTGCTTCTGGCTGCACACTGGGGGCGGGGGGGGGGTCGTGCTGCTTTGCCCCCAGCCTTTCCCCTTCCTCGCTTTCTCCCTTCCCAGCCTTGGGGGAGAGGATGGAGGACTACGCACAAGGTGGGTGGCCGCTTTGCCATGCTCCTGGCACTGTTTGCCCTGAGCTCCTGGCTGCATTCTGCAAGGTCGCGAATATAAGCCGCACTTTAAATTTTCATGGTCGGAATTTGGGGGAAAAGCGAGGCTTATATTTAGGCCAATACGGTGACCTTTTCTCTGAGGTTTTGTTTCACTTGATCAATTGCCTGCTGGCCTTGAGTGGCTTTGTAGCTTCTCCAGCCATCAGACTTGTGCTGGCGAGTTGTTGTTTAGTCGTTTAGCCGTGTCCGACTCTTCGTGACCCCATGACCAGAGCACACCAGGCACTCCTGTCTTCCACTGCCTCCTGCAGTTTGGTCAGACTCATGCTGGTAGCTTCGAGAACACTGTCCAACCATCTCGTCCTCTGTCGTCCCCTTCTCCTTGTGCCCTCCATCTTTCCCAGCATCAGGGTCTTTTCCAGGGAGTCTTCTCTTCTCATGAGGTGGCCAAAGTATTGGAGCTGGCGAGTATGTAATCACAATTACCAGCCACCATGGATATGGCTGAACTTAGCGATCTCTGTGTCTCTGTGGCAGGATAGAAACAGTTTGCCCTCTCAAAATAGCCAGGAAAGGAGAGGAAAATCTGGTTGGCTGGTTTTGCCAGTGGAACCTTTGAAAAGGTGAGCAGTTGCTGTAAGGAGAGAACTGATGCTGTCCTAAGATGTATCACTGCCCACCTGCCTGCCTCCGTCCTGTTCAACTTGTATATTTATAATTAAACAGATGTTGCTAAAAAAAATAGTGCAAGGCTCCATTTTTTCATTTCACTTTTAATTTGCATATTATGATGCACAAGGCGGTTCGCAGGCTGAAGGAACGACAAAATAGATAGCAAAGATCACACATGTAACCACAATCTGATCCGATACAAAAAAAGGTCATGATAACTTTAAAAAAAACAAACAACTTATATCAAATAGAGCAATATTCAATAATCCATTAGAATATAACAGCAAACAGCAGAATTAAATATCAGCAAAAAACAATTAAGCAGTCTACACTTAACAATTACAATAAAGAATTACTAAATTGTAGTCAATAAAAATAATGACAAGTCACAATGCGTATGTATATATTCCTATATAGTTCAGGAAGTGGCCTTTACATCATGTGAAAGCTCAAGTATAATGTGGAAATCAACAGGGAAACTCAGTGAAAATGGAATAAACTGTCATGTGAATGTAGCTGCTGTCTAGAGTACCCAACGAGAAGGTCGGGACCCATCTGTATTTTGGACTCCACACCATGGAAGTACCGTATTTTCCTGTGTATAAGACGCCCCCATGTATAAGATGACCCCTATTTTTTCGAACCCAAAATTATTAAGAATTTATGAAGAAAAGTTGTTGATTGCCATGCCGAAAACCATGTACAGTGGTACCTCGGGTTAAGAACTTAATTCGTTCTGGAGGTCTGTTCTTAACCTGAATTTTAGTTAATGGGGCCTCCTGCTATCGCTGCGCCGCCGGAGCACGATTTCTGTTCTCATCCTGAAGCAAAGTTCTTAACCCAAGGTACTATTTCTGGGTTAGCGGAGTCTGTAACCTGAAGCGTATCTAACCTGAAGCATCTGTAACCCGAGGTACCACTGTATCAGATGACCCCCCATGTATAAAAACTAAGAAAAAAAATTGTCTTATACACAGAAAAATACGGTAATTTCAGATGCAACCCTGCTTACATTTACATGGGAGAAAGCCCATGAAGATGTTAGGTTAAAAAAAAAAAAAAGCTGAGAAATACTCATCTTCCTTGGGCACATGAACAAACATGAACAACCAGAACACGTGGTTAGCATGTCACAACATCTTCATTAATACAAACCAATCCCACAAAAGGCATTTAACAGAAAGAATCAAGAAATACAAAATTTCCTCCTGTAAGCTTCAGGAACTACAGCTCATTGGTACTAATTCATCCAGTCTTCAGTAACATAAACAAAATATGAATCATGAGAATTGCCTCCCCTTTTCTGGCAATGCTCCTGTAACTTTAACAACTTCATAACAGACAGGAGTTCAACAGGTACATCCCCCCCCAAAAAAACACTTCAAGCTCTGTAAGGAGAAAACAATTCATCTGCTGCTACTGCCCCTTAAAAAGCACATGATCATTCACCATGAACAGGAATGAAAGAAATAGCCCTAAATATCAATGTGTGTGACCAAGGATCAACTAGGTAAACAGTCAGTGGCGTAGTGTGGGAGGTGCAGGGGGGGCCGGCCGCACCGGGCGCAACATCTGGGGGTGAGGGTTAGGGGGCGCAAATCCACGGGTTAGGGGGCGCAAATTACTTGCCTTGCCCCGGGTGCTGACAACCCACGCTACGCCCCTGTAAACAGTACAGTGCTACCTCGGGTTAAGTACTTAATTCGTTCCGGAGGTCCGTACTTAACCTGAAACTGTTCTTAACCTGAAGCACCACTTTAGCTAATGGGGCCTCCTGCTGCTGCTGCGCCGCCGGAGCACGATTTCTGTTCTCATCCTGAAGCAAAGTTCTTAACCTGAGGTACTATTTCTGGGTTAGCGGAGTCTGTAACCTGAAGCATATGTAACCCAAGCTACCACTGTATGTAGATCAACAATAAAGGCGCTCTTTTTGCCTTTTTATTGAAAATTGGGCATAGAGAAGGAAGCCAATCAGGAAGTTAATGGGAATTTTCCCATTCTTTTGTGGACCACCACATATGAAAGGATTGGAGAAACTCGGGCCCAGTGACCAATTACAGAAACCCTCTCCTTTCCCTATAACTTCACATGTTTCCAAGACTGGGTCCTGTCACTAGAAACAGGTTCTGGGACTGTCAAGAGAAGGCTGGTGATTACATATGCTAGTCAAAATTCAAGTGGGTGAAAACTGTCCACTGTCTGGGATTTTTATTTCAAAAGCAAACATATCAAAGCCGCAAAACAGAAAGAAAGAAAGAAAGAAAGAAAAACCCCATCATCTAGAAAAGCAGCTACACAGCCGACTCATTTTGACATTTCAGCGGTCTCTCTCTCTCTCTCTCTCTCTCTCTCTCTCTCTCTCTCTCTGGAAAACTGCTAAGTCGACGTTCGATGGGCTGAGCTACACGCCACAGCGGTGGGGTGTGCAACCTTTGTCCAGTATGGAAACTAGGAGGAAAAGAAGGAATATATATATGAATGTATGTTGTATGACTTGATAAGGAGGTGCTGTGATTCATAGGTGATGGCACTCTGTGCTTCCAAAATATTCAGTGAGGCGCACCCAAGGTCCAAGTCCAGGTCATTGCGACTCTACGGTCTCCTGACTGTTCAGCTGCCACTTCACTTCAGCTCAATATTTCCTTACCTTTTTTACCATCACTTAACTTAAGGATAGGGTGCAAGTGGCCCTCCCAGATGTTGTTGGCCTACTATTATTATCAGCTATTAAATTTATTGCTTGCCCAGGTCCCAGGGCAGGTAAAAACAATTAAAAATTCAGAATTAAAAACAGTTAACACAGATTATAGCTGCAGGAACAGAGAGGGCGCTGAAAACACACATCTCAGGGGTCAAAGGCCAAGGTAAAAAGCTGTAAGCCGTATAGTGAGGAGCCCAGGCACACTTCTGCAGGGAGTGAATTTCACAACTGAAGGGCTACCACGGAGAAGACCCCCACTCCAAACTTCTGAGGGAGGTGGAACTGCCACAAAGGTCCCCACTGCTGATCTCAACACACGTGAGGGTCTGTTGGGAAGGAGGCAGTCTTTCAGACTACAACCCCCCATCATCCCTGAGCATTGGCCACACAAGTCTGGGGCTGGTGGAACAACAACAACAACTGGAGGGCCACAGCTTCCTGAATCTCTGACTTAGCTCACTGTAGTTAAGGTCAGTGGTGCCATTAGGGTAAAGCTTGGAGGGCAGATGTCTAGGGCCATCCTATTCAGCAGAATGAGCAGGATTTCACCCCAACGAACACACCAGGGCTTTCTGAAGTAAGTGAAGAAGTAATGCACATTCTGAAGTAATGCCGTCCTGGTTTCTGATTTGATCCCAGAATATCTCACTTTTCTTTAAAGATAAAGGTAAAGGGACCCCTGACCATTAGGTCCAGTCATGACCGACTCTGGAGTTGCGGTGCTCATCCCGCTTTACTGGCTGAGGGAGCCGGTGTACAACTTCTGGGTCATGTGGCCAGCATGACTAAGCCGCTTCTGGCAAACCAGAGCAGCGCACGGAAACGCCGTTTACCTTCCTGCCAGAGCAGTACCTATTTATCTACTTGCAGTTTGACGTGCTTTTGAACTGCTAGGTAGGCAGGAGCTGGGACCAAGCAACGGGAGCTCACCCCGTCGCGGGGATTCAAACCGCCGACCTTCTGATCGGCAAGCCCTAGGCTCTGTGGTTTAACCCACAGCGCCACCTGCGTCCCTCACTTTTCTTTAGGACGTCCCTATTTTCATTGGAGAAATGTTGGAATGTATGCGTCCGAAGAGGGTGTCCATAAGTCCATTTGAAGTAATACAGTTTACCACCAGAACAGCCACCCTCCCGAAAGAGCATTAAGTCCAGAGCCTACAATTACTGAACTGTGCTACTAAAATTCAAGGCCTGATTTGAACAATGGGAATAAGGCAGAGCGAGTCATTCCTGAGGGTTGCAGGGCAGACGGCGTGCGCTCTCCGGTTAAAAAGACAAAGCAAAACACTGTGCAAACAGAAAATTAAAAACACCAGGGAGAAAGGTTCCAGCCCATCCCTTAGCCTGCTCAGCTGGTTTTCTATGGATGGGTTTTGTTTTGTTTCTTTAACACAAAGGAGCATTTGGAAAGATCATCTGCCATCACCTCCAGTCTGAAATGACACAGTCCGTCCGGTTACCTCAACATTTATCACATTCTACTGTAGTCATTACTAGGTTTCTTTCATCGAAAGACTCTATGACCTTTGAACACCCTTCCAACTCTCTGCTGCACATCTGGATCCAGCCTAAGTTCCCTCTTCCTCCTAAAACTTAAGAGCATCTTCACATTCCAGGTCTTTCCCTCTAGCCTTCTTGGCCATGGCTACAACTGTTAGGTCAGGGCCAGGGTGGGTGTTGTGCGGATGCCTAATTATCGTCTTCCAAAGCAACCACTCTATCCGAATTGGAAAATGGTAAGCGTGATGCTGGTGGTCAACAAAAGAGGTTCAAAGAATCTCTCAAGGCAAATCTTTAAAAATGTAGTATAAACACTAACAAATGGGAAACACTGGCCTGCGAGCGCTCCAATAAGAGAATAGCCTCCACCAAAGGTGTCGTGGGTTTTGAATACAGGTAGGTAGCTGTGTTGGTCTGCCGTAGTCAAAACAAACAAACAAACAAAATTCCTTCCAGTAGCACCTTAGAGACCAACTAAGTTTGTTATTGATATGAGCTTTTGTGTGCATGCACAAGAAAGCTCATACCAATCACAAACTTAGTTGGTCTCTAAGGTGCTACTGGAAGGATTTTATTATTGTTATGGGTTTTGAAGATGCTCAAACTCAGGACGCAAGGGAGAAACGTGCTAAGAGGAAGCCACGCTTGGCAAACCCTCACCGTGATTAGCTCCCGCCCAGAAACCTATGCCCCCACTGTGGAAGGACATGTGGATCCAGAATTGGCCTCCACAGTCACTTACAGACTCACTTTTAAAACTGTGTTTATGGAAGACAATCTTACTTGGCTACGAGTGGCAGTTCCCTCGCTGCGAGAAGCCAAGTTACAGGGAACCAGGCAGAGGGCCTTCTTGGTAGTGGCACCCGCCCTGTGGAACGGCCTCCCACCAGATGTCAAAGAAAAAAACAACTACCAGACTTTTAGAAGACATCTGAAGGCAACCCTGTTTAGGGAAGCTGCAGTTTGTGTGCTGTGGTCTCTAGGCAGCAGAATACAAATGGAAATATCTGGCTAACGGATGTCCAACTCTAAGATTCCATGGTTCTATGTGATGTGGTGGTTGGACCAGCTAGAACTGGGGAGACCTAGATTCAAATGGACCAGCTAGAACTGGGGAGACCTAGATTACAAGCCTGGTAGATGAAGGGAACGCAGTGGATGTAGCCTACCTTGATTTCAGCAAGGCATTTGACAAGGTGCCCCATGATATTCTTGTAAAGAAGCTGGTAAAATGCGGTCTTGACTATGCTACCACTCAGTGGATTTGTAACTGGCTGACTGACCGAACCCAAAGGGTGCTCATCAATGGTTCCTCTTCATCCTGGAGAAGAGTGACTAGTGGGGTGCCACAGGGTTCTGTCTTGGGCCCGGTCTTATTCAACATCTTTATCAACGACTTGGATGATGGACTCAAGGGCATCCTGATCAAATTTGCAGATGACACCCAACTGGGAGGGGTGGCTAACACCCCAGAGGACAGGATCACACTTCAAAACGACCTTGACAGATTAGAGAACTGGGCCAAAACAAACAAGATGAATTTTAACAGGGAGAAATGTAAAGTATTGCACTTGGGCAAAAAAATGAGAGGCACAAATACAAGATGGGGGACACCTGGCTTGAGAGCAGTACATGTGAAAAGGATCTAGGAGTCTTGGTTGACCACAAACTTGACATGAGCCAACAGTGTGACATGGCAGCTAAAAAAGCCAATGCAATTCTGGGCTGCATCAATAGGAGTATAGCATCTAGATCAAGGGAAGTAATAGTGCCACTGTATTCTGCTCTGGTCAGACCTCACCTGGAGTACTGTGTCCAGTTCTGGGCACCACAGTTCAAGAAGGACACTGACAAACTGGAACGTGTCCAGAGGAGGGCAACCAAAATGGTCAAAGGCCTGGAAACGATGCCTTATGAGGAACGGCTAAGGGAGCTGGGCATGTTTAGCCTGGAGAAGAGGAGGTTAAGGGCAGATATGATAGCCATGTTCAAATATATAAAAGGATGTCACATAGAGGAGGGAGAAAGGTTGTTTTCTGCTGCTCCAGAGAAGCGGACACGGAGCAATGGATCCAAACTACAAGAAAGAAGATTCCACCTAAACCTTAGGAAGAACTTCCTGACAGTAAGAGCTGTTCGACAGTGGAATTTGCTGCCAAGGAGTGTGGTGGAGTCTCCTTCTTTGGAGGTCTTTAAGCAGAGGCTTGACAACCATATGTCAGGAGTACTCTGATGGTGTTTCCTGCTTGGCAGGGGGTTGGACTCGATGGCCCTTGTGGTCTCTTCCAACTCTATGATTCTATGATTCTATGATTCTATGATTCTAAATCCCTGCTCATCTATTAAACTCACCCTCTTTTCATCTACCACACAGGTTGTGGTGAGGATAAAACAAGGGGAGGAGACGAACCATGTAGGCTTCCTTGAGCTTCTTGGAGGAGAGGAAAGATTTGCAACCTTATTATATTTTATTTATTTAAAGCAGAGGTGGGAAACCCTCAGGCACAGGGACCTAATGCAGCTGTCTGTGTCTCTCTATCTGACCCTCAGGTCTCTCTCCAGGCTACACCCCTCACTGCTCAGAAACCCCTGGTTTTGTACTGAATACACATACCCTCCAACATCTGGGTGATCCAAATTGGGAAGCTTGTTTCTGTTTTTTGTTTTGGTCCCGAGCTCTTGTGGGAGCCAGCTGACTTGCGCCGGAGCGCCAGACCAAAAACAGGACATTTAGAAGCCGAGATGGCTTCTGATGTCCCACTTAAATCAGGGCAGTCGAACGGTATGAATACTACATTCTAGCCATGCAAAGGAAAAAAGTAATCTCCATTGCTCCACCCACTTTGGCATCTGGCTCCTCCCAAAAGTAGCATCCAAGCCCTTAAATGTGGCATTTTGACTGAAAAGGGTTCCCCACTCTGATTTAAATAGCTCCTATGCTGTCTTTCTGAACAAAATCCTCCCAAGATATCTCACAAAATGAAATTGATCTCATATACCTAACAGGAGAATTTAAGTTCATGGACTTAGCAGGGAGTCACACTTTCAAATGAATCACAGTGCAGCCCACTTGCAATGCTCCCAGGCTTGCGTTAAACAAAACAACCAATTAAATAAATTTCTTAAGCATCCCCTCTCTTAAAGTAGGATCACTCCCATCAAAGTGATGGCTTTTTCCTCCAGGGCTCACGTTTGGGACAGTTGTGTCCTGTGCCAAATGAATGGGCCTGGGCATACTTGTGGAGGAGGAAAAAGCCTTTTGTAACAAGGGGAAACAGGCACGGGGAACAAAGTTCCAGACTAGCTTTCTACTCTACTGCACCCGAGTGCCCTGCCTTTTTCAGAGACCTTCAGGGTCCGCCTGACTTCCAGGCAGCTGTAAACGCTATCTATCTGCTCTGGTGAGGTTTCACAGGCGTTGGACCCAGAGCTGACCAATTCTTAATAATAATAATAAAAACTTACCAAAAACAGGAAGCCAACCAGCATGAAAATGAAGAATGACATCGTCAGGCATAGGAGGACTGTGGCCCATCCTGGGAAAGCACCACAGTTGGGATGGCATGTGGTGTTCTCTACAAAACGACAGGAATAAGATATGTGAACTAAACTGACAACAATTTACTCAATTTACTCATCAACAACTTCTTATAGGTGATCCACATTCCAAACACATGGCAGCTTGGGGAGTTGGGGGTTCTCCAGCTCAGATTTTTGCTTGAAAGTAGTGAGAATGTTGAACTGTCTTATAAATCCTGTTTCAAGAACCCAGCTCCTGCTGCTGCTGCTGCAGCTGCTTCCTTGTCATCCCCTCCACCATTACTGGGTCATAGCTCGGTTGTAAAGAGGTAAAGGTAAAGGGACCCCTGACCATTAGGTCCAGTCGTGACCGACTCTGGGGTTGCGGCGCTCATCTTGCTTTACTGGCCGAGTGAGCCGGCGTACAGCTTCCGGGTCATGTGGCCAGCATGACTAAGCCGCTTCTGGTGAACCAGAGCAGCGCACGGAAACGTCATTTACCTTCTTGCCGGAGCGGTACCTATTTATCTACTTGCGCTTTGACGTGCTTTCGAACTGCTAGGTTGGCAGGAGCAGGGACCGAGCAACAGGAGCTAACCCCGTCATGGGGATTTGAACCGCCAACCTTCTGATCGGCAAGTCCTAGGCTCTGTGGTTTAACCCACAGCGCCACCTGCGTCCCAGCTTGGTTGTAGGATCATAGAATTGTAGGGTTAGACCCCTTGCAATGCAGGAATCTTTTGCCCAACATGGGGCTCAAACCCACGGCCCTCCGTTAAGACTGAATGGAGCCACCAACCTCATTTCCCCCCACCTGCCTGCCTTCTTACATATTACACGTTCAAAGGGGCTGCATTACTGCCTGTCAGTTTCCACACCATCCTCTCCTCCGTCTCACCGTTGCCCTTGTAGAACTCAGCAGGGAGGACAGTGGCAGACAAGGCTAGAATTTGTTGGTTCTGCCTGTCGTTGACTCTGGCTCCACCTGCTGGTGGTCTCCCTGCCTAGCATCCTACTGGTTCCAACCAGCCCCAGCCACTGCAAGGCAAACGTGGGATTCCAAACCCCATGTTTGCATTCCAAAGTGTAGGGTGGGGAGGAATGTCCTTAGGTCTGGGAGAATCAGCAGACAGAAGAAGGGTTAGGTACCCCCTCCTTCCACCCACCAGTTTCCCCCCACAAAGTGTCCCTTCTCCTCACTATTTGCATACCCTCCAACATTCCTCTGAGGAAGACAGGGGTGCCCTATGTTGTTGTTGTTATACCCACCCATCTGACGGGGTGGGTTGCCCCAGCCACTCTGGGCAGCTTTCAACATATATACAGTGGATGCTCAGGTTGCGAACGCGATCCGTGCGGGAAGCACGTTCGTAACCCGCAGCACAGCGTGTGCACATGCACAGGTCGCGATTCGGTGCTTCTGCACATGCGCTGAAACCTGGATGTAACCAGTTCCGGTACTTCCGAGTTTGGCACGGTGCGCAACCCAAAATTGCGCAACCCGAAGCATCTGTAACCCAAGGTATGACTGTAAACACATAATAAAACATTTTTAAAAACTTCCCTATACAGGGCTGCCCAGATGTCTTCTAAAGGTTATATACTATCTCCTTGACTCAGGGGTCAAGTAACTCCACACCCTCCAACATTTCTCCGATGAAAATAGGGACACCCTAAGGAAAAGTGGATCATTCTGAGGTCAAATCAGAAACTGAGACGGTTTCTGTAAATCCCGGACTGTCCCCGGAAAATAACCACTTTGCAGAAGTAGGAACCTAGGAACTACCTTATACTGGATCAGTCCACTGGCCCACCTTAGCCCAGCAATGCCTGCACTGACCAGAAGGAAGTTCAGGCAGGGGTTTCTCCCAGCCCTGAATCGAAAGCGTGATGAATTGAATTGTCCACTGAATTGAAAGCAGATACAGTGGTACCTTGGGTTACATACGCTTCAGGTTACAGACTCCGCTAACCCAGAAATAGTACCTCAGGTTAAGAACTTTGCTTCAGGATGAGAACAGAAATCGTGCTCCAGTGGTGCAGCAGCAGCAGGAGGCCCCATTAGCTAAAGTGGTGCTTCAGGTTAAGAACAGTTTCAGGTTAAGAACGGACCTCCGGAACGAATTAAGTACTTAACCCGAGGTACCACTGTATTGTGCCATTTAACTATGCCCAGTGCCCTAAAGTAACGTGCAGTTCTACCCTGAAGAAGCCAACTCAGCAGGGCTATAGATTGGTTGCTTATTACCTTCCACATGGACCGTGGACTTTCTAAGAGTGGGAGTGGCATTTACAGGTGGGACGGTGGTCTCTTCCTGCTGCGGAGTGTTAGTTTTTCCAGCAACGGTGCCAGTAAAATTCTCTGTCGAAAGGAGGGTCAGATCCTCAGGGTTTTCTGTCGAGGCAAAATGTTCCTGGCCAGGGGAGCCTTCCCCCAAGAAGCTGATGTCACTTCCTGGAACATCCAACCCAGCTCCGGTTTGGGTTGTTGTAGCAATGCTCTCAGGACCCAGAGAAGTTGCGTAGGGAGCAAATGGGGGGGTTGTAGAAGCAGCGCCGTTGACGCTGGGAGAGGTGCTTTCAGAGGAACCTTCCAAAGCCATGGAGGAGACGTCAGGGGTGGTTGTGTGGGCAGCACATCCCAAAATGGGGCCTTCAAGTTTGCCGCCCACTGCATTGTTGCCAACTTCTCCAGTGGTGGCTCTAGTAATTCCTCTGGCGGTGGTGGTGGTACTTCCTCCAGCAGTAACAACTGTGTTTTCCCCATGAGCTGTGACATTTAGAGTCAATATGACTGTACATCCTCGAGAGATGTGGGCTGCCATTAAGGCCACATCCACAGCTGTTGCAAATGGCAAAGCGCAGTGTACCGTAGTGATGGTATCGCCACTTATGCTGAGGGATATCTTCATTTCTGCAGCGGTTCCTTCGGTGATAACAGGACCTGTGGGTGCTGAAAATAAGAAAATATTTAAATTCCTGCACCGGAATTCTCTCTACCGCCTTATAGTTCTTTCATGCAAGAAGAAAAAGAGTTTGGATTTAATATCCCGCTTTATCACTACCTGAAGGAGTCTCAAAGCAGCTAACAATCTCCTTTCCCCTTCCTCCCCCACAACAAACGCTCTGTGAGGTGAGTGAGGCTGAGAGACTTCAGAGAAGTATGACTAGCCCAAGGTCACCCAGCAGCTGCATGTGGAGGAGCAGGGAAGCGAACCCGGTTCACCAGATTACGAGTCCACCGCTCTTAACCACTACACCACTCTGGCTCCCAGCTGGATACTGAAAGGAAGGGGGTGGCATGGCTCAGTGTTAGAGCACATGCTGGTTCAATCCCCAATATCTCCGGGTACAGCTAGCCTTGGGAAGAGCTGTTGCCACTCAATGTAAACAATACTGAGCTAGACAAACAAAGCAGTGGTCTGACGATCTAAGACAACCTTGTTGGAAGGGACCCCGAGGATCATCCAGCCCAAAGTTTCCCAAACTTGAGTTTCCAGCTGGTCTGGGCTACAGTTCCCATCATCCCTGACCAATGTTCCTGCTAGCTTCAGATGGTGGGAGCTCTAGTCCAAAAACAGCTAGAGACCCACGTTTGGGAAATCCTGACCAATTTAACCTTCTGCAATCCAGGAACAAGCAGCTGTCCCTTATGGGGATTGAACCTGCAACCTTGGCATTATCAGCACCATGCTCTAACCAACTGAGCTATCCAACTCAACAGGGGAAGGTCCCCCAAATTTGCTGCATGAGACAGCCTGCTCCACATTGCCCAGTGGGAGGGATGGCTTTCATTTGCTTATTATTGCATTGACACTCCACATTTGCTCCAAGAGCTCAAGGTGGCAGAGATCACTGTCCCTTCTGTATTATCCTCATAACAATCCCATGAGGTTGGTTAGTCTGAGAATTGGTGACTGGCCCAAGGTCACCCAGAGCGCTTCTGGACTTAGCAGGGGGTTGAATTTTCAAGTCCGAGTCCATCACTGTAATCACTACACTGTCTGCAGCTTGTGTGTCAAAAATTCTGGCCTCTGCCACACACACACACACACACACACAGGCTGAAATCCTAAGCACACTTACATGGGAGCAAGATCCATTGACCACAGCGGGAGTTGCTTCCAAGTAAATATGCACCAGATTTGGCTGCAAATCCAGGAGGTCTTACCAGTTTCCGCAAGGCACAGGATTGCTGGGAAGATGATTTTCCAGGGGGCAGATAGAACCGGCTCCATTGTAGCTGCTCCCTAGCGACTTCACTGGCTGCCCAAGGCAGGAGTGCCAGCGATCGCATGGTTTTATGGGAACAAAACAAATGGGATGGTTTTATGGGAAGGAGGTCGCCTGGTATCCAGTGACACTGAGGAGTGTTTCCATTAAAATGGAGGTGCTTCTGCCTAGTGATAAGGGAGCTCATCCGGTGGTGTTGGGCAGCGAGAAAATTATAGTCGGTAAAGTGTAATAAAACAGCCTTTCATCTGGGGCTAAATCCTTTCTTCCAGTTGGGTCAGAGCTTTTCCAAACCAGATTTCTCCAGTTTTTCTTTTTATTGCATCTCCTTTCACTAGAAAACCTTTCTAGGAAATGGGAGAGAAAACTGGAGCATTATTTGAATATTCTAGGGGCAAAGGAATAAGAGACCATGAGAGCTGAAGGGACTTCCTTAAACCCATAGGTATCGCCATGTTTTGAAGCACCCATGAACAACTCAGATATGGTGGGGTGTTGTTTTTTTTAAAAAAATTACATTTGTATATTCTGCGGTCTGTATGCCCATCACACACCCAACTATCTAATTGAATCACCTAATACCAGGATCCTTCCCACCTCCAGACAAGTAACTGTCATGGTGGACTGGTTGGATGTAGGATAAGGTTGCCAGATGTCCCCATTTCCTGGTGACAGTCCACGGATTTACAAATCAGTCCCTATACAAAATCCATTAAAGTTGAAAAGTGTCCCCCGATTCATTGAAAACAATCTGGTAACCTTAATGCAGGAGTGGTGGGATGCACCAGCTAGGGAACCCCCAAGGGAACCCCCAGAGGAAGAAGGCTCAGAGCCAGGGAACTGGTGATGGGTTGACCATGAGTGGTCAGAGGGAGAAGAGGGAGCAGACTGGGAGGAGGTGATGTCGGAAGCTGAAGAGGCAACAGGATTTAGTGAGCAGGAAGAGGCTGTGGCAGGCAGCAGTCTAGAATCAGAGGCAGAAGCAGAGCGGGGGACAAGAGGCAGAGATCGGGCTGCTGAAGAAGCAGAGTGTCTCCCCCTCCTGCTTCAACCAGCTCCACTCTCCCTTGGTCTCCCAGAAGATGCAGAGAAATGAAGAGGGTAAAGCAGAGACAGATCTCATAATGAAGTTCTAAATCAACCTATTGCAACTTTCAAGATAGTGGTACCAGATCTCACATTATTTTTGATACAGCTTGTAAAATTACCAAATGCTCTTCAAAGACATCTTTTAATACATCAAAGGCAGATCTGGAGTAGCGACTTCTCCCATGGGAGCACTAAGATGGAAGAAGCTACATTCGTCAGAAACTCCCTTTTTCTTATTTCCGGGCTCTGAGTGTCGTTGCCAAAAGGCACCAACCCACGCGGAATATGAGCAAAGTTGGGGTAATCACATGGTTTGAAAAATACAGGCGACCTCTTCGATGGGAGAATTGTATGGAACCCAATGAAGGAATGTGTTCATTGGCTATGAGATACTGACTCCTGGGGTGAAATAGTATTAGTAATGGGGACTAAGAAAGCAAGAAGATCCCTGCTGGATCAACCCAAAGGCTTGTCTAGTCAAGTAGTCTTGCAAAGTGGCCAACCAGCTATCTATGACGCAGGTGGCGCTGTAGACTCTAAACCACTGAGCATCTTGGGCTTGTAGATCGGAAGTTCAGCAGTTCAAACCCCCTTGACGGGGTGACCTCCCGTTGCTCTGTCCCAGCTCCTGCCAACCTAGCAGTTCGAAAGCATGCCAGTGCAAGTAGATAAATAGGTACCGCTGTGGCAGGAAGGTAAACGATGTTTCTGTGCGCTCTGGTTTCATCACGGTGTCCTGTTGAGCCAGAAGCAGTTTAGTCATGCTGGCCCACATGACCCGGAAAGTTGTCTGTGGACAAACACCAGCTCCCTTGGCCTGAAAGCGAGAAGAGCACCACAACCCCAGAGTCGCCTTTGACTGGACTTAACTGTCCAGGGTCCTCTGCAGGTTGGTGGACAGGATTGGAGCACAGTGGCATTTCCCTTGCTGTCCTTCCCCCACCAACTGCTATTCAGAGGCACAGCGTGACTGAAATCCTTAACAGGGGAGCATGCCACGCTGCTGCAACGTTTTGTTGCGGGATCCATTCCTTCTCTTGACTACACAGTTATTAGAGTCACAGGCGCCGTGTCCTGAACTGCACCAAGCAACCTCCAAAGCACGCTTCTTTAGGTGCAATCTCTGAAAAGCCATTAACTGGCCCATAATGGACAATCAGTAAGCAAGGAAACCCATCTCCTGTGCCACTAACAGCCTATTTGGGAGCATTTGCTGCTCACCGAAGCTGCGCATGAGTCACTGCCGTCACTGTGTTTGATTCGTAAGTCAACACATCCCCTTGCAGTGGGAGGCCAAGGCAAGATGGCAAATAAAAGAATTGAGACTGGGTTGGGTGCGCATAAGGCAACAATGAAGAAACATTGACCTTATGGGATTCAGAATCTCTCTTCAGGACAACGCTCCAGCCTCCTGATTACTGACTCTGAAGAGAATAGCTTTTATTGTGACTGTCCCTTTAAGCAGGCCCCAATCCACCTCTACAGGAGGCAGGGCTGTCAGTAATTCAGTCAGGCCAACCAAGTGCTGCCCACCCCATGAAGGCTTAATGAAGAACTCACAGCACTCAGGAATTCAGGCCACATTCACACTTCACATTTAAAGGACAATGGTACCAATAATAACAATACTTTTATTATTTGTACCCCACCCATCTGACTGGGTTGCGCCAGCCACTCTGTGTGGCTTTCAACATAAAGTGGTACCTCCGGTTACGAACTTAATTCGTTCTGGAGGTCTGTTCTTAACCTGAAACTGTTCTTAACCTGAGGTACCATTTTAGATAATGGGGCCTCCCGCTGCCGCCGTGCGATTTCTGTTCTCATCGTGAGGTAAAGTTCTTAACCCGAAGTACTACTTCTGGGTTAGCAGAGTCTCTAACCCGAAGTGTTTGTAACCCGAGGTACCACTGTATATAAAAAACATAATAAAATATTACACATTAAAAAGCTTCCCTAGACAGGGCTGCCTTCAGATGTGAATAGTCATGAATTCTGGGAGCTGCAGTTTCATAGTTGTGGGGAGACTCCTATTCCCCTCCCACAGCTACAGTTCCCAGAGCAGTTAAAATAATTAATCCTCCTTCACAGGAAACTGGGGTGTTTTTACATTGTGAATGCCCCTGTGGTCCTCTGACAAAGGGTGATATATAAATTAACTGAAAAACAAACAAACTCTGGGAATTGTAGCTCTGGGAGGGGTAGAAACGAATGAAGAGGACGACGACCACGATAATAAAGGGTCCGGAAATCAAGCCTTAAGAGGAACGGTTGAGCAAGTTGGGTGTTTAGCCTGATGTAATATGATTGCCATCTTCAAACCAAACCCCCTGATGATCTCTCCCAGCAGCTGCATGTAGATGTTGAAAACCATGGGGGAGAGGACAGAACCCTAAGTGAGAGCCCAGGGGGGTCTGAACACTCATCCCCCCCCCCACTTTCTGAACACGGCCCAGGAGGAAGGAGCGGAACCACTGTATAACAGTGCCCCCAGCTCCCAGCCCCTCAAGACAGTCCAGAAGGATGTTATGGTCGATGGTGTCAAAGGCCGCTGAGAGATCCAGCAGAACTAGGAAACAGCTCTCACCTTTGTCCCTAGCCCGCTGGAGATCATCAACCAGTGCGACCAAGGCAATTTCAGTCCCATGATGAGGCCTGAATCCCAACTGGAAGGGATGCAAATGGTCCGCTTCTTCCAGGCGTGCCTGGAGTTGTTCAGCAAACACTCGCTCAATCACCTTGCCCAAGAATGGAAGATTTGAGACTGGGCGATATGTAATAAGGCACCAGACTCAAGTTATATTAGCCGAGGCATGGAGCTAGACGTTATGAAGCCAACAGCACCCCCAGACTTGTGGTTTCCTTTATATGCCAAAACATTTGACCCCAAAGTCTTCCTTCCCACTTGTTGGGGAAAATTGACTTTGATAAGGAATGCTTAACCCTCATCCCCATTATCTTTAATTACTTTTTGCACAGCTGAGGGGGGAAATACCATTAAGGAGTATTTGCAGGAGAAAAATAGGAAGCACAGCATAGGATGATGGAGGCACCTCCCTCTCCCGCTGGGCCTTCTCATTTATGACTACATTTCGATCCCATTAGTCTTCTGAAGCAAGTGCCCTCCCAGAGTTATTGGAGTACAATTCCCATCATGCCTGACCTCAAGAGCTCAAGGCAGTGTGCATGCTTATTCTCTATTTATTCAACCCTGTGAGGTAGATTCGGCAGAGACAAAGCGATACTTTTTGAGGGGACGCGGTACACTTTGCAACCATGTGCTGAATGGAACCTAAACCTCCCCAGGCTATGTGGAGCACTCTATCCAGGGCACTCTGCCTCACTGGCAAACACGGGTTTAATAATGCACGATTGCCTATAGATCAAGGGATAGTGTGGCCCACCATCCGCTGTTGGACTTCAACTCCCATCATCCTTTGCCAACCCCTGATACAGACTATGGCAGATTCTGAGTTCTACTTGGCTCCAACAGGACTCACAGACCCGGAATCAGTCTGAATGACCTTGTATATTGGGAGTTAACAAAAATAGCTTTGTGGGTGAATCAGTGCAAGTTGTTCTTTCTTTTTCCCCACATCGCCCCAGGGCAGAAGACTGTGATCAAGCGACAGCATCTCCCGTTCCTTTCCACCTCTCAACTTTGCCTCAGGGACACAGTGTGAGAGAGGCCTCAGGGGACCACAGCCAAAAGAAAGGGTAAAGCTTCTCTGTGAAGGAGCCCCTCAAGGTGAAGAGTGTTTCTGAGCTACAAGGGTCGGAGAACGTCACCCGCCCTGCCTCATAGTCCAAGCTAACGAGAATCCTGCGGGTCGGAGTCTCTGTCTTTGCCACATTTGCTGGCGTTGCAGGAAGGAGCTGGTAGGGCCCCAACTCCACAGCCCAAACCCCATGTTCTGGTTGAAGTACCACAGGCCTCTTCCTTTCCACAGATTCTTGAGCTACACCAAGGGCCCAACCGCAGCGGCCTTTCACATCTACCAGCCAGTGGTGGCGACCGCTCAAGAAGCCCTCAGAGCCCAGCACACAGAAGGAGGGGTGGAATCTTCTAGAAGTGTCGAGGTAAGGTGGGAAGCCATCCCTGCGGCTCACGGTCCTCCGGTCAGCTGAAATCGCCAGGTTCAGATGAGCTGAATCAGGATCCAAGGTGATGATCTCTGTAATAACACAGAGGAATGTGTGCCTCTATCTACATCACATATGAAGTGCATGCACAGATAAGACCTTTCACTCTAGATTATTAATAAAAAGAGAAACTGGCTGCCCAGCTTAGTATTATTGAGCTCGCTCCAATTCCCTGAGCGATGAAACGTTTCAGCAGTGCAGTGCTTACTATGTTTGGATTCCATTGGAAGGAGGTTACTGGAGGCATTTTTTTTTCCACATCTAAACAGGGCTGTTTTTCAGCTGGAACTCATCGGAGGCACCCCTAAAAGTGGCTGTGTTGCCCCTAAAAGCTCAACAACTTAGGGTTGTCCACCCTACCCCACCCTCCCACTATATATAAGGGTCTGGTGACTTCTTTCAGTGCATCTGAAGAAGTGTGCATGCACACGAAAGCTTATACCCAGAACAAACTTAGTTGGTAACTAAGGTGCTACTGGACAATTTTTTCTATTTTTTTATTTATTTCATCCCCAAAAGGTGAGAGTTCCTGCACCTCTTTTTCTAGAAAAAAAGCACGGCATATAAATGCAAGTCTCGCTATCCAAACACACTGCATTCTCAGGAAATTGCTTGTAAAAGCAAACATTTTCTTAACGAGACAACAATTTCCCTGGATTGCTGCGTGGAAATTTCTAATGCGTTCCCAGCCATGGAGTTTTGACCCCAAAACGAAAAACAAAACAAACAGGGAAAACCCTCTGAAACCTTGCAAAAGGCAAACAAGGAAGGGGGAAATGATCTTACTTGTCCAATCTACCTCCTCCCCTTTCTACCATGGTTTCATGGTTGCTGCCGCAAACCAGCAAAACAAAAAATTAAGGCTTGCTCAAGGCCAGTTATTTGTTTACCGTGCTACATGCAGATTCAACTGTTTGGATATCTGAATCTGTAGGGTGTATAGCGAGGCTTAGGGTACTAATTCCTCATGTCTGGATAAGTGGATTTTTGTATAATGGAAGTGGTATAGTAATCCCTGGCATGCTTTTGTCTCTATACCCGTTCTCCTGACCACTCTACACTAAAAACCCAACTCTACCTGAACTTATTCAATGTCCATTGTAAAAAAAAAAGGGGGGGAGGAGGAGACCTTCCTCCCATCCCTTCTTGGAAGTACCATTTCTAGGATATAACTAACATCACCAATGCTACTATTAACATAGAAAGAGCCAAGGTAGGATGCAGCCATTGTGGCTAGTTCCAATTGATAGCCACTGATGTTCCATGAATGACTAATTTTTTTTTTTTTTAAACCAGCCAAGTTGTGGCCTTCACTGCCTCTTGTGGCAGCGAGTTCCACAGTGCACCTGCGTGTTGTTGCGCAAAGAAGTTAGTGCGAAGTACTAACCTCTCATCTCATTCATATGCTCCCACAGGGCAGTCTTCTTCCGAGAGAGATGGGAAATTCTCTCTTCCAATTCCATGGTGGACACCGGCGACCATTTTGGAAAGTTCCAGTTTTTGCACCTACCGCGAAAGAGAGAGAAAAATCAGGTGGCTTCTGGGCACATAATCCTGTTTGGCAGAAACTCTGGGCTGTATTCAACTACAGAGCAGACGCACTGAAATTGAAGCGACGACCCAGGTGGCGCTGTGGGTTAAACCACAGAGCCTAGGACTTGCTGATCAGAAGGTCGGCGGTTCGAATCCCCGCCACGGGGTGAGCTCCCGTTGCTCGGTCCCTGCTCCTGCCAACTTAGCAGTTTGAAAGCACGTCAAAGTGCAAGTAGATAATAGGTACCGCTCCGGGGGGAAGGTAAACGGTGTTTCCGTGCGCTGCTCTGGTTCGCCAGAAGCGGCTTAGTCATGCTGGCCACATGACCCAGAAGCTGTACGCCGGCTCCCTTGGCCAATAAAGCGAGATGAGTGCCCCAACCCCAGAGTCGGCCACGACTGGACCTAATGGTCAGGGGTCCCTTTATCTTTAAATTAACAGCATCTATTAATTTCAACGGGTCTGCTTTGAGCATGACTGAAGGTAGATACAAGCTTACAAGCTTCTCAGGCCAGTTGTTGACAGAATGAATCACACTTACAACCACAGTTGCTTACCTCTTCAAGAGGCTCCCAGCATCCTAAAGGAGGGAAAGAAATGGAGAGAAAGCAGAATTTTAAGGGGTGCCCTTTCACAGTATCATAATTCACAACTCAAAATTCCTCCAGGAACTATGTGGGAGGGTGGGGTGTAATGTATGAACTGGGCTCTCGCTGAAGTCTAATTTTGTGGCGGGACGGCTTATTAAATTTGTATACTTGTATTCTATTGCTTTTGAGTGCTTCCAGACGACCTATTTACCAAGCCTTCTTTCCAATCTGTTTGCAGGGAGTTTAGAGGCTGCTGCACCGAAGCAAGTCTTATACTGTGCTCCTAGTAAGTTAGCAAAAATGTGTAAGACAGGTACAAATGTCTGTTGGAAATGTAAAGAAAAAGAAGGCACCTCCTATCATATGTGGTGGACATGTAAGGTAATAAAAGTATTCTGGGAAATGATATACATTGAACTGAAAAAAAGGTTTAAAATAACTTTTTTATAAAAAACAAACCAGAGGCTTGTCAATTAGGAATTGTGGGTGCTGGAATTCCAAGGGCGCAGAAAAGACTTTTTATGTATGCGAAGACAGCTGCACGGAGGTTGTTAGCCCAGAGATTGAAAGAAGATAAAGTCCCTACCAGAGAAAAATGGCAAATCAAGTTGTTGGACTATGCCAAAATGGCAAAACTGACCGGAAAGCTCAGGAACCCAGAAGACCAGAACTTTAAGAAAGGATGGGGGAAATTTATAATTTATCTTGGAGACCACGGTAAACAGATGAAAACGTTAGCAGGATTGCAATAACACTCGTAATGTAGCAAGTACTATGGAGATAATGGACTTGTATAAAATATGGACTATTGAAAAGATGCAATAGAAAAGGTTTAACAACAGAACCCAAGGAGGGGAAGGTGGGAAGTCCAGAGATTCGAGGGAATCTTGTCATTTTGGGTGTGTTGTGGTATGATTATAAACTTAAATATGTAAAACCAAATAAAAATTAATTTTTTAAAAAAGTAAAAATAAAAATAACTTATAGTTGTGTTTTCCAGGAAGTTTCATTGTACATTAACAGATCTTGCACACCATTCTCTCAAAACAGAAGCACCTTCTGTTTTCAATGTTCCCAAAGCACTTGGCTTTGGAGTATGCAGTGGCTTAAAAACTCTCCCTTTCATGCTGAGGGCCAGCTCCAAGACGCTGGAGAGAGGAACCCTGCAGCAAAAATGGCAATGTGTCTTCAACCCCACTCCCCGCACCAAAGACGCTGAACCACCAGCCGCTGCTTTTACCTTGAGGAGCTCAGTATCTGGCCGCTGACAAATTTGCTCCAGCTCAACTATCAGTCCTCGTAGAAGCGGCGCCCCCTGCAGGATCTTGCTCTCATTCTCCCGCTGCCTTCTCTCCAGCTCGCTGGCCACTTCCGAAAGCCCCTGTAGGGCATGGCTCTCCCTGTCTTGCAGGGTCTTCCTTAACTGCTGGAACACGCGGGCAGTTCTCTGCCTCTCGGCTTCCGCACGACCCTGCGGAGGAAGGAACGGGAAACGGTGCCACTCCAAAAGGGTAAGGACAGGTAACATCGAAAAGCACCTTTTCTCCTTGCTTGCTGCAGCAAAACCAGAGTATCGGAGTCGAGTAAGTTCAGCAATGCTCCAGTCGCTGGAAAATACAGGAGGGGAGGGCGCCCTTTTGCTTGAATCCTACTTGCTGGGCTTCCCACAAGCAACTGCTCAGCCGCTGTGAGGACTGTGGCTCAGTGGGAAAGTATCCGGCTTGCATACGAAAGATTCCAGGTGTCAGCTAACAACCTTACACCATGCATTTGCCACCATGTCTAGTTTGGGTCTTATGCTTGGGGTTTTGCTTACATCTATGGGACACGGGTGGCACTGTGGGTTAAACCACAGAGCCTAGGGCTTGCCGATCAGAAGGTCGGTGGTGCGAATCCCCGCCACGGGGTGAGCTCCCGTCGCTCTGTCCCTGCTCCTGCCAACCTAGCAGTTCGAAAGCACATCAAAGTGCAAGTAGATAAATAGGTACCGCTCCGGCGGGAAGGTAAAGAAGGTTAACGGCATTTCCATGCCCTGCTCTGGTTCACCAGAAGCGGCTTAGTCATGCTGGCCACATGACCCGGAAGCTGTACACCGGCTCCCTTGGCCAATAAAGCGAGATGAGCGCCGCAACCCCAGAGTCAGTCACGACTGGACCTAGTGGTCAGGGGTCCCTTTACCTTTAAGGCAGGCATAGGCAAATTCGGCCCTCCAGATGTTTTGGGACTACAACTCCCATGATCCCTAGCTAACAGGACCAGTGGTCAGGGATGATGAGAATTGTAGTCCCAAAACATCTGGAGGGCTGAGTTTGCCTATGCCTGATCTAAGGTTTGGGCTGAGGACTATACTCTACATCCTACCCCGGTCTGAAATGCAGCAACCCTGCTTTTTGCCTCGACTTTCCCAACAACAGTGTTTCCCAAACTTAGGTCTCTGGCTGTTTTCGGACTACAGCTCCCATCATCCCTAGCTGGCAGAACCAGTGGTCAGGGATGATGGGAACTGTAGTCCAAAAGCAGCCAGAGACCCAAGTTTGGGAAACCGTCCCCTACAAGGTACGGATTGGGGTCACTGTGTGCTATCGATTCAGCAGCACAACTGCTCTCTATTTGTGTAGCCTAGACTGGCATTTGCCTCTTAATTGCTAGCTATATACATACGTGTGCCATCCAGAGTTACACATTTTGATCTGTGGCACCATTGCTTCAAGAGCTGCTGTTGCTATTTGTCGCCCCAGCTGGTCTGACAGCGTTTGCCGGATGGACATACACATTCTGACACAAAATGTGCCTCTTTTCTAAGTGATGTCACTCAAGCCCCAAATATACCTGAAGGAGCATCTCCACCCCCATCGTTCTGCCCAGACACTGAGGTCCAGCGCCGAGGGCCTTCTGGCGGTTCCCTCACGCGAGAAGCCAAGTTACAGGGAACCAGGCAGAGGGCCTTCTCAGTAGTGGCGCCCGCCCTGTGGAACGCCCTCCCACCAGATGCCAAAGAAATAAACAACTATCTGACTTTTAGACGACATCTGAAGGCAGCCCTGTTTAGGGAAGCTTTTAATATTTGATGAATTATTGTGTTTTTAATATTGGATTTGGATTTGATATCCCGCTTTATCACTACCCGAAGGAGTCTCAAAGCGGCTAACATTCTCCTTTCCCTTCCTCCCCCACAACAAACACTCTGTGAGGTGAGTGGGGCTGAGAGACTTCAAAGAAATGTGACTGGCCCAAGGTCACCGAGCAGCTGCATGTGGAGGAGCGGAGACGCGAACCCAGTTCCCCAGATTATGAGTCTATCGCTCTTAACCACTACACCACACTGCCTCTCTGTTGAGAGCCACCCAGAGTGGCTGGGGAAACCCAGCCAGATGGGCGGGGTAATAATAATAATAATAATAATAATAATAATAGTAGTAGTAGTAGTAGTAATAATAAAGACAGCTTTGCCTAAGAAGGCGAACTTACCAGCAGCATCTCCAGCCTCTTCCCTTGGTTCACTGCAAGGACCTCCCTGCTGTCCCTCTCGCTTTTCAACAAGGCCACGTGGTGCTGAAACTGGGCCTGCCAATAGCAAAGAGCAGATGGGTGTTCAAGGCTTAGGGAGTGGGCAGTTCTGGGTTTCTGCATCGTTCTCCTGCCATAGGCTCCCTCCATAGGCATGAGCAAGGCAAGCAGATCATAGGCACTTCTAGGATGGCCAAATCCTCCTGAGAGGTGTAGGACCTCAAGCCTCCTTACAAGGAGTGCACTCCTTCCTGCAAGGTTCTAGTTCTAGGTTCCTGTAAGCACCTGGTAGGAGGATCCTGAAACCCCATTTCAGACAATGGCGAGGCTCCCAAAATGTGAACCCTCACAAAGCCTTCCATCTCAAAATGCCCTGTGACTGCAGGTCGTAGGCAAGTTTCTAAGAGCCAAAGTGCATTCCATATGCAAACAGAAACAGTAGCCAAACAGCCTGTTTTAACTTGAAAAATCCACTGGAGGGGCAGAGGCTGAGAGTGGAAGAAGCAGGTGGAGGGGAAAATAAATGCTTTAACTCTTTTCCCCACCAGCCATTTCCCTACTACAAAACCACCCCTGAGAAACTTCTTTCCTGCACAGGGTTTAAAATGCATGGTTGCGTGCATCACGTGGTTTTTTTATTGCCTCAAGTTATGAAATAAAGAAATATGGAAATGATGTCAAATTAAATAACTGGGAGCGGGGAGCCTAACTGAAAATAAAAGCAAAATGCGAAGCTCGAGTACACTGGGCTTGTGCTGGGAGGAGCCCGTTGCTTGGATGTCAGCAGGAAAAAGCCAGGAATACTTGCGTGCCCCACTGCAGCTAGGGCAGGGGGTGGGGGAACTCACAGGCCACAAGATGTTGCTGGATTGCACCTCCTATCCTACCTGATCACTGGCCGTGTTAGCTGGTGCTGAAGGGGACAGGAATCCATTAACATCTGCTGCACACCAAGCTCTTACTACTTGCAGAAGTACAGTGGTACCTCGGATTACATACGCTTCAGGTTACAGACTCCACTAACCCAGAAATAGTGCTTCAGGTTAAGAATTTTGCTTCAGGTTGAGAACAAAAATTGCACAGTGGCGGCGCGGAAGCAGCAGGAGGCCCCATTAGCTAAAGTGATGCTTCAGGTTAAGAACAGTTTCAGGTTAAGAACGGACCTCCGGAACGAATTAAGTACTTAACCCAAGGTACCACTGTACAGTAGTTTTTGCAGCCCGTGTTCCCCTGTTTGGATGTGCAAACAGATCCTCAATGAGTCTGATTTCGCTACAGTTACTGTGCATGCAGAGATCTTTTTTTAAAAAAGCTAGAAAACTTTGGTGTTTAGAGGGGCGAGATGAGAGCTGGACTCTGCTCTTCCTCCCGCCAAACAGATGAATGGCTAGATTTTAGCTTGCTTTTAGCATGCATTCTGTTCTGGCGTAGGATAAGAATAGGCAGTGTGTTGGGCAATGGAAAGGAAGTAGGCAGTGAACTATAGTTCTGCATATTTACAATCAAGTGCACTTAACAGCACAGGGAAGTTTTTAATGTGTGACATTTTAATGTATTTTTAATCTTTGTCGGAAGTTGCCCAGAGTGGCTGGGGAAACCCAGCCAGATGGGCGGGGTACAAATAATAAATTATTATTATTATTATAGACAGGGAACTTGTGGCCTTCCATTTCTTGTTGCATGCCAGCTCCCATCAGTCCCAACCAGCATGGCCAATGAGCAGGCATGATGGGAGTTGTAGTTCAGGAGCATTTGCATGGCCACACAGGTCCCCTGTAAGTTAAGAGTCAAGATACATTCAGCCTGGCTCAGATATTTAACCGCCACAGCAGGTGCAGGGAACCCCTGGCCCTCCAGATGTTACTAAACTACAGCTCCCATCAGTCCCAACCAGCATGGCCAATGAGCAGGCATGATGGGAGTTGTAGTTCAGGAACATTCGCAGGGCTGAAGATTCCCCAAAAGCTGCTCTAGAAACAGGGAAGGATATTTATGAGTACGATCTTGGACTGCTGGCGTTTTGTGGATTCATGTTTTTCATACAATATACAAATCTTTATATGGACACTATAAATTATATGTAATGGCAACTAGGTAAATCTCCGGGACCGGATGGACTGACCTCTAAATATTACAGATCCTTAAAAGAATGGTTGGTACAACCTTTGAAGGAAGTCTGTAATGAAATAATGGACGGGAAAAGGGCACCAGAGTCGTGGAAAGAAGCGTATATTACACTTGTACCGAAAACAGAGACTGAAAAGACACAACTTAAGAACTACCGTCCCATCTCATTGCTTAATGTGGATTACAAATTTTTTGCAGACATTTTGGCTAAAAGATTAAAAAAAGTGTTAGTGGAAGAGATTCATAAAGACCAAGCAGGCTTTCTCCCGGGTAGACACTTATCGGATAATGTGAGAAACATAATTAACATCTTAGAAAAATTACAAGTGAACATAAATACTAAAGCAGTTTTGGTATTTGTGGATGCGGAGAAAGCTTTTGACAATATTTCTTGGAGCTTTATGAAGAAGAACCTACAGGGGATGGGGGTAGGCCAAGGCTTTGAAAACGGTATAAGTGCAATTTATTCAGAACAAAAGGCTAATCTAATTGTAAATAATGTGGTGACGGAAGAATTTAAGATAGAAAAAGGGACACGACAAGGTTGCCCAATCTCCCCATTGCTCTTTATATCGGTCCTGGAGGTTCTGCTGAATATGATTAGAAGGGACCAGTTGGTTAAAGGTATACAAGTCGGAGCCAAACAGTACAAATTGAGAGCATTTGCAGATGACTTAGTATTGACGTTACAGGAGCCAGAATCTAGTACCAAAAGGGTATTAGAACTGATTCAATAATTTGGTCAGGTTGCAGGATTTAAACTGAATAAGTTAAAAACCAAGGTTTTAGAGAAAAATTTAACACCAATTGAGAGAGAGAGGTTTCAGAATGAGACAGGTTTAACAGTGGTTAAGAAAGTGAAATACCTGGGGATTAACATGACAGCAAAAAATGGGAATTTATTTAAAGACAACTACGAAAAATGCTGGGCTGAAGTGAAAAAAGATTTAGAAATTTGGTCAAATTTGAAGCTTTCACTGCTGGGCCGTATTGCTGCGATAAAAATGAATGTATTGCCTAGAATGTTGTTTTTGTTTCAAACATTGCAAATTGTGGACAAAATGGATTGTTTCAAGAAGTGGCAGAGAGACATTTCTAGATTTGTCTGGCAGGGCAAGAAGCCTAGAATAAAATTTAAAATACTAACAGATGCAAAGGAAAGAGGTGGATTTGCCCTACCAGACTTTAAACTTTACTATGAATCAGCAGCTTTTTGCTGGTTGAAAGAATGGCTGCTTCTTGAAAACACAGACATTTTGGATTTAGAAGGTTTTAACAATGTATTTGGATGGCATGCATATCTGTGTTATGATAAGGTCAAAGCACATAAAGCATTTAAAAATCATATTGTCAGGAAAGCAATATAAGGATTTATTGGAAAACAAAATCCCAAGGTGGCTGTCACCGATGGAAGCGAAAGCTCAGAAAAAGCTCAATATGGAGGTCAAATGGCCGAAATATTGGGAAATTTTGGAACAAGATGGAGATAGACTGAAACTGCAGAGTTTTGAGAAATTAAAAAACAAAGTGGGAGACTGGCTTCATTATTATCAGATAATGGAGGCATATAATTTGGACAAGAAAATTGGCTTCCAGGTGGAAAAATCAAAATTAGAAACAGAACTGTAAGAACCCAAAACTAAGATTTTGTCAAAGATGTATAACTTGCTGTTGAAATGGAATACTCAGGATGAAACAGTGAAATCTGCTATGATTAAATAGGCACAAGATGTTGGACATAACATAATGATGGCTGACTGGGAACAGTTATGGACCACAGGTATGAAGTTTACGGCATGCAATGCCTTAAGAGAGAATATTATGAAAATGATATACAGGTGGTACATGACCCCAGTCAAGCTTGCAAAAATCTATCATCTGCCCGATAATAAATGTTGGAAATGTAAAGAAACTGAAGGTACATTCTTTCACCTTTGGTGGACGTGCCCAAGGATTAAGGCTTTCTGGGAGATGATCTATAATGAATTTAAAAAGGTATATACCTTCTTGAAGAAACCAGAGGCCTTTCTCCTAGGATAATCGGCCAATTGGTGCTAAAGAAGGATAGAACTTTCTTTATGTATGCTACAACAGCAGCAAGAATACTTATTGCAAAGTATTGGAAGACACAAGACCTACCCACTCTGGAAGAATGGCAGATGAAGGTGATGGACTACATGGAATTGGCGGAAATGACTGGCAGAATCCGAGACCAGGGAGAAGAGTTGGTGAAAGAAGATTGGAAGAAATTTACAGACTATCTACAGAAATATTGTAAAATTAATGAATGTTAGAATGATGTTAGAATGAAGTTAAGTGGTTTAAGCAGTAATGCTATAAAGGTGTATGTAAAAATGGATTGATAACAGGTGAAAATTTAAAGTTATACTATATTAAGTTAAAGGATTAAGAGAAAATAAAGAGGGAAAGAAATTGCTGAATTAACTAATTGAATTGGAATACAAAAAAGGGAGGTATGAGGAGGTCAGGGAAACAAGGATATGAATGTAAGGCATGGAAAGATTGATTTTTTTTTTCCTTTTTAAGTGTTTTTATTCCTGTATTCTGTATTTTGTATTTTCCTTGTATTTTTACTTTTGTCTTTTATTTTTGTATTTCTTGTTTTTATGTAATTCTTTTTTCTGAAATTTTAATAAATATCATTTAAAAATAATAATATAAATTATATGTAATGGTATATATATCTACGTAAAGCTGATAAGTGTGAAGTCTTAGGATAGTACAGTGGTACCTCGGGTTAAGTACTTGATTCGTTCCAGAGGTCCGTTCTTAACCTGAAACTGTTCTTAACCTGAAGCACCACTTTAGCTAATGGGGCTTCCTGCTGCCGCTGTGCAATTTCTGTTCTCATCCTGAAGCAAAGTTCTTAACCCGAGGTACTATTTCTGGGTTAGCGGAGTCTGTAACCTGAAGCGTATGTAACCCAAGGTACCACTGTATATGATGTAACCTTAGCTGTACACTGAATGTGTCGTGTGTGTGTCTCTTATTGTTTCGATACATAAAGCAATAAGGAGGGATACTGCCATTCTTAAGAAATCCTTTGCGTGCAAAATGCACCCCCCAATCTCTCACCTCGCCCCCCCTTCAAAAGCAAAATAATGTTTTGTTTTTAATGCAAGTATCTCGTGAACAGAGATCACTGGAGCAAACGCAGCCCAAGCGACGATCCTTCCCGCTATTCTGGGTTGCGTGCAAAGCTCGCCTTACTCACGAGTAGCCCTACTGAAGGCAATGAACTTGACTGATTGCGGGTTTGTGTGTGTGTCATTCCTTCCGACGGGAACTTCGTGGGACGGCGCCGCTGCTCTCGCTGCCTTTACCTTGTACTCCTCGGCTGCCTCGTCCGCGGGGACCACCGCGTGAGATCGGTGCTCCTTGGATCTGTCGCAGACCACGCAGATGAGAGCCTCGTCCGCCCGGCAGAACAACTTCAGCGGCTCCTGGTGCTGTCGGCAAACCGGCCCCGATGCTGGGCTGCTGCTGCGGGCGGGCGGCGGGGAAGGCGCGCCCGGAGAGGCGCCGGGGAGCTCGGCCAGCTCCTTGGCCCTCTTGGCCACTTTGCCCAGCTGCGCGTTGGGCCGGAGCTTCCCGGAGCGGGACCTCTTCCTGCACTGCGGGCAGGGGAAGCAGCTGCCGCCCAGGCCGCTCCAGTAGCTGGTGATGCACGCGCGGCAGAAGTTGTGCTCGCAGCTCAGGATCACCGGGTCGCCGAAGTAATCCAGGCAGATCGGGCAGAAGAGCTCTTCCCGCAGGGCGCGGGCGGCGGCGGCGGCAGCCATGGAGGAAGGAGGAAGAAGGCACCGCCTGCCTCTATCTTGCTCAGGCGTACGCAAATAAACAGCCACCACCCTAAACCGAAAGTAGGCGGGGAGAAAGCCAGAAGTGGGTGTGCACGATAAAAGGAAACTCGGGGAAGTGGGGACTCGTGGAACTTAAACACGTGGCTATTTCTACACCGCTTACTGCATGAGAAATTATCTCCAAGGAGTGTACATAAAGTAAATCAGGCGCGGGGAAACTTTTGGCCCGCAGACGTTGCTGGACTACAGTTCCCACTATCCCACGGCATTGGCACGTGCTTGCTTGCTTGCTGGGGCTGTTGGGAGTTGTAGTTCAACAACACCTAGCAGGCCAAAGGTTCCCCCCCAAGCCTGGAGTAAGGGGCAGATCCACAAGAAGCAGATTTGATGCACAGAGAATCCCGGGAACTACCGTTTTCCCCTCGAAGAGTTCCAATTCCTGGTACCCTTAAACTAAATAATAATAATAATAATAATAATTTATTATTTGTACCCCGCCCATCTGGCTGGGTTTCCCCAGCCATTCTGGGCGGCTTCCATAGAAACCAAAAAACACTAAAATATCATACATTAAAAACTTCCCTGAACAAGGCTGCCTTAAGATGTCTTCTGAATGTCAGGTAGTTGTTTATCGTTTTGACATCTGCTGGGAGGGCGTTCCACAGGGCGGGCGCCACTACCGAGAAGGCCCTCTGCCTGGTTCCCTGTAGCTTTGCTTCTCGCAATGAGGGAACCGCCAGAAGGCCCTCGGCGCTGGACCTCAGCGTCCGGGCAGAACGATAGGGGTGGAGACGCTCCTTCAGAAACTACAGTTCCCATTATTTTTTGGGGGTGGTTATGGGCTTTGAACGTGCGTGTGCTATAGAGTGTGGAGCTACCCCAAAGTAATGGACAACTTAAAACAGCAATACAGTGGTACCTCGGGTTACATACGCTTCAGGTTACATACGCTTCAGGTTACAGACTCCGCTAACCCAGAAATAGTGCTTCAGGTTAAGAACTTTGCTTCAGGATGAGAACAGAAATCGTGCTCCAGTGGCGCAGCAGCAGGAGCCCCCATTAGCTAAAGTGGTGCTTCAGCTTAAGAACAGTTTCAGGTTAAGAACGGACCTCCGGAACGAATTAAGTACTTAACCCGAGGTACCACTGTACTAAAGTTATATACATAGCTGTCAACTTTTCCATTTTCTTGCGAGGAATCCTATTCAGAATAAGGGAATTTCCCTTAAAAAAGGGAAATGTTGACAGCTATGTAAATATACAAAAGTTACATTTATACAAATTAATAGAGATAAATCTCAGTTCCTTCACCTGATCCCTTTCCCACTCCCCTCTGTCTCCTTGTTGCAGCAGCCTGGCTTTTGCCTATGCCTTCACCCACCCAGTTCCCCACTGGGGGCCCAAACTTACAACCACAACAGCTCACCATGGAGAGGAACCCTGAAAAGTGCTGACACGCCTCTAGTCTCTCCCTCTCTGGGTTTGCTTTTTATGGACAAGCAAAGTGTTGGAGGAAGCTTCCTCAGGCCACCCGCAGCTGTGGCCCAAGCAGCGGTCAGCTGCGCCAGTTCCAGGCTAGAGCCAGTTTGGGCAAGTTTCCCAGGTGGTCCTCAGGATGGGGAAAGGTCACCCCCCCCCCCCTAAATACTATCAGTTGCGTTTTTGGCCTTTGGCTGCTTCTGCTCCTCCTCCAGCTGCTTTTCAGTTAGTTCAGTTTGAGTTGCAAACTGGTCATTAAAAGGGTTGCTCACTGGTGTTAGCCCTACTCATAGCAGATCCACTAAAAATAATGGACATGATTAACTTAGGTCCATTAATTTCAATGGTTCTGCTCACAGAATAATTTAATTGGCTTGTTCCTTTGTTCTCATGCTGCAACAGGTGTTTGGAATCAACCTCAAGCAGTTTGCACCTGGAGGTGATGGACCAAGAGACTCCCACCTGGGCTGCAGGTCTGTGTAAACCTACACTTCACTCCAGCCTTTTGCTAGAGCAATTCTTTCAAGCCTTGCCTACCGCTAGGTCTTGTTAAGCAGTGAGCTGCCCATGATCCTAATCACCTAGGTTGCATCTTGAACTTTTAGGGGTGCCTAAGAGGGACATCTCTGTTGGGGGCGGGAGGGAAGGGTTACGGCTGCTCTCTTTCCCCGTACACCTCTTTCACAATTTGCAGCCCTTAATCTCTCCTGCAGAGAGAGATTAAGCCCATGTTTTGCATGTTCAAAATCCACGTTGCATGTTCAAAAATGCAATAGTAAGAAAGACTTAAAAGGAATTGACTTAAAAGGAAGATGTAATTCCAAACATTTTACACTTCATCTTGGCATGAAAGCCTCTTAAATCTGCATAGTTAACCTTGCCGGTGGATACATTCCCAACTCTGCATTATCGCAAGGAGTGAAAAAGAAAGAAAATTATTTTAGACAACATTTTGTTTGACTACAAAGACCAAATTTCTCTCTTTAAAAAAAATATTAATGGGACAACAAGCTCAGGCGTTCAAATCCTTTTCCGAATGGTGTGTGCCAACAGTCTCTGGAGTGCATTCGCATGGATACATTTAGTGTAAAAAGCAGATAGCCACTGGCGAAGACTTTTCCACAATCGCAGCAACACTGTTGTGTGAATTACTTGTGGGTGGCTGCAGCTCCATGGGCAGCCTGGCTCACATATTTATTCCCTCTGTGTGAATGCATCCCATGGGAGAGTGAGAACAAGTTGCCTGGAGAAGGTTTTGAACAGCTGAACCCATCAAGCATACTGTGTGTGGCTATCAAGACTGGCCCTCAGTGGTTGGGTAAGGGTATATCGTAACGGTTCCACAGCTTCTGCAGTGGTAAAGGCTGGCATTGAACCTTCTTGGTGATAAAATATCCCTTCTCTAAACTTGTGAAGGTGGCATGTCAGCCCATGGAGGCTTCTGGAGTCCAGCTGGTGACCCCAAGTGTTCAAAATCAAGTCAGTGTGCCGACCCAATGCCACCCTTCATCTTGCCGCAAGACAGGCTCCATCGCAGAACTGGGTGTCTCAGAACCGCACAGAGCTTCAACTTCTTTTTCCAGTCTTCCGTATCTTCTCAGTCTTGTAGTTAATCCACCTACGCTGTGTAAGGCTAATTTCTGCCAGTCCTCACTACTCAGGTGGTTCAGGAGACAATTCCTGCCTCACAGGCATCTTCCGGAGGGCTGACTTGGCCCGTTCTATCTGATCCAGCTCGGAATGCAGCAAGGAAATCTGTGACAAAAAAGGAGAAAGTTAAACACGCAGATGAAGTATCACTGCTACCAGTGAAATAAGGAGGGCCTTGGCTGTTACTAATACAGACTTATTCCCCCACAAGTTCATACCCAAAGGATGTCACAAACACGTATTTATGCTATTTCGTTTGCTGAAACTTGCAGTATAATCCTATGGACATCAGCTCCAAGAAACAGTTGATGGTTGAATAGCAAAGCACAGGACAGATATACTATTATAACAGAAGAAAATTATAATGAGTCTCTGTGTCCTTTCCACAGCAAAAAGACTGATACTGATGAATTGGAAAAATAAAAATGTGGCTCCCTTCTACGATTGGATTGAAGACTTCTACAAACTTGCAACATATGAGCAACTTGCATATAAATGCAGACTTGCCATGGACAAATTCAGTGATATTTGGAATCCATTCTTACACCAGGTTAAGATCTGGTGAAGTACAATAACAACCTTGTAAAGTATAGTTTTGGGTTTTTCCCCCTCCCCCCCTTTACTTTCCCTTCTACACGGGTGCCGTTTCTATTTCTCTTTCTCTCTCTTTTATTTACATCTTGCCATGTTTAGTGCACATATAACTATGTACTTTTTGAACTTTCAATAAAGATGTTAAAAGAAAAAGGAAATTATAATGAGGAATATTTTTTTGTCGAAAGCCTAAAATGAAAGGGGGAAAAAAGTATTGTTTTCCAGAACAACAATGAAGTATTCCAAAAATACCCATATGCTCTTTTTTTGGTGACACTCAAAAGGTTTGTTTCTCTCCAACCAAACCATAGTACCACTTGCAGTTTTGTTTGGAGAAAATAAAGCCACGAGTTTGGGCTCAGACAATGCAATAAAGCTTGTTACAATCCAGAGCAAAGAAGCAACTTTTGAGCCACACAATCCAGATCACCGCTTGCTCATGTTGCACAATTAAACATTACCTGTTGTTTAATGTGGTGTGCAACCATAGCCCCACCCCCAATAGCAGTTAATACCTTTTGCTGGTGATCGAGTTTGGCTTTTGGGGAGACCTGCTCCTGATATCTGGCCCCTTGAACCCGTACGGTGAGATCTGCCAGCTGCCGCTCCAGTTTCTTTTGCCGAGATGCAAATTTGAGGAGCTCCTTTTGGGGGTCAACCAATCCCTATGGTGAGAGAAGCGTCACGGGTTCAATGCATGATATACATTTAAAAGAACCTCCTTCTAGACCCCCTTGAAGTTACTCCCTGAAAGGTGGCCATAATCCTCCCACAATGCATTTCACCTGGTCACCACTGTTACAAGAATTTTAAGGTCTCAAATGTAGAATAAATATTGACAAATGCACACATATCTAAATATAGTAAAGGTAAAGGGACCCCTGACCATTAGGTCCAGTCGCGGACGACTCTGGGGTTGCGGCGCTCATCTCGTTTTATTGGCCGAGGGAGCCGGCGTACAGCTTCCGGGTCATGTGGCCAGCATGACTAAGCCGCTTCTGGCAAACCAGAGCAGCACACGGAAACACCGTTTACCTTCCCGCCGGAGCGGTACCTATTTATCTACTTGCACTTTGATGTGCTTTCGAACTGCTAGGTTGGCAGGAGCAGGGACCGAACAACGGGAGCTCACCCTGTCGCAGGGATTCGAACTGCCGACCTTCTGATCAGCAAGCCCTAGGCTCTGTGGTTTAACCCACAGCGCCACCCGCATCCCGTCTGAAATAGTACAGGAGAGCAATTCTGATGCCATTTTTACTCTCCCAAGGACCTCAAATGTTCCTCTGCAGTAAGGGAGGAAAAATGGGGAAAGCCTTCCCATTGTCTTTTGGCTTGCAAATCCTGTCTTAAGGGCACATTTGTGTATGAATAGGGTGAACCTATGAACCGGATTCAGGATCTAAAAGTATTTACCATCACAAAAGAATGGCTGGACTGCCCAGGTAATGCAATCAGTGACCATTATCAGACATCCTGTCAGGCAGGATTTCTGCTGTAGATGGCCTCCTTCTGTGATGTATTTATGATGTTTCAGGGGGTGGTGGTCTTGGGCTACTGGGCGGGCAATTTCAAAAGTCTATATAAGGGCTTGTGCAGCATTTTTCAGGGTTCTCAACCCTCCTGCGTGTGGTGACCCTATTGCAACAGTTCCTTGAATAAAGATCAGGCTTACTAGCCGCTTTGCTTCTCAATATAACTCTGCATGGCCTCTGTTTTCTCCTACCAATAGGGAACCCACTTAAGGACTCTATATGGGCTCCGGAATACCCCATATGGGAAAGGGAGCAGGTTTTTTTCTTATAACACCACCTTTCTTTGGTTTTCTTATGAACCTGTCTCCTTGAACCAAGCAGTTGCCCCAACGTGGGTCTTACCTGCAGATCCACATAGATGGCGGTGTGCTCGTGCCCCTTCGCAGCCACGCAACTTGCAGGTAGTTCTGCTCCCTCGATACCTGAGAGGAGTTTCAGAGTTCCAGCCAAGGACAAAGTCTGCAGGGATTCTCGATAGGTCTCATATACGCCACGGCGAACTGCCTCTGGGCAAACCAGGTACACTAGGGACAGACACAGAGATTTAAAAATACAGCCACTGTCCTCAGACAATCAAAGGTATCAGCCAATTGGAGGGAAGGGGCACCAGTTATACCTTCTATCATAGGCATCCCCAAATTCGGCCTTCCAGATGTTTTGGGACTACAATTCCCATCATCCCTGACCACTGGTCCTGTTAGCTAGGGATGATGGGAGTTGTAGTTCCAAAACACCTGGAGGGCTGAGTTTCAGGGTACCTGCTCTATCAGGAGTGAGGGAACTATTTTTCTATCCCAGTGACCACATTTCCTTAGTAAGCCCTTGTGTGAAATGAAGAGTTTTCCACACAACAGACATCTGAAGAGGTCTTACCTGTTGGCCGAGCTTTGGTCAGCTGGTAAGTTGCCCTCAGGGCACGGACAGCTCTAACGACTTCCTGTACTAACAGGAAGTTTGCCTCTTCGTCGGGATGACGCCAGTGAGCCTGGAAATGTGGAGGAGGGGAAAACTGTCATGCTTATGATAATATTTTATTTTCTTGTTAATTATGCTGTTTTAAATGTGCATTTTATATTTGACTTCACTTAGCAATGTTTCCTTTTGAAACGTTTAAGATTTTTTAAAAACTTTGTGTTAAATATGTATTCCGTCGCTGACCTCCTCTGTAATGTTTTATTTTGAAATCTTTTAGATAATATTTTAGTTTCCTGTTAATTATGTTTCTTTGACTGTATATGATTTATTTTACGTTCTTCAGAAATGTTTGATTCTGGATTGTTTTATTGATGTTTAATATGCTGTAAACCGCTTTGAGATTTTTCTTAAAAACATAAAGCGGTATAGAAATGAGGGGGGGGACTTGAAAAGATCCTTCTTTCCTTGTAGAATTAGAGCCACGACTGCACCATACCTTTAAAGTTCACTATTATATTTCGTATCTATTTCATGAAACTTACATATTGTAGAAAACCTTACACCAGTTTAAGTGCCATGGCTTCCCCCAAAGATTTGTGGGAGCAGCAGTTTATTAATGGTGCTGAGACTTGTTAGGAGATGCCTATTCCCCTCACAGAGTTACAATTCTCAGAGTGGTTTAATTATCCAATCCCTTTCCCAGGGAACTCTGGGAATTGTATCTCTCTGAGGAGAAGCACGGTCTCCCAACAACTCACAGCACCTTCAAAATGGCACCACAGCGCTTTCGATGTATGGTGCAGATGTGGCCAAAGTTGAAACTAGAACTTGCTGTAATATCTACATTACTGGATATTCAGAAGAGGGACCTTGTACAGTGGTACCTTGGTTCTCAAACTCTGAAAACCTGGAAGTAAGTGTTCCAGGTTGGGAACGCTTTTCAGAAGCCAAACATGCAATGCGGCTGTCGGCTATTGTTTGCGGGGCGCCTGCACCAATCAGAAGCTGTGCCTTGGTTTTTGAACATTTTGGAAGACAAATGGACTTCCGGAACTGATTAAGTTTGGCGCTTTTGTTTTTGCTATTTATTTTTTGTTTTTGAGGCTTTTCGATTAATTTGTTTTCATGACTGTGTGGAACACAGTTCAGCTACTGATTGATTGATTGTGTGACTGCAGAAATGCATAAAAGCCCCCCATCCAAACAATGACTATCATCAGTGCAGGTAAGAATTTATTTTTTAATCATCTACAATACTGTCTTTTTATGTTATAGAACGGTACATTGATTATTGCTTGCATTTTATGGATCGATGGTGTCGTTAGATAGTAAAATTCATGTTAAATTGCTGTTTTAGGGTTGTTTTTAAATGTCTTGAAGGGCATTACTTTCTATGGGAAAGCACGCCTTGGTTTTGGAACGCTTTGGTTTTGGAACAGACAGGAACGGATTAAGTTTGAGAACCAAGGTACCACGGTATTCCAAGGCTTACGAAGTAAACTTGTACAAGCACTTCTGGAAAATGCACAGGTGAGCCCTGAATCACTTTGAAATGCTCCCCCTGCCCCCATTTTAACACATTTCCTTCTTTCAGGTCCCCGGAAACGCCCTCACCAGTTGCTCTGCACTGGGATATCTGGCCACGCAGATACTGGGAGGAGACTGGGATCCGATCCTGGGGAGGCGCTGCCACAGTTCCTCTGTGAGAAAAGGCATAAAGGGAGAAAGGAGGCGCAGAGCCACGTCCGCACAACTGTGCAAGGTCTGACGGGTGGAGAGTAGTCGAGATGGATCCCCGCTCCTCAATATGGGCTTCACAGACTCCTGTGGATGAAAAACAGGCGTTTTACCATCATCTGGGAAGAGAGATGCTTTCTGAAGACCCAACTCCATGCCAGGGTTGGGAAGCTGCGGCCCTCCAGATGTTGACGGACTACAACTCCCATCGCTCCTGATCGTCAGCTGGGCTAGCTGGAGCTAATAGGAGTTGTAGTCCCGTAACATACCAAGGGCCTCATGCATCTGTAAATGGTTCAGCATGGGAGTGGGGGAATATTTTCCTTTACTTTGAGGTAACCTGTTGGAGGGCACATGCAAGCAAGGGGTGGGAAGAGAGCCAAAAAAAAGGATGGAAGACATAAAATGAGCCTGCTGGATCAAGCCAATGGCTCATCTAGTCCAACATCCTTTTCTCATCGTGGCCGACCAGATGCCTGGGGGAAACCTGCACCTGGAGAACGGGGCCTTCTCTGCAGTGGCTCCCTGTCTGTGGAATGCTCTCCCCAGGGAAGTTCACCTGGCGCCTTCATTATATACCTTTAGGTGCCAGGCAAAAACGTTCCTTTTTAACCAGGCCTTTGGTTGACCTGATTGACATCCTATACCCTTTAAAAATGTGACTACAGTGGTGCCTCGGGTTAAGAACTTAATTCGTTCTGGAGGTGCGTTCTTAACCTGAAATTGTTCTTAACCTGAGGTACCACTTTAGCTAATGGGGCTGCCCACTGCCGAGCAATTTCTGTTCTCATCCTGAAGCAAAGTTCTTAACTCAAGGTGCTATTTCTGGGTTAGTGGAGTCTGTAACCTGAAGCGTCTGTAACCTGAGGTACCACTGTATGTGTGTGTGTGGGGGTGTTATTGTTTTTATTTTGATTTTATATATTGTGATCTTTTCTATGAACCGCCCTGAGACCTCCGGGTATAGGGCGGTATATAAATTCAAATAATAATAATAATAATAATAATAATAATAATAATAAGCTGCACATGAGTGAAATAGCACTCTGCCACTCCCAACATTCTATTCTTTCTTTTTCTGCGCGCCATATTCTCATTCTGCCGCCACCTCTCTCTCTCTCTTTCTTTCTCCATGCCCTCTTTCCCCCACAATCATCCTTGCCACCCACAATAAATCAACACCTGCTTCAGCATATAGAGCACCCAGATTACTCAAAGCCTCACCTCCGGTGAAAAATCTCATGGAAAATATGAGAACCAGAATCATACTCCCTAGACCAGCCTTTCTCGAACTGTGGGTCCCCAGATGTTGTTGAACTACAACTCCCATTACCCCTAGCTAGCAAGGCCAGAGCTCAGGGATGATGGGAGTTGTAGTCCAACAACATCTGGGGACCCACAGGTCGAGAACCGCTGCCCTAGACGATGCCCACCTGTATCCTGACCTGCAAGTTTTTCACTTCTCAGGCTACGATCTAGTCCTGCCCATCTCACTCCCAGAGAGGTGGTAGGAATCTGAACCCACAGGCAGAGCTCACCAAGTAGTTATCGCAGAAATCGTGCAGCCAGAAAAGATGGACCGAGGACGCGACAGAATGCAGTTCGTACCCTTCAAACCTCCGGGCACAATCTTCCACTGTGTGGTAGAGACGACTGAGGATCCAGCGCTCCATCGGGGAGCTAGGGAAGACCTGGAGGAAGAGGCAAACGAGTGGCAGAAGTATTCCAGTGTATTAAAATTTCTACCCCACCTTTCTTCTCTCATGCAACTCAAGACAGAGGCCATAAGGTTCCTAGCTGTCTCCCATCAAATCACTGGCCAGACCCATTGCAAGGTGACTGCATCACTTGCCTGCAGACTAAGCCCTGTGTTTTCCTTTATTTCTCCCCTTCGCCCACATTGCTCACAAGCCCATAATGACAGAAAAGGTGAGAGCTGGAATGAATGCTGGAAATGGAAGCAGGTGGAGCACAGAACTGTAAAAGCTTCAGCCCTCAGCGCTGCTGCTTTGCATTACATTTTAGGGTGGTAGCTAACAAAGTTCACCAGCACGCCTGGTGAAATTAACAAACCTAAGTTAGTCACGTCCAATAACCTCACTCTGGAGCAGGACTAGCACTGGATACAACCATTAGTGTATACATGGCAAAATATTTAATACAGAGCACGTTTTGACACAGCCTTCTGCAACCAAGTGCACTCCAGGTGTCGTCAGACTACAACTCCCATCCGTCCCAGTCAGAAGGGCAAAGTCAGGGAATACAGGAGTTGGAGTCTGGTTGGGGTACCAGATTGCAGAAGGCTGTTTTAACATAAACATGTTGTTAGGTACATCTTCCTGAAGATCTAGCTGTGCTAGTTTCTTGCAGCAAAAGCAAAGTCTCTTGTAGCACCTTAAAGAGTAACCCAATTTATTGTGGCATTTGCAGGGACTGAATAACTAGTTACACGTAGGAGGGAGTGCAAATTTACATTGGGAGACCTGCATGACTCTGGGCAATTCCGTAGTATGTAGCCCTAAGAGAGGACTACAGTGGTGCCTCGCAAGACGAAATTAATCCGTTCCGTGAGTGTCTTCGTCTAGCGGTTTTTTTGTCTTGCGAAGCAACCCTATTAGCGGCTTAACGGATTAGTGCTGTTAGCGGTTTAGCGGCTATTAAAGGCTTATCGGCTTAGCGGATTAGCTGCTAAAAGGCTATTAAAGGCTTAGCGGCTTAGATAAAGGGGGGGGAAAGCGAAAAAAAAATCTCAAGACTCGCAAGACATTTTCGTCTTGCAAAGCAAGCCCATAGGGAAATTCGTCCTGCGAAGCAACTCAAAAATGGAAAAACCTTTTGTCTAGCGGGTTTTCCGTCTTGCGAGGCATTCGTCTTGCGGGGCACCACTGTATATAGTACTCACAATACTTGACCCAATATTTTCTAACAGATGGCTGAAAAAATTCACGAGCGAAGAAATCGCCCAACTACCTCGGTTGCCATGCTGCACTGTCCTTAAGGCTGCTTAGCCCTCCCTAGAGTCCTTCCTTCTTGCCCTATGGCCTGTTCCGGGTGTAATGCCAAACCATAGTTTAGCATTCTGTGAATGAGCATTGCTGAGGCTGCAGGCTTTTGTGCTCCCCTCTCCTAATGCACAGATTGCGCCTGAATGTCGGAGGGGAGTTTTGCTCTCAAGCACATCCTACTTCATTCCTTCTCAATTCATATCTACAGTCATACCTCGGGTTGAATGTGCTTCGGGATGAGCGCGTTTGAGTTGCGCTCCGTGGCAATCCGGAACTAACGGAGAGCGTTACTTCCGGGTTTCGCCGCTTGCGCATGCGCAGACGCTCAAAATGACGCCACGTGCATGCACAGAAGCCAACGCGTGGGTGCGCAGACGTGCCGTCACTTGTTACGATTGCTTCTAGATGTGAACAGGGCTCCAGAACGGATCCTGTTCGTATCTAGAGGTACCACTGTATCATCTATCTATCTATCTATCTATCTATCTATTTATTTTTCTATATAAATTTTCTGTTTTACAATTTAAAATATTCATTTAAACAACCTTAAAATATCAATGACTTCCCTTCTTCTCCTTCCATGGTTCATTTTGCATATCATAAATGCCTACATATTTTACATATTACGTCCATCAGAACTTATTTACACTGTTGAATTTATCTTAACGTTTTCAAGTGTACACAATTCCCCCCCCCCATATATTCAATAAACATTTTGCAATCTTCTCTAAACGTATGTTCTTCTTGTTCTCTTATTCTATATCAGGGGTCAGCAAACTTTTTCAGCAGGGCACTGGTCCGCTGTCCCTCAGACCTTGTGGGAGTCCAGACTATATTTTTTTGGGGGGGAATGAACGAATTCCTTTGCCCCAAAATAACTCAGAGATGCATTTTAAATAAAAGGGCACATTCTACTCATGTAAAAACACGCTGATTCCCAGACCGTCCACGGGCCAGATTTAGAAGGCGATTGGGGCGGATCCGGCCCCCGGGCCTTAGTTTGCCTACCCATGTTCTGTATATTAAGTCCGCAAGCTGCACGTATTCCATCAGTTTAAGTTACCATTCTTCTTTAGTTGGGACCTCGCTCATTTTCCATTTCGGGGCTAACAAAACACAAGCAGCAGTATTGGCAAACATAAATAACTTCGCCCAGTGGAACTGACTTTTGAGCCAACGTGTCTAGGATTCGGCTGTCAGTGTGGTAGACAAGTGCAGAAAATGCTTACTAGTCAAATCCTAGGTATGCTGAAAGGTTAAGGAGATGTCTGTTTCTTTGGGAGACCTCTATTCTGCAGTCTACGTGTTACACAGCACAAAGGCAGACCGACAGACGTCAACATATTCTATAAGCAAATCACCCCTTTCCCTGCGTACACACATCCCAGTTACCTTCTCTGGCTCCACTGGCGTAAATCCTTCTCCCAAGGCTCCCAAAGTAAACTTCAGGGCATTCCACACTTTGTTACAGAAACGACTGGCGCTCTCCACCGCAGCCACGTCGAGGTTAATGCCGTCGCCTGAGGAAGGGCATGCATGTGATGTTAAGGGCCTCAGTTTCCAAGTCGGCTACATCCCCGTACCTACAGGACCACCTCTCCCGGTATGCCCCATGGAGAGCCTCAAGGTCCATAAATAGCAACACCCTAGAGGTCCCAGGCCCTAAGGAAGTCAGATTAGCCTCAACCAGAGCCAGGGCCTTCTCAACACTGGCTCTGGCCTGGTGGAACCCTCTGTCTCATGAGACCAGGGCCCTGCAGGATCTGATCTCTTTCTGCAGGGTCTGTAAGACAGAGTTGTTCCGCCTGGCCTTTGGCTTGGAGCCAATTTGATTCCCTCCCCTTTTTTCTTTTTCCTTTCTCCTCCTGTGATGAGGCTGCATTTTAATATTATAATGTTTCTATATTTTTAATGTTGTATTTTAATCTTATTTGTAAGTTGTATTCATTCAGCCCGGCCTTGGCTGGGGAGGGCGGGGTATAAATAAAAATAATAATTATTATTATTAAAACTGGTTACAATGCTAAACAGAAACACGTGAAGCTGCCTCATATTGAGCCAGATCACTGGGTCCATCTCGCTTAGTTCTGTCTGCCAATGACTGGCATCTCCTTGTCAGACAGGGATCTCTCCCAGTCACAGCTGGAAATGCCAGGAACTGAAGCCACTTCTCCTTTGGCTATTTCATGGACAGGGCCCCCCAGAAAATAAAGGGGAACGTTCCAACTTCTCACCTTGGGCAGAATAGGAGCAGAGAGCGAACCTGAGGGCATCGGTTCCACATTCGGGAATTCCTTGAGGAAAATCTCGCTGCTGGAAAGGGACAATGATAGGAGGAGGTGAGAACACACAGGAACCCCAAAAAAACAAAAGGGTGAGTGGGTCTGGCTGGAGGATGGGGTGAGGTGTGGGAAGGAACCGACCTGGCCTTCCATAGCAATGGCAACCTCCCTCGGGTCCAGATTGCTGTTTTGAAGCTTCTCCTGTAGCACCTGAAAACAATAAATAATAATAATAAGAGGGACGCTTCAGGGAGAGGAGGAGCCAGAGATAAAGGAAAATCACCACTGGCTTTCCAGGGTTTTCCCTGCTTAGGGTTATACCATATACACAGAACCTTAGGCAGCTTATAACGTCACAAGAATCTCAGCATTTTGAACTTTATTTTTAAAGCAGGTTTCTAAACCTCCTAGCTATGGATACAGTGGAACCTCAGAAGCCAAATGCCTTTGAACTTGAATGTTTTGGCTCCTGAAAGATCTAAAACTGGTAGCGATTGCTTTTGAATGATTTTTGGAAGCTGAATGTCAGGCACAGCTTCCTATTGGCTGCAGGACGCTCAGCAAACTCTGGGGCTCCCTAAAAATGATAATGGAGGGCAGTTTTTTATACTGTGAGTAGATTGCAGTCTCTTGGGAGTTGGACATGCCTTTTATTAGTTACTTTTGATGGCATTATCATAATGACATGTGGTATAATAAGGAAAATACTAGGGCCACAGTCCTTTACAAGTGCAGACAAAGCAATGGGATGTCAAGGTCTACAGAGGGTGAAGAGAAAGACTTGTTCCAATTTTCTGAACGGTTAAGTACCTGCAAGGGGGCACCATAAATAACATCCAAAGGGTTGATCACGTTCCCAAGAGATTTGCTCATCTTTCTGCCATGAGCATCACGGACCATTGAGTGAAGGGAAACCTGAAAGGGAGAGAGACAGGAAATGTGTTATGTCTTCAAAACTCTGCAAAGAGCACCAACAGGATATCGAGGAAAAGCAAGGGCAACCTGTACTATAAAATAACAGCCATGGGGAGGCACAAGGAACACAAGGAATACAGCCTTGTGTTATTATTTGAATTGGTAGATTCGTGAGACTTTGGTCTGTACGCTTACAAATCACAGACTACAGTGGTTCTCTTTTCTGAAGCAGCTACAGTTTCTCAAGATCACAAACTGCTGCATGTTAAAAAGCAGAGACATCACCTTGCCAACAAAGGTCCGTACAGTGGTACCTCGGGTTAAGTACTTAATTTGTTCTCTTGGTCTGTTCTTAACCTGAAACTGTTCTTAACCTGAAGCACCACTTTAGCTAATGGGGCAGCCTCCTGCTGCCGCCGCGCCGCCGGAGCCCGATTTCTGTTCTTATCCTGAAGCAAAGTTCTTAACCTGAAGCACTATTTCTGGGTTAGCAGAGTGTGTCACCTGAGGTGTATGTAAACTGAAGCGTATGTAACCCGAGGTACCACTGTATAGTTAAAGCTATGGTTTTCCCAGTAGTGATGTATGGAAGTGAGAGCTGGACCATAAAGAAGGCTGATCGCCGAATAATTGATGCTTTTGAATTATGGTGCTGGAGGAGACTCTTGAGAGTCCCATGGACTGCAAGAAGATCAAACCTATCCATTCTGAAGGAAATCAGCCCTGAGTGCTCACTGGAAGGACAGATCGTGAAGCTGAGGCTCCAATACTTTGGCCACCTCATGAGAAGAGAAGACTCCCTGGAAAAGACCCTGGTGCTGGGAAAGATGGAGGGCACAAGGAGAAGGGGACGAGAGAGGACGAGATGGTTGGACAGTGTTCTCGAAGCGACCAGCATGAGTTTGACCAAACTGCGTGAGGCAGTGGAAGACAGGAGTGCCTGGTGTGCTCTGGTCCATGGGGTCACGAAGAGCCGGACACGACTAAACGACTAAACAACAACACAGTAGTTCTCTTTTCTGAAACAGCTACAGTTTCTCAAGATCACAAACTGCTGCATGTTATCCTTAGTCCAAGGATAGGAAGCCTGTGGCAGCAGCGTCGGGATGGGAGTGGCAGAGCAGGGTGGTGTTTCCTGTTTCACCTCAAGTGGCCAAATGGGATGCGCCGCTGCTGCCCGTGGCTGCCCAAATACTGTTGGGACTTCTGTCAGCCCCCGCTGGCATAGCCAACGGTCAGCAGCGATGGGGGCTGTAACACAACAATTGGAGGGCCACTGGCTTCCTATCCATGCCCTGTATGCACTACATTTCTTCAAAGAGAACACACAGCAGGAGAGTCTAAAAGGTAATTCTAGCCCCACCACAATGACCCAGGAGAACAGAAGCACAACACGACAATTCAGGTTAAAGCAAGTGGTGGGGATTAATCAAAATAAAATAAAAAACCTGGCCACCTGGGAATGAAGTTCTTATCACACCAATTTTAAGACTCAGGAGGACAGAAAGGTAGAGTACCGGAATCCAGACAGAACTAAGTGGATTGACAAGGATTACTTTAAAAATAGTATTGTTTAAATGCAGGTTGCGATGAACCAATTGCAAGGGCCTCTTCAACAGCTGTGTTCACATATCCTGTGTTGATAATCAGGAAGTACATTACAGTGGTACCTCAGGTTAAGTACTTAATTCATTCCAGAGGTCCATACTTGACCTGAAACTGTTCTTAACCTGAGGTACCACTTTAGCTAATGGGGCCTCCTGCTGCCGCTGCACCGCTGGAGCACAATTTCTGTTCTCATCCTGAAGCAAAGTTCTTAACCTGAAGCACTATTTCTGGGTTAGCGGAGTCTGTAACCTGAAGCGTATGTAACCTGAGGTACCACTGTATAAGTTGTGGATAAATAGTTAGGGCTCACATTTTGCTTCTCTCAGTCCCGTGGACCTTCTCTTCCAGGAACCGAAGTACTAGCATCCAATCCATACCTGAGAAAAAGGTAGCATCCAATTTCTAGCATCCAATCCATACCTGAGAAAAAGGTAGCTCTCCGGTCAACTGTTTCCCCAGCATCACCATCCGGGCCACCCAGAAGAAGAGAAGGTCGCTCCCAGTCTCCAAAAGGCTATTGGGGTAGAACTGCTGGAGATCTTCTGTCTGCAGGGGGACGAAGGCAGGACCAGTGGCGTCAGCACATGCCCCACATCTTGGCTCGCCTTATTTCAAAAAGTCACGTTCCTGACACCCCCAAAGCTGTTGAGCTTTTCTTTTCTGCCCCGAACTGGCACATTTTGCAGGGTTTTATGAATAACCGCCACCCCTGGAGGAGGAGATCCGCTGGCTTTCCCGTCGCAAGACTGTGACACCACGGGGCAATCGCCACCCAGCACATCTGGATGCCCGCTCTGCCCAGCTCTGGAAGGAAACTTTTTTTTAAAAAAAGGAATGCAAAAAACCCCTGGAAACACCCCCCCCCAAAGTGAAAATGGCCAAGCTCATGGCGGCGGTGCCTTCCTCCCTTCCCCACCCTCCTTCCTCTCTCCCCCAACTCCCCAGCCAAGGGAAGTGACCTCTTGTCACTTCCACTGCTGCCAGGGCACAGCCTCTCCCAGAATTCATTCATTCATTCATCTTTTTATTTGTATGCCGCCTTTCCATAGTTAAAACCATGCTCAAGGCGGCTTACAACATGACAAGATCTACATAATTACCAACATAACAAGTCATAAACAATAAACAAATCAAAAAGTACACAGCCAAATATAAAACAATCTCCACATAAATCATAAAATCTAAAACTAAGAATACAGCATTAATGTCAAACACAATTTAAAATGACATAGATAAAAAATAAAAGCAATTTAAAAAACAAAACAAAAACGGAGCCCTCTCTGCGCAGCAGCAGCAGCAGCAGCAGTCCTTTATGGAGCCTGTCAGGCCTAGCCTGTTTGTAATGACCATCAAAGCAAAGGGCTTCTCCCCTCCCCCCCTTTTTTAAAAATGTCCATGTGAATATTTCACCCCATAATGCCTCTGTGGAAGAACATGTCATGATACAGTACCATTTCAGGGCTTTTCTTAGGGGGAACGGCCCCTAGTTTTATCATACTGTTTTATTTGCTGCTGTTGCAATTTAAAGGGAGGATAATTTATCCTGAAATGCAGTTTTATAACCCATTAAAAAATCATAAGAATTAATTATTATTTTTTAAACCAACACAGCGGGGGGAACCAGAAAACTGAAAGAAACTCTGGTTTGCCATACGTCCCGGAAATTCCTGACATCTCTTAAGATTTGAAAATTCCCCCCAGACGTCATTTTAGGTGTCCAATTTCTGTGCATGTCCGGAATTTTCCAGATGTATGGCAAGCCTACCTACCTCAGACCTGTAATAGTACCTCCGTTCCTCCTGCCTCCCTGCTGTCTCCCTCTGTTTCTGTACCAATCTCACGAGAATGTTTAGTGAAGCTGAACCTTTGATATGGACCTGGGAGAACTAGAGCCAGCAACTCACCAAATAGCCTTGAAACAGCCACTTAAGTCTTGGTGCACCATTTAGAAAATGGGAGGAGTATTAACCCAACTCAAAAGCATATTGCAAAGATGAGCTTAAAGACTACAAGTGCTCAGCATAAAAACCAAAACCAAACCTCTATCTGTGGTGCAAAAAGTTAATAATACAGAGGACTGATCACAAGAATAGTGCTGTCATGACTCCCATTAAAAATATCCGGCCTGCTGCTCATGCTTCACCCATGGCAAGTGAACAAGAAGCCATACATGCTACCTCCAAGGCAGGGTTGGAGATCATACAATCACAGAATCATAGAATCCTAGAGTTGGAAGAGACCACAAGGGCCATCGAGTCCAACCCCCTGCCAAGCAGGAAACACCATCAGAGCACTCCTGACATATGGTTGTCAAGCCTCTGCTTAAAGACCTCCAAAGAAGGAGACTCCACCACACTCCTTGGCAGCAAATTCCACTGTCGAGCAGCTCTTACTGTCAGGAAGTTCTTCCTAATGTTTAGGTGGAATCTTCTTTCTTGTAGTTTGGATCCATTGCTCCGTGTCCGCTTCTCTGGAGCAGCAGAAAACAACCTTTCTCCCTCCTCTATGTGACATCCTTTTATATATTTGAACATGGCTATCATATCACCCCTTAACCTCCTCTTCTCCAGGCTAAACATGCCCAGCTCTCTTAGCCGTTCCTCATAAGGCATCGTTTCCAGGCCTTTGACCATTTTGGTTGCCCTCCTCTGGACACGTTCCAGTTTGTCAGTGTCCTTCTTGAACTGTTGCTGGACTCCACTCCCATAACCCCTCATCACTGGCTATGCTGGCTAGGACTGATGGGAGTTTGAGGTCATGAGGATGTATGCCTGGGGTTGCTGTAAGGGGAGAGGTAAGTATGGCGCCCCCATTACACTACCCACTGGCCGTCTTCTTATTGGCCAGGGGCGGGGTGAACATGTGGCTCTTCAGCTCCTTGTCCCTCCCAGTTCTACTCACCTTGTGGGGCCAGCCCAGCGCAGCGAAAGGGAAAAGTCCAGATGAGAACCAAGTGTCCAGGACATCGGCATCTGGTGAAAACAAAAAACAAATGTGAATGTTTTATTCAAAAGGCCCAGGGTGCCTGATCTGGAGGAGTTTAAAGGCCCTCCAGTCCCCATCCCAGAGTCCCAATCCAGATTTCCCCCACCCCATCAGCAATGTATAATAATAATAATAATAATAATAATAATAATAATGTATTTATATCCCGTCCATCTGGCTGGGTTTCCCCAGCCACTCTGGGCAGCTCCCAACAGAATATTAAAACCACAATAAAACATCAGATGTTAAAAACATCAAATATTAAAAGCTTCCCTAAACAGTGCTGCCTTCAGATGTCTTCTAAAAGTCATTTAGTTGTTTATTTCCTTGACATTTGATGGGAGGGCGTTCCACAGGGCGGGTGCCACCACCAAGAAGGCCCTTTGCCTGGTTCCCTGTAACTTCACTTCTTGCAGTGAGGGAACCGCCAGAAGGCCCTCGGCGCTGGACCTCAGTGTCAAGGCTGAACGATGGGGGTGGAGACGCTCCTTCAGGTATACCGGGTTGAGGCCATGTATGGTTCTTAGAAGGCTTCCTTACAGGAATGCGCAGAGTATCTGGCAATGTAAGCAATTTCTCAAGGTGACGGGGATGGAAAGGAAAAGTAGGGATGTGTGATGGAGAATGATGCTGGCTCAGTTCCATCACAAAGGCCACCAAATTTCATTTCAAGCACTTCCTTGCGTTTGGCCAGACGCATTGGCACTCTCCCTCCCAGAAGTACGAATATCTGTGCTGCTGCCTTACCTCTCACCAGCTCCAGATCCATTTCTGGTTTTCCCAGCATGCCTGCTGCTTTCCCCCGAGCTTCTGCTTCTGTCCTGCCCACTACCCATAATCCATCGCTCTCCTCCTGCTGCAGATGAAAAGAAGCTGAAGTCGCATTGCAACTAGGACCGGAGGCGCCAGAGACTCAACCCTGCGAACCCCTTGCTACAGTGGCTGATACACAGTCAAAGAGGCTAAAACTCACCTCTGCTACATCTGGCGATCCAGGAACCATGACCCGATAGGCTGGAATCTGATGACCCCACCACAACTGGCGAGAAATACACCAGTCACTGAGCGGGAGGGAGGAGAAAATCAATCAAAATGATGCCATTTGGATTTCAAGAACACAAGGGCCACTTGCAAGATCAAATGAAGGTCCGTCTAGCTCTGCTTTCCCCAACATGGTGCCCTCCAGGTTTTGGACTACAACTCCCATCATTCCTAGCCATTAGCCAAGTTTGTGGAGGATGATGGGATTTGTGGTCCCCAAACCTTCTTTAACAACATTTATATAACGCTTGCTCAATAGAAGATCTCTGCTGCTGGATGGCATCAGGCTGGGCTAGTTAGATGCTTCTGGAATAATTATTCCCTTTATTTGTGGTGTTCAGGCTGTGAGCGCCTCTGCTTGCGTAGCCAAAACAGCACCTCCCATGTACAAGAGGGAAATTTCATAGAAGCATCTCTGTTAAGTCCCATCAAGTCCAATGGGGCTTACACCCAGGCGGCAGCGACCCATAACCAGTGTCGCCGCTTACTAAGAGGGAGAGGTGGCAGCGAGGTCAGTGTGGTGCAAACACACTAGCGGGCGACAGGAGGTCAGGTAAGTGCTGCCAGCCCACCCCAACGGCCGTAGAATAGCAGCCAAAATCCCTCTTTATTACTTTAGCAACAGGAATGAATGAATCTTTATTTGCATCAGCCATCGGCCATAGTAGTAAAACAACGATACAATATACAAAGAATATCTTATCTTACCTGGTATTCAAGAGCCAAGTCCTCCAGTTTTTCTCATGGAATTTAGGGGTCAACTTCAAGAATCCGGACTCCACAGCCTTAGGGAAGAAACAGATAAATCTGGTTAACTCAGTTCAGGGCAAGCTGATACCTTGGGTGGAGAGGTGCGTCTTTCTATCTCTTAGTAACCAACGAGATGCCCCTGGGAAGCATGCAAGCAGGCGACAAGCCAAACCAAAACACTTCCCCACCCTTGGTTCTCTGGCGACTGAAGTTCAGATGAAGGTTGCCTCTGATTCTGCAAGTGGCATATAGCCATCATGACTAGTAATCGCCAGTAACTCCATGGGTGGAATTCAACATCACGTAATGTGATCATTCCATCAGAGCAAGCATTTCTGCTTGTCGGATGGACCAATCTCCCCTCTCCTCCCCCCATGAGTTGTTCTGGGGACTTTCCCGAACCCAAATAGCTGATTTAAGGAGGCATCACAGAGGAGGAGAAGGGGGCAAGTACTGTTGCGTTAGCGGGACTCTTTGTGCTGTCTCACACTGCCACAACTATTTAGTTAAACCCAATCCCCTCGTGTAAAGCCACAACACTATTGGTGGGCATCACTATATCTTGTAATGTAGTGACAATGGGACACGCCGAGACCACATAACACCAGTCTTGAAAGACTTACATCAGCTCCCAGTACCTTTCTGAGCACAATTCAAAGTGTTGGTGCTGACCTTTAAAGCCCTAAATGGCCTCAGCCCAGTATACCTGAAGGAGCGTCTCCACCCCCATTGTTCTACCCGGACACTGAGGTCCAGCGCCGAAGGCCTTCTGGCGGTTCCCTCACTGCAAGAAGCCAAGTTACAGGGAACCAGGCAGAGGGTCATTTCAGTAGTGGCACCCGCCCTCCCAACAGATGTCAAAGAGATAAACAACTACCAGACTTTTAGAAGAGATCTGAAGGCAGCCCTGTTTAGGGAAGCTTTTAATGTTTAATAGGTTATTGTATTTTAATATTCTGTTGGAAGCCGCCCAGAGTGGCTGGGGAAACCCAGCCAGTTGTGCGGGGTATGTATGTATGTATGTATGTATAAATAATAATAATAATAATAATAATAATAATAATAATATAGCAATTCTAAAGATCTCTGCAGTCTAACACATGCATGCTCCCCACCCTTATAGTTCCAGTCTTAGAATGTGGGCTGTATCAGATTATCCTAGCAATGTTAAAGCGTTTGGGGAGTTACCTCCAAGGCCCCACGAGCCATTTCTTCACATCGGACAAACCACTGGTTCTTCAAGAGGGTTTCGATCACATCCCCAGAGCGGCTGTGAAGGATGGGAGTCGGGGGAGAGAGAGAACAAAGGGTCACTTCCGATTCCCAGGATACCTTCCACCTTGCAAAGCTAAAATCCTCCAGCATCAGGATGTTAGTGCTATTTATATAGCGGCGTCGGCATAGGTGGAGCATACGCAATAATAATAATAAAAAGCCTCAGCCCCAAGGAGCAATACAATCTAAGTTGTTTGCAGGGACCAGAGAGAGAGTGAGCTCTGGATGACTGCATTTTTAAAAAACATATTTATGATTTTCAGTTTTATACATTTCAATAATTTTACATTCAATTTAACATTTCAAAACTCAGCTTCCTTCCCCCTCTTTTTCTGCATATTCAAATTAACTTAATTTGCTCACTTATTCATCTACTTTAAATATATACGCTTATAAAACTGCAGGTTATTATCCTCCCAATGTTCTTATCTGTTTACAGTTGATTTGTAAATATTCGATAAACCACTTCCATTCTTTTATTAAAAAAAGTTTGTTATCTTGATTTCTTTCTTCCCACCCCCACCCCCCAAACCCGGTAAGTTTTGCCATTTCTGCATATTCCATAGGTTTTTGTATCCATTCTTCTTTCGCTGGGACTTCTTTTTCCTTTTGGGAATTATAGGGACAGAACTACACAAGCCGTATAGAAATTTATTAATGTATGAGACTACAACGGCAAAAATGTTACTTGCCACCCCTCCCCCAAAAAACTGGATGGCTGGGATACCCCCACCCCTAATGTACAGCACCCTGTTATGGCAGGGCTTTAATCATCATCACAATCACCAATAAAGACAGCTAGATGAAACTGAAGGATGGCTAGGGAGGGAAGGGGAGAGGTCTAAAAAATAATAATTCTACCATTACCTGCAAAGTGGAAGCACCATGGGATGCTCCTTGGCCCCCCGATGGAGTCCTCTCTCCTTCAAAGCAGACAACACCTTCTCACGGGCCAGGAATCTATGCAGCCCCTGAAAGGGGAACACCTTTCCTATCACCCAGTGTCTTGTGCTAACTTAAAAAAATATACCGTATTTTCCCATGTATAAGGTGCCGCCTATTTTGGGGGGCTCAAATTTAAGAAACTGGGAGGGGAGATGACACTGGTTGTTGAGCTTTTTTAGGGGGGGTTGCCAAAAATCTCCCCTCACTGGCAGAAGCTGCCAATCGCCCGCCCAACAGCTGTAGCGTCAGCCAATCAACACCAGCCCTTGACGCAGCAACCAAGAACACGACCAACAGCCGCTGACAGCAGCCAATCAAATGTCCAACCTATGCACTATCCATGTATAAGACGACCCACACTTTTAAACATAATTGCAAAAGAAAAAACCCTAGTCTTATACACAGAAAAGTACAGTAATTAACAGTTTTATTATGAAATAGGTTTTCCTGGGGTTCTTTTTTTTCATGCGCATGGTGACTGGGAGTGGCCGCCGAGAACATATAACACCGATCCTGAAAGATCTTCATTGGCTCCCAGTACATTTCCGAGCACAATTCAAAGAGTTGGTGCTGACCTTTAAAGCCCTAAACGGCCTCGGTCCTGTATCCCTGAAGGAGCGTCTCCACCCCATCATCCAGCCTGGACACTGAGGTCCAGTGCCGAGGGCCTTCTGGCGGTTCCCTCGCTGCGAGAAGCCAAGTTACAGGGAACCAGACAGAGGGCCTTCTCGGTAGTGGCGCCTGCCCTGTGGAACGCCCTCCCAGCAGATGTCAAGGCAATAAACAACTATTTTACTTTTAAAAGACAACTGAAGGCGGCCCTGTTTTGGGAAGTTTTTAATGTCTGACACTGTATTGTTTTTAATATTCTGCTGGAAGCCACCCAGAGTGGCTGGGTAAACCCAGCCAGATGGGCGGGGTGTAAATATATTATTATTATTATTATTAAAGACAGACCCCATCTAAGACATTTTGGTATTGGGGCACAAAATCCAAATGTCACCTCTCATGTAATAAATCCATCCACATTGAAGAATCAAACAACTGCCTTCCAGTTAACAGTGCCTCCGAATCTGCCATCTTTGGCAAGCTACATCAGTTGGGTCAGCCCCAACGCGGAGGGATGTGGTGGCAACTGAAAACGGCTCTTGCTGCAGTGTTCCAAGCAACCAGAAGCTCGCATGGCATTAAAAGGCCAAGCTTACCTGTAGCCAATCCCCACAGTCTGCCGTCATTGTGCCATCTTCCGCAATAACTGAGATGAACGGCAGGCTGTGCCGCTGAGCCAGTTCGTAGTCGGCATGGCTATGCGCTGGGGTGACCTTCACAGCCCCTGCAAAGGTGGCGAGAAAAAGTGAGAAGGGGCATCTCTGAGAACAGATACCCCACGCCGGACGCTGCTGTTCGTCACACTGAATGGAGACTACAGTGGTACCTCGGGTTAAGTACTTAATTCATTTCGGAGGTCCGTTCTTAACCTGAAACTGTTCTTAACCTGAAGCACCACTTTAGCTAATGGGGCCTCCCACTGCCGCTGCACCACCGGCATGCGATTTCTGTTCTCATCCTGAAGCAAAGTTCTTAACCTGAGGTAATATTTAGCGGAGTCTGTAACCTGAAGCGTATGTAACCTGAAGCGTATGTAACCCGAGGTACCACTGTATCTCCTCCAACAGCTCCCACTCTGGAGACTAGCAGAAAGTGCTGTGTAAGCCATCTAGGCCAGACAGTCCCACATCCACAAAGGATGAGCTGACTTGTGTCTGTTTTAAAATTTGCACAAGACAACAGTTTGGGGAAACTTGCACAGGCTGGCAGCTTGGGCAGACAGGTGGGGATGGAGAGACTAGAAAAGTTCTGCTTTTTACCACTTGAGGAAAGTTCTGCTTTTTCACTTGAGTAATCCTGTAAGCTAAGGGAGCGGGTGGCGCTGTGGTCTAAACCAGAGAGCCTAGGGCTTGCCGATCAGAAGGTTGGCGGTTCTAATCCCCGCGACGGGGTGAGCTCTCGTTGCTCGGTTCCTGCTCCTGCCCACCTAGCGGTTCGAAAGCACGTCAAAGTGTAAGTAGATAAATAGGTACCGCTCTGGCGGGAAGGTACACAGTGTTTCCCTGCGCTGCTCTGGTTCACCAGAAGCGGCTTAGTCATGCTGGCCACACGATCCAGAAGCTGTATGCTGGCTCCCTCGGCCAATAAAGCGAGATGAACGCCGCAACCCCAGAGTCGGCCACGACTGAACCTAACGGTCAGGGGTCCCTTTACCTTTTAATCCTGTAAGAAGTTGTTTTTTGCTCACTATAAAAGGCAGCCCCCAGCGAGCAATCGGGGCTCGGCATTTGAGAAACATCTCGCTGGCCTCCGTGCAGCTAAATGAATTCCGACCTTCCTTGGAGAACCCGTGTCTGTCTTTATTGATTTCAACAACACAAACATCCAGCTTCCACAAAGCAGGCCTACCTGTACCCATCTCCTGCTCCACAAAGGGGTCGGTAAGGACAGGAAGGAGACGGCCGGTGAACGGGTGGCAGAGTCTCTTGCCATGAAGGTGCTGGCAAAAAAAAACCCAGAAAGACAAACCAGGTCATACCGCGGTCAGCTTTCAAGAAAGAAAAAATTCAAAGGTGCTCCCCTCTGCTGGTGGTGGGAGAGTCCCACACATTCATCAAGTGCTTTACCAACTGCACTGGCTCCCGGTGGAGTACAGGGTCAGGTTTAAGGGCTGCTTTTGACCTTTAAAGCCCTGCACGACCTGGGACCCATGTACCTACAGGACCGCCTCTCCTGGTATGTCCCACGGAGGGTCCACAAATGACAACATTTTGGAGGTCCCAGGTCGCAAGGTGGTTAGATGGGTCTCAACTAGGGCCAGGGCCCTTTCAGTAGTGGTCCCGACTTGGTGGAACGCTCCGCCACAAGAGACTAGGGCCCTGCGGGACTTGACATCTTTCTGCAGGGCCTGCAAGACAGAGCTGTTCCGCCTGGCCTTTGGTTTGGACTCAGTCTGACCCTCCCCTTATGGTCTTGATTTATCGGCTACTTTTAAAATGAGACTGCATTTTAAATTGCATTTTAACCTGTATTTTAAATTGGTTCCCCCCCCATTGTTTTTTACTGTGATTTTATTGGTGTTAGCTGCCCTGAGCCCGGCTCTGGCTGGGGAGGGCGGGGTATAAATAATAATAATAATAATAATAATAATTGTTATTATTATTATTAACTGTCCCGATATGCTACCAATAATGCTTCCGGCCACCCCAGTGAGTAGGGCAGCTGTTTCACATTAACTGATCCCTCCTGCCCAGTATTGCCTGATCTGCATACCCAGATTCATCAAAACATAGGAAGTTTCCTGCCACTGAATCAGACCGGTGGTTCTTCTTGTTTAGTACTTAGACTGGCAGTGGCTCTCCAAGGTTTTAAAGCAAGAGTCTTTCCCAGCTAGAGATGCCAGGTACTGAACTTGGGACCTTCTGCATGCAGTGCAGTTGATCCACCTGCATTGAAGGGGGGTTGGACTAGATGTCCCTCGGGGGTTCCCTTCCAATTCTAAAATTCTGATTCTTTTTTTAATTCTTTTTAAAATTTTATTTTATAAAGAATGTTCTATAACTTTAAATCATTTCCCATTTTTAACACTTGAATCCCCGGGCGCCCCCACCCCCCGGTTTCCAAAATATTTCTATTCTTTCTGCTACATCTAATTACATTTTTCCAAATTCCTTTTATATTGATTTTCAGCTTACGCCTTGTTACATTTTAAGTGTAATAATAATAATAATAATAATAATAATTTATTTGTGCCCCGCCCATCTGGCTGGGTTTCCCCAGCCACTCTGGGTGGCTTCCAACAAAGATTAAAAATACATCAAAATGTTACACATTAAAAACTTCCCTGAACAGGGCTGCCTTCAGCCATCTTGCTAATGTTTTTAAATATCTACAGTGATCTTTAAGATACTCTATAAAATTTTCCCACTCTTCACTGAATTTCTCCTCATCTTGGTGTCTGATCTTGATTTTTGCCATTTTGGCAAAGTCCATCATCTTGGTTATCCAATCTTCCTTTGGTTGGGACTTTTTCTTCCTTCTATTTCTGGGCAAAACAATACTGTAATTCTACCACTCAGCTAGTGAGTGAGAGAGAGAGAGAGAGAGGCAGAGACGCACAGGCCTACAACCCAAGGTAGGTAGAGATTTTGTGGCACAACAGCATCTAACTCAAATTAAGCCACGCAGTCCGAGTGGGAAACTGTTTTCATAGGAATGTTTGTTGACTCATAGGAAAATTTAGTCAGGTCTGCTGTCAATGATGGGTTGCAGGATTATACAAGCTCTCTATCCCACTCCATCTCTCTTGCTCTGTGTGTGCTATCCCATCTCTCTCTCTCTCTTTCTCTCTCCTCTGCACCCCATTTTTTTGGGCTGCATGAAATTAATCTGTCACAGGCTGTCCATGTCAGGTTTCACATCTCGTTTCCCAAAGGCCTCTGCCAGCCAATACAGTGGTACCCCGGGTTAAGAACTTAATTCGTTCTGGAGATCCGTTCTTAACCTGAAACTGTTCTTAACCTGAGGTACCACTTTAGCTAATGGGGCCTCCCACTGCTGCCGCACAATTACTGTTCTCATCCTGAGGTAAAGTTCTTAACCCAAGGTACTATTTCTGGGATAGCGGAGTCTGTAACCTGAAGCGTCTGTAACCCGAGGTACCGCTGTATGCATCGCTGTAGGCGACATTTTTCCACCTTCGCCGCATCAAGCAGTTGGTCCCTTACCTTTCCCACCCCACCCTGGCCACAGTGATCCATGTGACGGTCATCTCCAGGCTTAGCTACTGTAATTCGCTCTACGCGGGGCTGCCCTTGAAGCTGTCCCAGAAACTCCAGCGGGTGCAGAATGCTGCAGCGAGGCTCCTCATGGGGTCTCTGCCATGGGAGCATATTCACCCAGTGCTTTTCCAGCTGCACTGGCTCCCGGTGGAGTACAGGGTCAGATTTAAGGTGCTGCTTTTGACCATTAAAGCCCTTCACGGCCTAGGACCCTCGTACCTACGGGACCGCCTCTCCCGGTATGCCCCACGGAGAGCCTCAAGGTCCATAAATAGCAACACCCTAGTGGTCCCGGGCCCTAAGGAAGTTAGACTGGCTTCAACCAGAGCCAGGGCCTTTTCAACACTGGCTCCGGCCTGGTGGAAGGCTCTGTCTCATAAGACCAGGGTCCTGCAGGATCTGATTTCTTTCCGCAGGGCCTGTAAGACAGAGTTGTTCCGCCTGGCCTTTGGCTTGGAGCCAATTTGATTCCCTCCCTCCCTCTCTTTTTTCTTTTCCTTCTACTCCTGCGATGAGGCTACATTTTAATATTTTAATGTTCCATTATTTTAATGTTGTATTTTATTTTTGTTTTAAGTTATAATCATTCATCTTGTTTTTATTATTGCTTGTAAGCCGCTCTGAGCTCGGCCTTGGCTGGGGAGGGCGGGGTATAAATAAAAATTATTATTATTATTATTATTATTTCAAGCTGGGCCTTGCTATGCTTTGTGTCCAGGCATTCCCATTTGTCCTGCGCCCCTGACTAGTGACTACGGTTCCATGGCCCCATCGGAAGGGAGAACAGGGTGGAGAAGTCTTACTCTATACCGCGGGTCGTCCGGATGGACAGCGACCGCCACGTCTCCCAACATAGTCTCCGGACGGGTTGTGGCCACAGGAAGTTCCTCGCCTGCCCTCAGTCAAAGGAAGCAGAGACCAGACGGGGGGAAACAAAGGTGTTTTAGTCAGAAAGGTAGCGTTCCTGTGGGGTTGTCAGCACACAAGGTGGGGAAAAAAGGATGTAGCCATGTGAGGAGAATGGGATGTCCATTTATGCTGCCTTATTTACTTATTGGATTTCTTACACACCCTTTCACCATAAGGCCTCCTCCAACTTTAACCCAACTGAGCAAAATCTTGGCCTGCTATCTTACACTGCCCAATAGCCAAGCTGCATCTCTTCCCGTTAATTGTCGTATTTTTCGCTCTATAGGACGCACTTTTTCCCCTCCAAAAATGAAGAGGAAATGTGTGTGCGTCCTATGGGGCGAATGCAGGCTTTCGCCGAAGCCTGGAGAGCGAGAGGGGTCGGTGCGCACCGACCCCTCTCGCTCTCCAGGCTTCAGGCAGCTATCCACAAGCCTTCTGAGCATGGCGGGAGTTCCCACTGGGCTCTGAAGGCTTGCGGATAACTGCCTGTTTTGGGGGCTGGGGTTGGGGGAAGCTCGGGCTTTCCCCGTCCCAGCCCCGCAGCTAAAAACAAAGCCGCGAGCAGCTTCTCCCAGCTGGAGAGGTTGCGCATGGCTAAAGACATCTGTCTTGGCTTCTTTGCTCTTTGGGGGTGGGGGGTGGGGAAATTCCCCCCCCTTAAAACTAGGTGCGCCCTATGGTCCGGTGCGCCCTATGGAGCGAAAAATATGGTAACAAAAGAGAACCAAGCAATTGTAAGAGATTCTGAGGGTTTTTTTATCAATAGGTTGCCAACTGAAACATCCAAGAGTCCCAAGAACTGACTTTCCCTGTAAAACACAGCTGGGAGGGTATCTTCCACGTCTATGAAAAGATAGCGTGTCTCAACCTGGACCCGACAGCATTCGATGCCGCAGACAAAGCCTTGGACCAGGGAGATAAGGGTCCTTCGCATCTCTCAGCTGTGAAGCACAGTGATCTTGAACCAAAATCTCTCCACTAACCTACCTTTCAGGGCTGTTGCAAGGTTAAAAAGCAGGTAGGCTCACCTCGCCCCCAGTGTGGCTACCTTGAGTTTCTTAGGAGGAAGGGCAGGATTGCAAATGTGACGACAGCCTTCCGTTTGTTTATATGTAACGGAAGCCTTGAAAGAGGCTAACACGATTGAAACAGATGGAAACTCAAAATCAAAACACTGAAAATAGCAGTGAACATAGCTGACCTTAAACTGTCCCCATTCAAGTTCATATCTGGGTTATTATCAGCTTCCTCTTTGCTCCATGATTCTACTATTTGTAGGCCACCTTTCCACAGCTCAGGGTGGCTTACAACATAAAAAATACACCATTACAAAATAACAAAAATAGTCATAACACAATACAGTTGTACCTTGGTTTTCGAACAGCCTAGTTATCGAACATTTTGGCTCCTGAACAATCGAAACCTGGAAGTGACTGTTCCGGTTTTCGAATGTTCTTCTGGAAGCTGAACATCCGACGGGGCTTCCGATTGGTTGCAGGAGCTTCCTGCAGCCGATCAGAAGACGCGCTTTGGTTTTTGAACGCTTTGGAAGTCGAACGGATTTCCGGAACGGATTCCGTTTGACTTCCAAGGTACAACTGTAGATAAAACATTCAAAGATACACAACCAAACCAAACCATTTCAACATAAATCAAAAATAAAGATACAAAAATAAGCAACAGGAACGATATCTTGCTGCTGTTAACTCACCATCCTCTCCTTCCACTTTGTAGGCAAATGTCACCAAGACTCCAAACGGCACTTTGCCTTGGAGTCCGGGCACAGAGAGCTCCGTCCGTCCTTTGAGCTGCCTGTTCTCCACCTGCCAGGGACACCATCCATGAGTCACCTCAGTCCTAAAGAGCACCCCCTTCTCCCAGCCACCGCGTGCCGCCAGACTCCTCCCCACTCACCTCGACGTCAGAAATGGCTGATCGCAAGGCGCATGACCAGTTCACGAGGCGCCTCTCCCGGTACACCAAGCCCTGCTCATGCAGTCGCACGAAGGCCTCGGTCACCGCTTGGGAGAAGCCCTAAGAAGGAAAGAGCTGTGGTAATGGTGGAAGGAGGCAAAGAAACAAGGGTGGCAGCTATAGCCAGTCTGTAGCAGCAGCAACAATGATGGAAACCACAGTCTGCACCCGTTTCTGCATCAGCTTGCACATTATCAGCTTGCAAAGTCCACGGAAATTTGCATTATTTTCGTCCACCATTGCCCCTTAGAACACCCCTTTATTTATATTCAGATTTAATACAACAAAGTTAATGAAGAGGTAAAAGAAAAAGATATGTTGTTCTGGCAACTGTAACAGCATTGCTCATACAGTGGTACCTTGGGTTACAAACTCAAATCATTCCAGAGGTCCATTCTTAACCTGAAACCGTTCTTAACCTTAGGCGCGTTTTTGCTAATGGGGCCTCCCGCTGCTGCCGCGCGATTTCCGTTCTTATCCTGGGGCAAACTTCTTAACCCGAGGTACTACTTCCGGGTTAGCCGAGTTTGTAACCTGAAGTGTTTGTAACCCAAGGTGCCACTGTATTTACAATTGCAATTTCCAAAATGCTACCTATTTATATCTTTCTTGTTTCACGTAGAGACAGTACAAAAGAAGCAGAACTTGATAGGGCATCAGCAACCAAAGAAATCAACCACAGACTGACATTCCTATAACACCCGTTGTTACGTACAAACCACATTTGCATTTTCAGAATCTGCTACTCACAGAGTCCATGGTGAAACAGACTCTGTTCCAATCCAATGAGGCTCCCATCACCTTCAGCTGCTGGAATATTTCGTTCCCTTTCCTGATCTCACGAGAAAAAGCAGAACAAAAACAAACCTTTTATGTACAGAGGTAAAAGAAAGAACAAGAAGGAGGTTTTTCTGTTTGGTTGCTATGCAAGAAGCAAACCTGCTCTTGTCTTAAGCTTAAGCACATTCCATTTTATGTAATTTCCACACACTCCTCAATCTATCCTTGGACCGCCCCCCTATCCCACATAATAATACAGTGGTGCCTCGCAAGACGAAATTAATCCGTTCCGCGAGAGTCTTCGTCTAGCGGTTTTTTCGTCTTGCGAAGCAACCCTATTAGCGGCTTAACGGATTAGCGCTATTAGCGGTTTAGCGGCTATTAAAGGCTTAAAGGCTTAGCGGATTAGCTGCTAAAAGGCTATTAAAGGCTATTAAAGTCTTAGCAGATTAGATAAAGGGGGGGGGAAAGCGAAAAAAAAATCTCTAGACTCGCAAGACATTTTCGTCTTGCGAAGCAAGCCCATAGGGAAATTCGTCCTGCGAAGCAACTCAAAAACGGAAAACCCTTTCGTCTAGCGGGTTTTCCGTCTTGCGAGGCATTCGTCTTGCGGGGCACCACTGTAATAATAATAATAATAATAATAATAATAATAATAATAATAACAACTTATTTACACCCTGCCCACCTGGCTGGGTTTCCCCAACCACTCTGGGTGGCTTCCAACTGAATATTAAAAACAATACAGCATCAGACATTAAAAAACTTCCCTAAACAGGGCCGCCTTCATTTAAGGCAAATGGCCTGAGTCCCTTGGATACTCACTCCTCTTTCCAGTTCCAGACCTCCTGGAGGAATTCCTCACGCTTGAGCTCTTTTCGGAGGACTCCCCTCTCCTTCCAGATCCTTCTTTCCACCACAGCCTGGCCAGACAACAGTAGAAAACAACGGGAATCTGAATGCAGCCCATGCAGGAAACTTTACTAGAACCCTACACTCTCATTCCATCCCTCTCTAAGGCTACCATCCTAAGACGGCGTGCTAGGAACCAAGTCCCATCAGGTAAAGTGGGACTTACTTCTGTGTCAGGAATGGGGAACCACACGATAGGAGCCTTTCCTGGTATGCTCCTGGGACCGCCTCTCCTGGTATGCCCTGCAGAGGACCTTAAGGTCCACAAATGACAACATTTTGGAGGTCCCAGGTCACAAGGTGGTTAGATTGGTCTCAACCAGGGCCAGGGCCTTTTCAGTACTGGCCCCGACTTGGTAGAACACTCTATCACAAGAGATTAGGGCCCTGCGGGACTTGACATCTTTCCTGCAAGACAGAGCTGTTCTGCCTGGCCTTTGGTTTGGACTCAGTCTGACCCTTATGTTTCCCTCCCCTTATGGTTTTGATCTATGGGCTACTTTTAAAATGAGGCTGCATTTTAAATTGCATTTTAACCTGTATTTTAAATTGGGTTTTTTTCCCCTATTATGTTTTTACTGTAATTTTACTGGCGTTAGCCGTCCTGAGCCCGGCTCTGACTGGGGAGGGCAGGGTATAAATAAAATGTATGTATGTATGTATGTATGTATGTAATTATTATTCTCACCTGAGTGGCAATCCCAGCATGATCGGACCCTGGAACCCACAGAACTTTATAGCCTTGCATTCTTTTCCTGCAAGACACCGAAAGACCACAACGCAGAACTCAGCAACTGCCCTGCTGCTAAACACAGTGCCCTGATGCCAGATCAGAACCAGAAATAGCATAGTCCCCCCCCCCCAAAAAAAGACAACATAAAGAGGAAGCAGATCCCAAACCTGTTTCCAGGTTTGGAAACAGCAGCAATTACCAAGAGTAGAAGAATGGCGACAGAAGGTAATGGAATATGCAGAAATAGCCGAACTAACAGGGAAAATTCAACACCAGGGAGAGGAAACATTTCAAAAAGAATGGGGAAAATTTATGTTGTATATAGGAAAGATAAGATGAAATAGTAAAACCACCGTAGAATTGGAAACAAACCTCATAACAGGAAAGATTAAGAAAAGTGATAGCTAATGAAAATAATAAGAAGCAAGATGTATAAGGAAACTAATATAACTAACTGTAGTGGTAAATGAATACAGACAGACAACAAGAATTGTATAAACAAGAGGACTTATTTGTTTATGGATACACTGTGGACAAATATGGAAAATGAATAACAATATATGAAATGGAAGAAAATAATGCGATAAAATTATATGTGATATAAAAAACCAGAAGGAAGGAAGGAGGGAAGTCAGCTCTGAAGAGCAAGTATAAATGTAAAACAATATGTGTATGTGGAGCATCTAATTGAAAAACTAATAAAGATTATTGGGGGGGGGGAGAGCACAGACTTTACAACATAGGCAGAGAGCCTCAAGTTAGGGGGCCAAATTCAGCCCACCAGCCCTCTCTGCCTAGCCCTTGGCGCACTGCTGAGGCCACGCCATGATCTGCAACCTCCTCAAGCACTTTTGCCTTGCTGGAACATGTCCCTGTTCTGTAATAATGCCTCCCCATTTCCTGGACGGAGACAGTTGCCTATGGGGTGTGCCTGTTGAAACCTATGAATTTTCCATAGCCTGAACATAGCCTTTTGTACAAAAGTTAAGAATACTGGAATAGTTCTAAGTTGGATCAGGCCAATGCCACATCCACACCATGACATTTGGTGGAGGAACAGAGAGTAATATACCACTTTAAACAGACATGGCTTCCCCAAGAGAACTCTGGGAGCCCTGTAATTTGGGCTGTGACACATTCAAGACAGTGGACCCCTCTCTCTAAACCAGTGGTTCTCAAAGGATGTGTCATGCCACACCCATGTGGCAGGGGGATGTGGCAAGTGTGGCGGGGAAGATTCAAGGACAATCAGAGAAACATTTAAACATTTCGGTGTAGTATAGTTCAAGATACAGTGGTACCTCAGGTTAAGTACTTAATTCGTTCCAGAGGTCCGTACTTAACCTGAAACTCAGTGGCGTAGCGTGGGGGGTGCAGGGGGGGGCCGGCCGCACCGGGCGCAACATCTGGGGGGGGGCGCTCGCACTCGCAGCTCTCTGCCCCTACCTGGCTCACTCACTCTCTCTCACTGCAGTGCTGGCTGTGCGAATCCGATCCGAGCCGCTGGGTCGCCGCCCACTGTGGAGGGGGTGGGTGCCAGGCGTGCGGTGCGGAGAGAGAGAGAGGGACTATCTGGGGGAGGGACAGTGCAGCGGCCGCCCAGCGCAGGAGCGCGGGAGAGAACCACACCAGACCAGACCAGGCAGCAGCAAGAAGAAGCTGGCAGTGGCGGCAGGTTAGGGGTCAGGGGGCGCAAATTACTTGCCTTGCCCCGGGTGCTGACAACCCACGCTACGCCGCTGCTGAAACTGTTCTTAACTTGAAGCACCACTTTAGCTAATGGGGCCCCCTGCTGCTGTCGCACCGCTGGAGCCCGATTTCTGTTCTCATCCTGAAGCAAAGTTCTTAACCTGAAACACTATTTCTGGGTTAGCGGAGTCTGTAACCTCAAGAGTATGTAACCTGAAGCGTATGTAACCTGAGGTACCACTGTAATTTTTTATTGGCAGAATATATTTTCAAAAGGACAGCGAGAGCACCAGCTGATGCTCTTATGACTCAAACACTGCTAGCAGTTGTTTCTTTTTGTTTTCCAATGTATTTCTTATCAATGGAAAATTCAGCGTGGTATGAGCAAATTTTTATTCTGACAGTGTGGTCTGGATAAAAGAAGTGTGAGGCCACTGCTTTAGACTGCCCATTGGAACCAAGGAAGCTGCCTTATATCAAAAGTACGGGCTCTTTTTCATGAGCTGCAGACCCCCTCGTGCATATTTGTACAGTGATACCTCGGGTTACATACGCTTCAGGTTACATACGCTTCAGATTACAGACTCTGCTAACCCAGAAATAGTGCTTCAGGTTAAGAACTTTGCTTCAGGATAAGAACATAAATCGGGCTCTGGCGGCACGACAGCAGCAGGAGGCCCCATTAGCTAAAGTGGTGCTTCAGGTTAAGAACAGTTTTAGGTTAAGAACGGACCTCCAGAACGAATTAAGTACTTAACCCAAGGTACCACTGTATACCTGCTGCAAGCCACTCACCCTTATATCTTAAGGGGCTTGATGGCTATAAATCTAAAAATGAATACATGAGCGAGAAACACGAAGCAGAAGGGCAGCCATCGTCTGCTGGAGGCAAGGTACCCACAAGACCATGCAGAGCATCACTTACCAACGTACCAGAGCATCTTCAAGAGCCACGGTCAAGGCGTGGCCCAGGTGCAGGGACCCCGTGACGTTTGGCGGAGGGAGGGAGAGCGAAAACGTTTCTGGCTTCCGATGGGGCAAGAGGTGCTTTGGGAAAGAGAAACAGGAAGAGAAATCAGCCGCGTCCAAGGTCAGAACAGCCTGGTAGCCACTGTACCATCAGGGTACCATGGCAGAACCACTAATTTCAATGTTTGGCAGAAAAAAGTAAGGGGAGACCTGCAGGCAAGGATCCAAGGCCCATCTAATCCCAGGACTGAGAAGGCTTTTGTGTGCAACTGAGTTAAACAGATGTTAGAAGTCATTGCTTGACAGCTGTAAGTCATCGGTTCCACTGACAAACTTTCTATCAAGGTGTTTTTCTTCATCTCTCCACCAAAACCTACTTTTCTGTTAACTTCAGCCCTTTCATTATTACATCTAGTGCTCCCCTGGGGTCATCATTTCTGCCATTCAGCCATCTGTCAACTCTGAAGGGCAGCACACCTTTGGTTCGCCTGTTTACGGCACAACCCACCTAAAACCACTTGTTTACAGCATCAATTTTTCTACCTGGTGCTCTGGTTTAAAAAATCCCTCCTTCACCCACCAGGAATACCAGGCAGCTTCGACATAGCGTGGGCTATATGAGGCAGGCAGCGGTGCCGAGGTATCTGTGGGGAAGAATGCAACAGAGGGTACCTGTTATTAAAGCAAAAAAATAATAATAATGCGTATTTCCATTAAATCCCAGAACTGGCGTGTATAAAATGTACAAGGTGTGGAACCCAGCATTCTGAAACTGCCGGCTTCCCAACAGACATAGATGCAGGAGGCTATGGAAAGGGCAAGGAGTTCTGTTCCCCCCACTGTTACCTTTCTTTTCTCCAGCTGCGGTTGGGATGTCGTACAGAACTGTGCTTTTCAAGGCTCGGCCCCTGGCTTGGCTTGGCGGCTGCTCCTGCGAAATACAGCAGAGACAAGATGGCTCCCAGGGCGGGGCTCATCCTTTTCCTCCGCAAGTCCTACTTGGAGAGGCCGAGTATCAGGGTGGATAGGATTTTTTAAAAAAAATACATTTTTTAACAACCACCAAAACACAAACAGTGAAACCCCCCAGCCGGCTGATACATTGGATATACAATATTCAATAATATACATATTCCATAATATTCAATACAGTGGTACCTCGGGTTACATACGCTTCAGGTTACAGACTCCGCTAACCCAGAAATGGTGCTTCAGGTTAAGAACTTTGCTTCAGGATGAGAACAGAAATCGTGCTCTGGCGGTGCGGCAGCAGCAGGAGGCCCCATTAGCTAAAGTGGTGCTTCAGGCTAAGAACAGTTTCAGGTTAAGTATGGAGCTCCAGAACGAATTAAGTACTTAACCCGAGGTACCACTGTAGTATCATATTCAAATTAACCATGTGTACACTTCTATATACCTTAACCTCTTTCCACAAGGTTTATTTAACTTTTAACATTTTAATTGCCCCAAATTGTTCAAACCTACTCAAATAACTCAACATCTTCTCAAACCAATCCTCCTCTTTCTCACTGACCTTAAACCCTTTCATTTTATGTATCTTCACAGTTAGGTATTTTAAAATTATAATATTATTCAGTTTTTTCCTCCATTGGTTCACCCCTAGCTCTTCTGCATTTTTCCAATTACTCGCTATAACCTGTCTCACTGCAATTACCAATTTTACCCATTTGCATTCCTCTTTTGTTTTTAACTCAGTACTACTCAGGGTAATAAGAACCATTGATTTAGTTATTTCCACGTTCCTTCCCACAATTCCCAATATTTCTATACCAATCTGTTTCCAAAATTCATTAACTAATGGACAAAGGGTAGATTTGATTTGATTTGATTTAAATCAATTCGATTTAAATCACAATTTAAATAGCTAGTCAGTAAGACTTTATTTATTTATTTTTTTGCAGAAATACTCATTCTTGCCGGCATAATCTTAATATTTACAACCAGATGAAGGTTTCATTTTTGGAATAATAAACTTGCACAATTATTACACAAAGATCCCAAGACTTGTGGAGTATTCTGCTCACAAGGTTGCACTTTCATTTTTACGGCTTCACACTTAGCAGTAAGAGCTGTTTGACAGTGGAATTTGCTGCCAAGGAGTGTGGTGGAGTCTCCTTCTTTGGAGGTCTTTAAGCAGAGGCTTGACAACCATATGTCAGGAGTGCTCTGATGGTGTTTCCTGCTTGGCAGGGGGTTGGACTCGATGGCCCTTGTGGTCTCTTCCAACTCTATGATTCTATGATTCTACTTGTGCAGATCTATTCCACTCCAAACAATCTATTCATTGAACCTCCTGGAACTTAGCATTTAAGAGGTAAGGGGTTGATTCTGTGTATATAAATTTGCAAAAGAACAAAGGGATTCAGGGTTTTTCCTCAACTCTGTATGTTTATTTTATAATATTTTTCCTTTGAAGAAAAGGCATGTTATCTCTGCAGACACCATTTCACACTTTTGAGAACTGCAAAAACAAGCATCTGAGATAATATAGTCTCATTAGAAAAACTGCCCCAAATAATCTTACAGAAACCTCTGGAAATGCATGCCATTGTGAATGGATTAATGGAATTCATTTCCTGAAGAATTTAAACATTGCATATAAAGCCTCATGCTACATAATTAAAAACAAACCCTTATTTCCTGATGAATAGCCTTTGGACTATAATGTAACTTAAATAGAAAACTATCTTTAGAAAGATTTTTCCTCGAAAAGCATTTTATTTTTTAAAATCCTATTAAAATTTTTAAAAATCCCATTTAAATTTTAAAAAATCCGTTTTTTAATTTTTTTTAAAAAAAAATCATGACTTTTAACAATCCTGCTGAGGATTGAACTGGAGATTCTCAGCATTCAAAGCAGATGCTCTCCCTCTGAGCAACGGCCCTTCCTCACTCGACTCTCCCCTATTAAATAATTAGCCAAAGTGGGGACATCCACGTCTCTGGTCCTCCAAGCACCGCCTCACCTTGGACCCAGCAAGCAGCCCAGCTTCGATGGCCTCCAACTTCTCCCGCTGCCGTTTCTGTTTCTCTGCCTTATTTTTCAGGTGGTGCGTTTTCCCTGCTTGGCTATGGAGATCCGTCAGGTTTCCTTCAGGCTTCCTCGCTTGGGAGTAAGACCTCCAAACGCCAGGCGCCCCCCAGCGCCTCTTCTCAGCCCAGAGAAACAGACGGCAGAGAGAACACAGGTGCCGGACAGGCCCAGAATTGTACTGGGGCAATGGCATGCTTGGAATTGGACGCATTGAGTTCTCAGGCACAGTGGGGCGAAGCACACCTCTCACAGCTACCTGTCTTGCAGTGCCATAAGCTCTCTTTTCCGTCTTTGCACAGTGGGTAGGTGGAACCTGCAGAAAAGAAAACCAAGCAAACTAAATGTTTATTGAATATATGAGGGGAAATTCTGTACATTTGAAAACACAGACAGCATCAAGATAAATTCAGCATTGTAAATAAGTTTTGGTGGATGTAATAATGTAATACTGAATGGTTTAGCTCACGGGTTTTCAACCTGATCCCTACCGCCCACTAGTGGGCGTTTCAGGATTCTAGGTGGGCAGTAATGGGTTCTATGGCCAGGGGTCCCCAAAGAAAGGCCCGCAGGCCAGATAAGGCCCAAGGGACTCGTTTATCTGGCCCGCGGCGACCCCCGCCACCCGCTCTTACCGGCACTGCGCTGTGCGGCTGCCCACTTCCGGGTCAGAGGAGCACCGGAAAGAGCTTGTGCGCATGCGCAACCGTTATTTGCACATGCGTTATTTGCGATGCAGATCCGGGTCGGAGGAGGCCTGTGCACAAGCTATTTCTGGTGCTCCTCCAACCCGGAAGTGCACCAGAAATAGCGTGTGCACACGCATATGGGCACGCGCTCCCCTGCCCTCCGCGCGATCAGCGCTGGAGACACCGGCCCGAGGCACGGTAAGTTTGCTGACTTATGGCACAAGCTATAAGCACCGGTGGGTGGTAAGGAAATTTTACCATCAACAAAGATGCCTAACCCTCTCTCTCACCCAACCAGACAGAAATATGACAATTTTCTGAAAAGTGCACTCTGCTCTCTGCCATCAGACAGACATCTGAGGACACCCCGGTATAGGGAAGTTTTTTATGTTTCAGATTTCCTATGGGTGAAGACAGGGGCAAGGCAGGTACGGAGTAATTCTGCCTTCTCTTTGTCACCGAATAGCATTTCTCCATCCTCTCCACACTGAGGACCTACACTAGTGGCCAAAATTCTGGAAACCTTTTGGGAAAAGTGTATTTCCGAGGATTGATGGCTCATAACACCTGACTGGCTCTCTAAACGCCCATGCTCACTGGCTACACTCAAATGAAGGAAAGCTATTGCATGCCAACCTAAGCAATTTGCGCTTCCCGTTTCTGGTTATTTGGCTATAACATTTGATAAAATACAGATAATTGAACAAACTTTGTTGCATTACATTCGTCATTAAATTATCTTCCCATTGATATATAGTTTTATGGTATTACTCCCCCCCCCCCCAAATAGTGGTGCTATCAAGTCATCAAACCTCAGAAATACCCTTTTCCCAAAAGGTTTCCACAATTTTGGCCACTAGTGTGCTTGTTCTTCCTCTTGTTTCAGACATAGCCAACACAATGAAATACAATATAAGATTTGTTGCTGTTGTTTAGTCGTGTCCGACTCTTCGTGACCCCATGGACCAGAGCACGCCAGGCACTCCTGTCTTCACAATATAAGATACAGGTTTCCAAAAAAACACACAAGAGCCTGGCCCTGGCCAGGGAGGGCGGGGTATAAATAAATTACTATTACTACAACTACTACTACTACTACTACTACTATTATTATTATTATTATTATTGAAATCTGCCATGGTCTTGAGCAATCCTTTAGGGGCATTTGTTGCATTTTCCTTATTTGCGTCTTTTTAATCAGACTGTCACGTTCTTTTCATACATTATGGCATTCGCAAGTCACTTGGAGACATTTTCTTGCGGAAAGCAAAGAAAAAAGAAAGAAATCAATGCCGAAAATAGGAAACAGCCACGGTGCCAAAAACAACAACTGCGCTTCAGAAAGAAAATGTCAATCTGAAATACTGGGGCGGGGAGAGGCAACGACTCCGATCAGGTCAGAGATCGAAAGAGACATGTTGCAATTAAGTTTCCTAAGAGACTCTTACCTTCAGAGGCACCCGCTGCAAAAAGGGAGAAGGGGACGCGCGGCTTTTTTCTGCAGCCGGAGGGGAAAAGCAAGAAGCTCACGTGCAGAGCGAGAGGCCGACCCCGACCTCTCTCTGGCGGGTTTCCTGTCTGTCTCGTGTGAAATGCATGACGGGAGCTTAGAGCCCTAGGAAGAGGAAGGGCTTTGCTGGGTTGTCTGAGCCAGGAGAAATCCGGAGGAGCTGAAGATCGGGAAAATGCATGCGAGGTGAGGACTGGGTCGAGGCTCGTGAAGAGAGCGCAGCGCTGCAGCTCCGGGAGCGCGTGCTCACAAGGAAGCCCCATTGAATTCAATGGGACTTACTCTCCCGGGAGCGAGGTGAGGATTGCAGCCTAAGGGGACGTTGCAGAAAGGAAGAAGGGGTTCCTCGAGGCGACGGGACTGTCTGGGAAGTAGTTGTGGGACGGGGAAGTGCAAGCACAAAGCCGCACGCATTGCCAAGAAATTGCAAAAGACTTTTGCAAATGTCTTGCAACGATCGGTGCAATTCCTATCCAGGCTTTCAGGGTAAATCAGCACCCTTCCAAGGCGGCTCTCAAGCAGTTACTGCCTAGGAGTAGCTCCCGCTGGATTTAGTGAGGCTTACTCCTGAGTAGACGTTGCACCTTCAGAGCCCGGCTGAGCAGGATCGCAGCTCGTAGTGGAAGTAAGTGCAATTGAGGCCGGCGGGGAGGGGAAGGAGAGATTTCCTGATTAAAAATATGGAAGATTCTATTATTGCTTGAGGTTCCCGCCTCAGGGTAAGGGCTTTGTATTTGTAAGATACTAAGCTTGCATATATTCATGCAGACACCTTGTTCTGTTGTTGTTTTATTTTTAAAAACCCAATAAAATTATTATTTTAAACGCTTACACCTTATTTTACAGATTATATATTATTTTGACCGATAATTATTTATGTGTGTGTATGGAACAAAATTATGTATTCCACTTAATCATTAAAAAAAACCGCTAAGCAGTCACATATTCTTGTAACCTGATCTGGGACCTTTTTGGTTAAAGGCGGGTAAGGAATCTGGAAAAAGAAGAATGAGCTTGCAATGTTGCACAGGGGCAAAGATCCTGACCCTGCTTGTGTCTATGTTCTGCATAGCAGGCCGAGCTCAGGCTGTTACACTTTCGGCAGGGTGTTTCTTCTTCTAGAGACTCTTAATCTCAAGGTCATGGGTTCGAGCCCCACATTGGGCAAAAGATCCCTGCATTGCAGGGGGTGGGACTAGATTAGGGAAGCTTTTAATGTTAAATAGTTTATTGTATTTTAATATTCTGTTGGAAGCTGCCCAGAGTGGCTGGGGAAACCCAGCTAGATGGGCGGGGTATATGTGTGTGTGTGTGTGTGTGTGTGTATATATATATATATATATATATATATATATCTGTAATAATTATAGATAACTCTTATGGTCTCTTCCCACTCTGCAATTCAATGATTCATAATAGGGTGCTTATCTGTGCTGATAATAATTGGGTTCAGAATCCCCCCCCCCAAAAAAAAACCCTGTTAAAACTTCCTTCCTCCTGTAGATTACTATGGAGTCGGTGATGAAATTGCAGCGGGTACAGCTGAAATGCAAGAACCTTCATGAATTCCTGCGGGGCCTCAGCCCTGGCATCTTAGACCGGCTCTACAACCATCCTGCCACATGCCTCGCTGTCTTTCGGTGAGCGAGAACCCCCTTCCCAAATATTGGGGTGCTGGCCAGAGTGGGGAGGGTGGAATAAAAGAATCAGTTTACTTCCGAACTAGATTATTTACAGTTCAAGTTTAACCATGCTTACTCTGTAGTAAGTCCTGTTTATATGTGGCTTACTCCTGGGTAAGTGGAGTTAGGATTACAGCCTTAGGCTTGACCTTAACTGAATCACGAATCGTTGATTCTCTAAAGTTGCCTGCACTGGGTGAGAATCCTGCTGTAAACAAGATGTGCAGATATTTTATTTTATTGTATGTGCATTCTGGTGTCTTGCTTAAATTGTGCTTTTAGTATTTAATTGCATCCATTCACAAGAACAGGAAAAGGCGAGTCTTTTTTTTATCTAACAGGTTGTTGTTTTAAATGAGCCAGTCATTCCCGTGATTATATTTTGTATTGTTTTCTGGTATTTCATTTTGCACATTGCCCTTGTTAGCTTATGCGAATACATAAATAAAATAAACAGTAGCATGTTTCCAAGTTTTTTAAAAAGTAGATTCTGAAAATACTTGATTGGCGTCGCTTGTGAAAGCAGTTTCGCTACACGCTAAACCATCCACACATTGATCTGTGTGTTTTAAGCAATTTATTCCAGCTCAGCCTTCCCCAACTTGATGCCTTCTGTAGGTTTTTGGACCATGGCAAATGGTCAAGAGGGATGGGAATTGTGGTCCAGCAACATCTCAAGGGCCAAAGGTTCCCCATCCCTACATCCTTCTGAGCAGGAGATGCTGTGGCTAATCTCTGACTCTCCAGATGTTGCTGCCGTTCCCGTCAGTTTTCCATCAGCAGAGTCAAGGGCAAGGAAAATGGGAGCTGTTTTTCAGAAATGTCTGGAGGGCCTCGGATTAGCCACCCCCTGCATTATGGTATAAAAGTATTTTATAAAAGCTCCATCTTGTACGCAGGCTGAGGCCCTAAGTGCCCGCGGACTGTCTCACAAGAGTAGTGCCTGCTCTGGTTATCTCTCCCTTGGACTACTGCAATGTGCTCTATGTGGGGCTACCTTTGAAGGTGACCCAGAAACTACAACTAATCCAGAATGTGGCAGCTAGACTGGTGACTGGGAGTGGCTGCTGAGACCACATAACACCAGTTCTGAAAGACCTACATTAGCTCCCAGTACGTTTCCGAGCACAATTCAAAGTGTTGGTGCTGACCTTTAAAGCCTTCTAGCAGTTCCCTTGCTATGAGAAGCAAAATTACAGGGAACCAGGCAGAGGGCCTTCTTGTAGTGGCTCCTGCCCTGTGGAACGCCCTCCCATCAGTTGTCAAATAAATAAAAAACTATCTGACTTTTAGAAGACATCTGAAGGCAGCCCTTTTTAGGGAAGCTTTTAATATTTGATGAATATTGTAAGATTTTGCTGGAAGCCTCCCAGAGTGGCTGGGGAAACCCAGCCAGATGTGCGGGGTATAAATTATTATTATTTATTTTGTGTTCACAGCACTGTCCTTGCATTCTTACATTTTCAGAGAGCTGCCAGGGTTGGCCAAGAACTACGTCATGAGGATGCTTTTCCTGGAACAGCCCCTCCCTCAGGCCGCTGTGGCCTCATGGGTCAAGAAGGAATTCACCAAGTGAGTTGCTGGTTGCGACTGGACAGTGTGGAAGCAAAAACTTGGGTTGTGTAGCAAAGCATCAGAAAAGCAAGAGAAACCAAGCTGCTGCTCTGTGGGGGCCTAGTGATTCATACACACACATGAGTTTCTGAGTATCTTCTGGTCCAATTCATATATTACATTCTTTGCTTTGACAAGGGAACAACCTGACTGATCCTTATCTTCCCCAGAGCCCGGTTTTGCACTCAGCTTAGCTCACAATTGCTTCTTGCTTTTCAGGGAGCAGGATGAAAGCTCAGATGTCTTGTTGGGGCTACGGCTCTGGCACACACAGCTGCTCCCTGGCGGCCTCCAAGGAATCGTCTTGAACCCCATCTTTAAGGAGAACTTGCGCATCGCCTTGCTGGGAGGGTAAGCGAGAGCCATGGAGAGAATTACCGTATTTTTCACTCTATAAGACGCACTTTTTCCCCTCCAAAAATGAAGGGGAAATGTGTGTGCGTCCTATGGAGCGAATGCAGGCTTTCGCTGAAGCCTGGAGAGCGAGAGGGGTCGGAGCGCACCGACCCCTCTCGCTCTCCAGGCTTGCGGATAGCAGCCTGCAGCCCAAAGCCCGGGGAGCGCAGTGCCAACTCCCACTGTGCTCCCCGGGCTTTAGGCAGCTATCCACAAGCCTTCGGAGCACTTCTTGGCTTCTGCCAAAGCCGTGCGCAGCCTCTCCCGGCTGAAGAGGTTGTGCGTGGCTAAAGAGGAAGCCAAGACAGCCAGCGGGATGGATCCCGCTGGCTATCTTGGCTTTGCCTTGGGCTGGGGAATATTCCCTATTTCCCCACCCCCAAAACTAGGTGCGCGCTATGGTCCGGTGCGCCCTATGGAGCGAAAAATACGGTAGGAACCAAGGCAGAGGCTTGGTGTATTTAATGCACTGAAGATAGTCCTGTATGTGGCTGTGTTCACACATAACGCTAAACCATAGTTTGCTTTAACCTTGATTTGTTCAACAAGCCACAGATTGTTTCTCCGCACTCACATTTGTTTTTAAGCTGCTCTTGCCTTGTATCTCTGTAGCATATGGTGTTCTGGGGTGGGGTGGGTTAACCAAGGTTGTTGGCTGAGGCATAATGCCAAACAACAGTTAAAACAAGGCACAGTTTGCAAGCCAGCAACAAGCCATGGGCTCACCTTGTTTCTAGGAAACAAACTGCGGTTAATCAGCTGGGCTGGATTCAAACATTCAGACCAATCAGATATTTACAAAACAAACCATGGTTAGGTGTTAAGTGCAAACCAGGCCTCTGGGCGATGTGCTTTGGTTGCATTGCAATTAGCAGTGCTTTCCTTAATAAATAGAGCAGTGAAAGAAAGAAAACTTATTTTCTAACGGCCCCACACAGATACAGTGGGGCGACTTGCAAACCATGAGTTTTTCAGACACTTGCCTTCTCCTTGCATGTGAATTATTATTATTATTATTAACACGTTTGTATGGTTTGCTTTAGCCATCGTTTAATGCTCACACTGGCATTGGCGCAGACATGGTTACGTCTAATCCAGGGTTTCCCAAACTACGGTCTCCAGCTGGTTTTGGATTACAACTCCCATCATCCCTAGCTAGCAAGACCAGTGGTCAAGGATGATGGGAACTGTAGTCCAAAAACAGCTGGAGACCCATGTTTGGGAAACCCTGGTGTAATCAGTGATTGGGAACGGCATGCTGTGTATTCCTCGTCAATCTCCCCTCTAAGAAACCATGATTCCTAGAAGCAAAACAAACCAAGCAAATGTGATTGATTTGAAGTACTGTACTGGGATTTGCCCCTGAGAGCTGGAGGAGCTTTTCATGTCATGGATCGCAATTGACCATGATGTGGAGGGCAAGATGTTTGGGAGCAAAAGAGCACGTAGATGACAACCATCTGTTTCTGACTGAGAACCACATTGTCGCTTTCATACCTGTGGAAGGCAATGGCGGCTGGGTTTCAGAATGCCGGCTCTCGTGTTCTACGGCCAGGGATCATGGCTTTGAGAAAGCTCTGTCCCTCCGGTGGCTTTCTGCTGGCTCTATAACTGTCCAACAGCATTCCTTGCATCTCATCCTGTTTCTGCAGAGGTAAGGCCTGGTCTGATGACACGGGCCAGCTGGGCCCAGACAAGCACGCCCGGGATGTCCCGTCTCTTGACAAGTATGCTGAGGAGAGGTGGGAGGTGAGTGTTTTGCTTGTCCTTGTGCTCTGTTACAGGGCTCCATTTTTTGTTTTGTTTTTTAAAATTTATTTAATCATTTTTTCAACAGAAACAACAACCGCAATAGTCACATACGACAAAAACCAAAATAACACTAATAACACAATTTGACAATTCATATTTGAATACTGATATACCTATGACTACACCTTTTTAACAATATTTCCCCATCTCTCCTCCTCCTACTTCCCACCACTGACCGCCTTATCACTTAAATATTCCTTCCAGATTTCTTCATATTTAGCCATTCTTAATTTGCGTCGACATGCAATTCGTTCGTATGCAGCTAGTCTGTCCATATTATCAATCCATGTGCTCAATGGAATCTTTTTCTGGTTCTTCCAATTCATCAAAACAAGTTTTTTTGCTTCTAATATGGCACGGTACATCCATTTTTTTTTGACCCCTTGTAATCTCCCACATTTCCGGAATATAATTTAGAATTAAATTCAGTTCCCCTAAATAACAATTTCTTTTTATTACTCTTGCTATAAATATCCTCACCTTTGTTTGTCCTTGTGGTGCAAGGACGGGGCTCCATTGTAAGAGTCTTTTGGAGTCACCACCTCATCTGGGCTGTGAGAAGATGGATTGTTTGCCTGGCCATTTGCCATAGCTGTGGTAGAACAGTGTGGATGCACCAGGGCCTGTTTCCAGTGGCGAACCAGTCTGGACAAACCCTTTGTCTCCCACCCGGTTCCATTTTTGTGCATCCTCCTAGGTCATCCTGCATTTCATGGTGGGCTCTCCAAGTGCAGCCGTGAGCCAGGACTTAGCTCAGCTACTCATTGAAGCCGGACTGATGAAGAGGTAAGTGGCAAAGAAGAAGGGGGCAGACAAACTGTGGGGTTGAGGGAGTAGGGATGAATGGTAAAAGAAGCTATCTCAGCATCCCATGCGCAGTTCTCAGTACTGGTCCTGTCTGATTAGGAGTCACAAGCCATGTCACTCTTAAAAGAATGGCCACTAGTTGGCAGGCCCCACTGACTTGAACACCTTGGGGGCAACATAACAAACCATGTGGCAATGGTGGTGCTGATCGCTGCATAGGAACCCGGGTGGCGCTGTGGTCTAAACCACTGAGCCTCTTGGGCTTGCTGATCAGAAGGTCGTCAGTTTGAATCCCTGTGACAGGGTGAGCTCCCGTTGCTCTGACCCTGCTCCTGCCAACCTAGCAGTTTGAAAGCATGCCAGTGTAAGTAGATAAATGGGTACCGCTGCGGCGGGAAGGTAAACGGTGTTTCCATGCACTCTGGCTTCTGTCACAGTGTTTTGTTATGCCAGAAGCGATTTAGTCATGCTGGCCACATGACCTGGAAAACTGTGAACAAGCGCCCACTCCCTCGGCCTGAAACGAGATGAACTCTGCAACCCCATAGTCGTCTTTGACAGGACTTAGCTGTTCAAGGGTCCTTTACCTTACCTTTTATAGGTAACTGCATGTTGTTGGGGGGCATTTAAAATCCACAGTCACAGTCTACTTGAGAATAGTTAATGAAGCATATAGCGTGTAACACCGGTCTTGAAAGACCTACATTGGCTCCCAGTACGTTTCTGAGCACAATTCAAAGTGTTGGTGCTGACCTTTAAAGCCCTAAACAGCCTCGCCCCTGTATACCACCCCCATCGTTCAGCCTGGACACTAAGGTCCAGCGCCGAGGGCCTTCTGGCGGTTCCCTCACTGCAAGAAGTGAGGTTGCAGGGAACCAGGCAGAGGGCCTTTTTGGTAGTGGCACCTGCCCTGTGGAATGCCCTCCCATCAGATGTCAAGGAAATAAACAACCATACAACTTTAAGGGGACATCTGAAGGCAGCCCTGTATAGGGAACAACAACAACAAGGACTTTATTTGCGTAGCCAATAGCATCAAAGGACAGACACCAACAAAAATACATTACAAATATAGTTACCGTATAATCTTAAGACCTATTAAAACCCTAGGTAGAAGCTGGATTATCATTCATCAATGACCCTCTGCCCCATGGGCGGCGGCCTTTTCTCTGGTAGATTGTTCCAGGTCGGTTAAGTAAATAGACCAGCCAAATTGAAAGTTTATAAATATAAATATAACCTCGGGGGGATGGTCAGGACAGGGAGAAAGATAATAATAACCAGATGCAGATAGGTTAAAAATCTCAGTACCTAAAACTTAGCAGAGATAATAAAATACTAATAATAAAACATAAGGATAATAATGATAGGATCCTAGGCGAGGAATCCGGGTGACGACACTGATGTCATTCAGATAGCAGCTCTCAGTCTCATTGCTCTCTCGAAAAATTTAGCAACCTTCTCTGTTGTCAAGCTGTTCTGGTCGGCTAGGAGTGAGAACAATTTGGCTTCACAAGAGCGGCCCGGGATAGCAGATAGGAGCGGCGTGATGGTCTCGTCCCTGAGATCTTTATATAGGGAACAAGACAGGAGAAGTTTTTAATGTTTGATGTTTCATTGTGTTTTTAATATTGTGTTGGGAGCTGCCCAGAGTGGCTGGGGAAACCCAGCCAGATGGGCGGGATATAAGTAATAAATTATTATTATTATTATTATTATTATTATTATTATTATTAGCAGAAATTGATAAACTGACTGACTGTATACATAGGGGGAAAGGGAGCTTTCAGGATGTGAGAGTCAATTAACTAGAATATGAATGGAAAAGAATTTTCTTTTTGCAGAAAATGGCTCTCTTTTCACAATAAAATTGCAGTGGTACCTCGGGTTACATACGCTTCAGGTTACAGACTCCTCTAACCCAGAAATAATGCTTCAGGTTAAGAACTTTGCTTCAGGATAGGAACAGAAATCTTGCTTCGGCGGCGCGGCAGCAGCAGGAGGCCCCATTAGCTAAAGTGGTGCTTCAGGTTAAGAACAGTTTCAGGTTAAGAATGGACCTCCGGAATGAATTAAGTACTTAACCTGAGGTACCACTGTAAATAAATTGGGGAGGAGGAAAAAATGCAGTACCTATATCTTTTTCTCCGCCAAGTATTACCTCTGGCCCCACCTAAAACTGCCAGGTGGCTCTCAGAAAACTTTCCCCTCTCCTGATCTAGACCTAAGTACACCACAGAGGAGGACCTCATTCTGTTTTCCTCCAGCCTCTGTGTGTTTCTTCTTTAGCTCTGAACCAGGGGAGCCCCCCTGCATCACATCTTCTGGCTTCCAGTTCCTGTTGCTGGATACCTCATCTCAGCTGTGGTATTTCATGCTGCAGTATCTCCAGTCGGCTGAGGTGAGGAAAAGAGGGAGCAACCTCTCTGGCTCTGCCCGCCCCCCCCCCCCCAGCTCTGGCTATCTCCCTGTTGTGTTTTAACCACCTCTTCTTTCCCCCTACAGACCCGGGGCATGGATCTGGTGGAGATTCTTTCCTTTCTCTTCCAGCTCAGCTTCTCCACTCTTGGCAAGGTGAGCATCTTCCCCCATCAGCTCCCAGTTTGGCAAACAGCAAAGTGGCAAAACAAGACAATTGAAAATACAAGGAAAAGCACACTCTAGAATTTCAGGGCTGCCAGGAAGCATGGTCTTTCAGCCATCCAGTTCCTCCTGGGTGTTAATCATGGGCAAAGGCAGGCACAGCTTACCAAGGGAAGGCATTTCAGAGATAGGGAGCCACCACGGAAGAGGCCCTGCAGCTCCATCCAGGCAGTACCAGTAGTGGCACCACTCCCCGTCGATCGTAGGGTCTGTGATGGTTGATATTGGAAGGGGGGAGCACTCTTTTAGTGGAGCCTATAAAGCAGGGAGCAAAAGGATAGGAGGGGTCAACTCCATAATTCTGCATTGCAAGGAAAACATTCCCCTTTCCCCCAGATGCCTTTTAGGATTGATTCCTGTTTATTTTCCCATTTATAACTTGACAAATCTCTATTGTGTCCCTTCTTTAAAAATTTACCCTCATAAGCTACATTACCTCAAGGGAATATGCTTCAGCCTAGACGGTTGCCCAAAAGTGGAAGGCTGAAAAAGAGCCCTTGCCCCCTTTCAGCTCTGTGATTTTATAAGACTGGGGGCGGGGAATGCACGAATCATGCTTTTTCCAAAATCAGATTGCATCTCCCTCCTCATTTCAGAATACCACATTCTAAGCTTTAGTCATTGGGAGGTGATGTTTATATTGGGCTTCAGGAAAACAAAGCATGGTTAAGTGTGTTATGTCTGTAGGCTCTTCCACACATGCAGGTTCTTGATATCGGCAGCATCTGGCGGTGATGTTGACCTGCATGTGTGAATGCGCTATCATCACTGCAGCAGAGAGAAATTTCACATTGCCTCCTGGTGGTTTTCAGTAGTTTGGCCTGATTCGGCTGGCAGGCATGAATCATTGAATGATCCAAGTGGTCCCCCCCCCCCCGCCGTGTGTGTGTGTGTGTGTGTGTGTGTGAAAATCAGCCCCCATTTCCATCCATCTGTTCCCAGGACTATTCCGTGGAAGGGATGAGCGAGTCTCTGCTGAATTTCCTCCAACACCTTCGGGAATTTGGCCTCGTCTTTCAGAGAAAGGTAAGACCCCACGTTGGCTGAGTTAGATCGTATGTGGGTTTTTTCCGGGAAAGAACAGGGTGGAAGAAACAGCAGAAAGTTGTGCCCCCTATTGTAGGCTGGGGAACCGAACGTTTTAAAGGACCTGCTGCGAAGATGCAGAACTTAATGAGTTCAAAGTGGAAGTTTGGAGTGGCACTTGTAAGCAGAGTTAGGTAGGTACGAGGGATTTCAAGCCTGCAGGCGCCTTGCTGCCATTATCCATCCTTCTCCCCTTCCAGAGGAAATCTCGCCGTTACTACCCAACACGGCTGGCCATCAACCTTTCCTCTGGCATCTCGGGCACCGCAGTGGACACCCATTACCAGGGCTTCATAATTGTGGAGACCAACTACAGGATCTATGCCTACACAGGTCAGAGGCTGACTCCCAGGGTGGATTTTAGCTTCTGCATGCGTCCCAGGTGCAATTCCGGGTATCTCCAAGTAGGGCTGTGAATGTCCCCTGCCTGAAACCTTGGAGAGCCCCAGCTAATCTGTGTTTTCCATATTATTAATTATTGGTTGGTTGGTTGGTTGGTTGGTTGATTGAATTGATATACGGCCCTACACCTGGGGGTCTCAGGGCAGTTCACAGAATAAAATCAAGATATAAAACCACAAAATACCTAATAAAAACAGCAACCCAATAGCCCCCCCCCAAAAAACCCAGATCAACCAAATGCCCAGTTAAAAAGGAATGTTTGTGACTGGCACCTGAAGGTGTATAATGAAGGCACCAGGCGAACTTCCCTGGGGAGAGCATTCCACAGACGGGGAGCCACTGCAGAGAAGGCCCTGTTCTCGTGCTGCCACCCTCCGGACCTCTCAAGGAGGAGGCACACAAAGGAGGGACTCAGAAGATGATCTCAGGGTCTGGGAAGGTTCATATGGAAAGAGGTGGTCCTTGAGGTATTGTGGTCCTGAGCCGTTTAAAGCTTTATAGGTCAAAACCAGCACTTTGATCCCGGAAACTAATTGGTAGCCAGTGCAGTCAGACCAGGATCTGTGTAATATGCTCAAACCGTCTTGCTCCGGTGAGCAACCTGGCCGCTGAATTCTGCACTTGGGTCTCTGGCGGCTTTTGGACTACAGTTCCCCATCATCCCTGGCCACCGGTCCTGCTATAGCTAGGGATGTAGTCCAGAAGAAGACCCAAGTTTGGGAAACCCCAGTAGACAATACTGAACTCAATGGCTCGGTGGAGCAACTCAGTGTAAGACAGCTTTCTATGGTCCTCTTGTTTGTGGTTTTGTGGGCCTCCCGCCACAACCTCTGCAGATCCTAAATGATAACGCTGGTTTTGTAACCCAATGGCACTTAAACAAGAGAGGAGACCAAGGTAGGTAGCCTCTAATTATTCAGGACCGTCATCCTCCCTCTTGGAGGGCTTTTGTGAGTGCCGGGTTCACCGGGGTCTAGTTCAGGACTAGGAAGCTCCTAGGTCAGACTAAACTCAATGTTGGCTAATCAGACTGGCAGCAGCTTTCCGGGAAACAGAGGCTGTTTTAATTGGAAATGCCTGAGGTTGAATCTGAGGCCTTCTGCAGGCAAGGTAGGTTCTCACAGGGAACCAGACAAAAGGGCCTTCTTGGTAGTGGCACCCGCCCTGTGGAACGCCCTCCCATCAGATGTCAAGGAAATAAACAACTATTCGACTTTTAGAAGACATCTGAAGGCAGCCCTGTTTAGGGGAGCTTTTAATATTTGATGAATTATTGTATTTTAATATTTTGCTGGAAGCCGCCCAGAGTGGCTGGGGAAACCCAGCCAGATGGGGGGTATAAATAAATTATTATTATTATTATTATTATTATTATTATTATTATTATTATATTAACCACCCATTCTTGGGTTCAGCTGTGAAATAATACTAAAAGAGAGTACATGTTAGCATGTGCAGAGTAACTTTTTGTCCATCTCACACGTACCAAAAAAATCTGAGCTTGGTAGACATTTTTCTGGGCAGAAGGGGTGTACTTACTTTCAAAAGTTAAGCTCTGGACTTCTCTCTCTCTGCCCTGGTTTCCAGATTCCGAACTACAGATTGCGCTCATCGCCCTCTTTTCCGAGATGCTCTACCGCTTCCCCAACTTGGTGGTGGCTCAGGTCACCCGGGAGAGCGTGCAGCAAGCCATCGCCAATGGCATCACGGCAGACCAGGTGGGGAACCAGGGAGAGGCTGTTGGGTTAACCAGTTTAAAGGGAACCTAGCAGAGTGTGGTTCGCTTCTGTCTACTGGTTAGCCTCCCCCTTCCTTTGGATGTTTCCCAGCACAGGCGAAGCCAGCACTGGGAATAGTAGAAGTGGTCAAGTGATGGTGTCAGTCAAATAGTACTAAGGCCAGCTCTGTTTCGTTCCCTTTTTCTTTTCTCTGTCCCACAGATCATTCATTTCCTACGTACCAGAGCTCACTCTGTGATGCTGAAACAGGTGAGGATTACGGCACAGGGTGTGGTCACTCAGTGGATCGCTGCATAAAAGAATCACGCCTCCCTTTCCAAAGTTTTTATGACTTTGTGGGATAAGTCTATGTTCCAGCTCAGCTGTTTGGAGGCAGGATACCAGTTGCCAGGAATCGCAAGTCGGGAGAGGGATATTATTATTTTTTAAATATATTTTTATTGAACAACTTTAACAAACAAATTATCAGTCAGCATAACCATTTACTTTCCCCCCCTTTCCCCCCCCTCCCCAAGGACTTCCCTCAGCTCTTCTCTCTGGTTTCTTTGCACATATTATCCTCTGCATATTATAAGGGAGAGGGATATTTTTATGCTGTGAACCGCCCTGAGGTCTATGGACAAAGGGCAGTACAGTGGTACCTCGGGTTACAGACCCTTCAGGTTACAGACTCCGCTAACCCAGAAATATTACCTCGGGTTAAGAACTTTACCTCAGGATGAGAACAGAAATCGTGCGACGGCAGCGGGAGGCCCCATTAGCTAAAGTGGTACCTCAGGTTAAGAACGGTTTCAGGTTAAGAACGGACCTCCGGAATGAATTAAGTTCGTAACCAGAGGTACCACTGTATATAATTTTATTATTGCTAATAATGTTGCACTTAGGCTACACTTTTGGGCTTCCCATGAGCATCTGGGTGGCCACTGTCAAAACATTATGCTGGACTAGATGGGTCATTGGGTCTGATCCTGCATGGCGCTTCTTATGAAAAGATGGGCGTCACATGTTGGCAAGACAAATTGGAATGTGGCCTCGAGGATTCTGGGTAACCTCTGCTAGGGAGATTCCAATGGAAGCCTTGGCTGCTGCAGCAATAGGAATACCGTATTGGCCCAAATATAAGCCGCACCTTTAAAATTGGAGGGGGGGGAGAAAAAATATATATAATACCCAAATATAAGCCGCTCCATTCCTCGCTGTTCCTGGCGCTGTTTTCCTCGAGCTCCTGGCTGCATACCGTAAGGTTGTGAATATAAGCCGCACTTTAACTTTTCATGGTTGGAATTTGGGGGGAAAGTGAGGCTTTTATTTCAGGCCAACACAGTAGATCATTTTTTGTTTTCCGCGTTGTCCTTTCCATATGCGTCCCTGACTCTGATGTCTTGCCCCATAGACCCCGGTGCTGCCTCCCACTATCACAGATCAGATCCGGCTGTGGGAGCTGGAACGAGACAGACTCCGCTTCTCTGAGGGTGAGTGTCTGTGGGTGAGGAACTCCGGTGGGATGGAAAGAGAGAAGAACATGGGAAAGAGAAGGGGTGTATCTCTAGTGGAAATATCTCTGCGTTCTGGCAGATTATCTTCCCATCTTCCATCCCACCCAACTTCCTTCTTGCTTCAGATCCACCTTTCTGGGCTCCCCCATGGTGTGTTTTTTCTTCCTCCTTTCACATCAAGTGATCTTTTGCCTCCACGGTCAGACGCAGCAATGCTTCTGAACACCAGATTCTGGAAACCACAGAAGAGCAGCACACCAGTTGTGTTCTCATCAGGGTGGATAAAAATCAATTATTTTTTTAAAAAAATATCAGGTTTTTTAAATTTAAATTGGATTTTTAAAATAACATGCTTTTGGAGGAAAAAATCTTTCTAAAGATAGTTTTCTATTTAAGTTACGTTATAGTTCAAAGGCTATTCATCAGGAAATAAGGATTTGTTTTAAGTTTTTCATGTGTGCTAAAACTCATTAAAGGGGAAAAAATTGTTTAACCACATCAGTTTATAATCATTGATACATATGCTATAATGTTATTGTTTTAGTTAAATAAAAATTTTTAATTGTTATTAAGGAAATGATTGTTTTCCTCTTTCCAATAAAGTACAGCAGAAAAGTTGTCCCAATATAGATAGTTAACTTATTAAACCTCACAATCATTTCGTAATTATTTGTCTATGTATTTCTAATAGTATAACCAAATCAGTAATTTTTTATATAACTGTAAAAAGTACTCTGTAAATTTATTATTCCAAAAATGGAACCTTCCTCTGGTTGTAAATATTAAGATTCTGCCAGCAAGAATGAGTCTTTCTGAAAAAAAAGAGAGATTTAAATCAAGTCTTACTGACTAGTGATTTAAATCGATTTGATTTAAATCAAATCCACCATGGTTCTCATCCCCCCTTCTTTGCATCCACCATCTTCCCCCTCAATCCTCTCCCTGCCACCTTGTTCCTTTCCCTGACCCTTCTCTGCCTGCCTCCCCATCTACTCCTCGCATCTCAAACTCTTGAGCTCTCCTCTGTGCTTTTTCACCATGTCTTCCTGCTTTCTCTCTCGCCCTCCAGGTGTCCTCTACAACCAGTTCCTGTCCCAGGTCGACTTTGAGCTGCTGCGCAACCACGCAAAGGAGCTGGGGGTCCTGGTCTTCGAGAACCCGGCCAAACGTCTCATGGTGGTGACGCCCGCCGGCCACTCGGACGTCAAGCGCTTCTGGAAGCGGCAGAAACACAGTTCCTGAAGGCCGGGGAACTCCCGGCACTCCCAGATCGCTCCCCTTGCACTTTTCTGCTGGGAAACAGGAGTCGGGGTGGGGTGTTAACTGCATCCCCCCTGCCCCTAACTGTCAAGGAGTAGCAGAGAGACAGAGAGGAAGGAGAAGAAGGTTTCTTAGGGGTTGTCTGATGACCCCCCCTCCGGTCAAGAACTGATTAAGAGGAGCAGGAAAACGTCTCTAGGTTCAGCTTCCTCTTAACAGAAGTGGCTAAAGCTTGCCGGCTGCCACTCATTCTCTGAGCGGATGTGGCCCCGCTGTTCCAGGAGGGCTACTGCTGATATGGAATAGGTTAAGACAACTAAGCAGCTGTTTAAAATGTACGTGCCAGGGTGCCAGCATGGATTTGGAACAGACTCACACCGTTTAAACAGAAAGTTGATCTAAAACCTGGATCAAGCAGGGTAACAACATCGGATCAGATTTGTAAATAGCCTCTTTTTTGTAAATGTTTTTATTGCGATAGAAGTATCAATAAAACACCCACATCTGAAGTTATTTTAGATGGGTTCCTTTCCCTTCTCTCCTCGTGTTACGGAGGAGAGTACATCAAGGAAACCCTAAGAGAGGTCAAGAACTACAGGCAAATGTAGCCCACAAAAAACTGGGTAGTGTGGATGAAATGTATTTTACCCCATCTGGGCTTGCTCCCTTGTGAGTGGGTAACGGGGCTTTCAGGCTGCAATCCTGCACACACTTACCTAGAAATACCCCCCCCCCCCCTCAATTCAGCGACTAGCCTAGTGTCCCTCGCCCACTGACTGCACACCACTGGTGGGATATAAAGGTAATTACTGTACTAAATAACAAATGCAGTATTGGCAGAAAATGGCATAGATAGATTTAGGTATTAAAATATTTATTTTAATTTGACAGAATCTGGATACCTGTAATCAAAAAAACCCTTTATGCGGTTTACATAAAATAAGAGTTTCAAACAAGTTTAAACTAAAAGAATGACATAAATACAAATGAAATCTGCAGTTTCAATATACGGTGGTACCTCTGGTTATGTACTTAATTCATTCCGGAGGTCCGTTCTTAACCTGAAACTATTCTTAACCTGAAGCACCACTTTAGCTAATGGGGCCTCGCGCTGCCACTGCACGATTTCTGTTCTCATCCTGAAGCAAAGTTCTTAACCCGGGGTACTATTTCTGGGTTAGTGGAGTCTGTAACCTGAAGCATATGTAACCCGAGGTACCACTGTATACATTATAAAGTGAAATCACGGATTAAAATACATGTCAGCTTTACATATCTGGGCGGGCTTGGCAAAAAGAACCCTTTTTTTGTAAATGCTTTGAGGGTGGTGGTTTTTGTTTTTGTTTTACAATCAAGTGGTTTATACATTTTATGAACTAAAGAAAGTATAAACGTTGTAACAGCACTGAAAGCACCCCCAGAAGCAGCAGAAAACTGAAGGGCCAATACCCTGAGCTGGGAGTTTCTGACTACAGTACTCAGCAGGTTCCTCTGCTGTCCTTGGGGGGCCGCCTGACCCCCATCTCTTGCTGCCAGACTGACCATGGGGCACCTCCATCGCACGGTGACAGGGGCCCTGAGGGACCGTAACTTAAGCAGCAGGGGCTGGCGCTGGGAGGAGCCGAGCTGGGTCCCTCGGTAGGCGCCTATGTCCAGCTGCCTTAATATCTGTTGTCGGTTCTTTGGCTTCAGTTTCGCGCCCTCAGCCGCTAGGTGTCAGCAATGTGCTGCTGCAAATCGCTCCCAGTGTGAAACTGAAGCGTCTTGTGGAATCAGATGTGTGTGTATGGTCAGGTTGGTCAGGTTCACTGGCAACAATCCACTTTGTTAGCTGTCTGAAATCATTTGCCGGCTTGGTGAGCATCTAAGCACCTGGGTGTAAAGGAAACGGGGGGGGGGGGGGCGCAAATTTTATTATCATAGAATTGTAGAGTTGGAAGGAACCCTGGGGTCATCTAGTCCAACCCCCTGCAAAGATGAAACCTACAACCTTGGTGTTATCAGCCCCACACTTTAACCAACCGAGCTATATGGAGGCTAACAAATGACATTCTCTCGGTCACGTTTTTTTTGAAGCGGGGTGGGGGTGAGGAGTCATTCAGTTACTTATACTGTATAAAGATGATTAATGAAAATAATAAACAATAATGATGGAACAAATCCTTTCCCCCAACCCCGCCCCCAGAAACGTATTCATTCATTCACTTATTTGGAGTGGGGGGTGGGCGATACGGCACTCTGCACATGTGCAATGGCACACTTTCCTAAACAGGCGCCGCACAAATTGCTATTGTGAAGAAGACTGGATGGCTGCCTAAAAAGCAAAGCGAAACAAGCGCCCCGTAGTGCTCGATAAGGAAACGGTCCGTTCCGCTTTCAATAGTGCAGCCATTTTGGGAGCCTTGAGTTTTGGTAACGAGCTTGCAATGAGGGTAAGCGCATGTATTTCGCTTTTTTGGTGTTGGGGGGGCGGGTTGTACCGTTAAGGTACAATAATTGGTTTTTAAAGGGGGGGCAGGAGAAACAGGACAGGCGGGTGGCGGGAAAAGCGTCCCGCTGCTTCTGCCGATTCGTCTTGTGCAGCAGTCGGGGAGGCGGCCGTCTCGAGGCTTGGAGCTCCGTGTCTTTTAAAGCGAAGCCAAAAGGGCGCACGAAATACGTGCGAGTTTCTTGCTTCGTGCACAACCACCTGCGGATGGTGATATATGTACGTTGCTATTCTCAAATCATATAGCGCTGGGTAAGGGTGGTTCAGGCGGGAGGAAAACTAGCAGGGCGAACTTCTGCCTGGCTTCCTGCCATCGCGAATGGCTGACGCAGCCGAGAAAGAATTTGGTTCCCTTCCTTTCCTTCGGATTTCTGCCCATACCTCACATTCCCTTATCATAAGTACAAAGCTGCGAGGAGCCGCACGAAGAGGAGTCTCTCTTTGTGTATCTTGTGTATTTTATCTATTTATATCTCAAAAGAAAGAAAGAAATATTTCTGCCACCCTTAGGACTGTTTCGCACGGTCGTCTTTTATGCCACGGGACGGCAACTCTCTGAGGTTCATGCAGCACATTTCAGCCGAAGCTAAGCTTGAGATAATTTTATTTAGATGGGGGCAGAGGAAAGAGCTCCACTGTTCATTATGATTATTGTTTCTTGATCTGTTCAGAATTGCGTGGATCTGAATCTGCCCACCCACGTTTTAAATTGTTGGGACTGCTCAAGGACACACACACACACACACACACACACACCAATACAAACTCCATATGTGGTTTTACCGGTACTTCTTTTATTTGGAAAACGAAGAAGCCGCTTGTTGAACAAAATTATTCAAGCAGGGCACATGTTTTGCTACTTAGAAACGCGACTATAATACCAAACCAATAAAAGCAAGTGTGTAGGGAATCATTATTGCAAGCAAGGTAAAATTTAAACATTTTAAAACAAGTCAAGGTCGCAGATTCAATCCCCATAGGGTTCAATCCTCATATATTCCTGCATTGCAGGGGGTTGGACTTGATGATCCCCAGGGTCCCTTCCAACTTTACAGTTCTATGATTCTAAGTGTAATTAAATTATGTGGCTGCAGTCGGGCTTACTGGAGTTTTCGGCAGACGTGTAATAATACAATATGCACCTGCCTAGTGCACCTGCCTAGTGCCACCAAGGGGACGCGGGTGGCGCTGTGGGTTAAAGCCTCAGCACCTAGGACTTGCCGATCGAAAGGTCGGCGGTTCAAATCCCCGCGGCGGGGTGCGCTCCCGTCGTTCGGTCCCAGCGCCTGCCAACCTAGCAGTTCGAAAGCACCCTTGGGTGCAAGTAGATAAATAGGGACCGCTTACCAGCGGGAAGGTAAACGGCGTTCCATGTGCTGCGCTGGCTTGCCAGATGCAGCTTGTCACGCTGGCCACGTGACCCGGAAGTGTCTTCAGACAGCGCTGGCTCCTGGCCTTTAGAGTGAGATGAGCGCACAACCCTAGAGTCTGGCAAGACTGGCCCGTACGGGCAGGGGTACCTTTACCTTTACCTTTAGTGCCACCAAGGGCAGTGTTTGGTGTGGACGAAAAATACAGCAGTTCAAGATGGGGAGCGGGTTTTGTTTTTTTTTTTTTTTAAATAAATTTTTATTAATTTTCCAAACACAAAATAAAAAGACAAACAATACACAATACACCGACATACAAACATATAAACATGTATAATTTCATAACCATTTTTTCATAAACCTTACTTTCCGGACTTCCCCATACCTCCCCTTTCTGCATCCTTGTTTTATATTTTTTCAGCAACTCCTCAGTCGACTAATTATTCAATTCATTTTCTTTTAAATTCCTCTAATATTGTTAATTACAGCTGCAATTCTCTGTTTCCCTACCCCTTGACATTTTAACATTCCTGAATTTTACAACAAGTTCTAAGATAAACTTTGAATTTCTTCCAATCTTCTTCCACTGTCTCTTTCCCCTGGTCACGGATTCTGCCAGTCAACTCCGCCAGTCCCATGTAGTCGATCACCTTCGTCTGCCATTCTTCCAGTGTGGGTAGTTGTTGTGTCTTCCAATACTTTGCTAGAAGAATCCTTGCTGCTGTGGTCGCATACATAAAAACGTCCTGTCCTTCCTTCTCACCAATTGGCCGACAATGCCCAGGAGAAAAGCCTCAGGTTTTTAGGGAAGGTCCATTTAAGAACCTTCTTAATTTCAGTATAGATCATTTCCCAAAAAGCTTTTATCCTCGGGCAGGTCCACCAAAGGTGATAAAAGTACCTTCAGTCTCATTACATTTCCAACATTTGTTATTGGGCAGATGATAAATTTTTGCAAGCTTGACTGGGGTCATGTACCACCTGTACATCATTTTCATAATGTTTTCTCTTAAGGCATTACATGCCGTAAATTTAGTACCTGTGGTCCAGAGCTGTTCCCAGTCAGCAAACATAATGTTATGACCAATGTCTTGTGCCCATTTTATCATAGCTGATTTCACCGT